CCCAGGCTATTTGCAGGGAGCTTGATTGGAAGCAGAGTGTCCACTGAACAAACTCGTACCCAAATGGAATGCTGGCACTCTAGATGGCAGCTTTATGTGCTATACCACAGCTCCAAGATAGTAATCAATTTTTTTAATTCATCAAAAGAAGAAACTGACTTAGTATAATAATAACATATGGAAGCAAGCAGGACAGTTTTTCTTCCAGTAGCCTGTGAGCTAATATACTGTCTTTTCTATCTAATGGTTCTGTATCTGAATTATGCATCTGTGCATTCAATTAACTGTAGACTGAAAATATTCAGAAAAAACATTTGTGCCTGCACTACATCTGTAAAAACTTTCACTTACCCCACTCCTTAGATGATTTGAATTATGTGAAAGGATATACATGGACGTGAGGTATCTGTGGGAGGTTCTGGAAGCATTTCTCCACGAATACTGGGAGATGACTATAGGGAAAGACTGACAGAATAAAACATCTCTCTACTCTTCTGTTGTTCTACCTTTCAAATAAAGAAACAAAACCTTAAAAACATGACACTGGATTGGATATTGAAGATTATAAGGAACATTAGTTGGATAATCTTTTAAAAACCGCATAGAGTATGTTGATAGTATATTAATTTTAAATGTCCAGATGTTGATAATTATTCTATGGTTATTTCAGAGAAAGTGCTGAAGTCTTTTTTTTTCATTTTTCAATACATTAATATATTTCTTTCAATTAGGCTTTCCTTAATTTCTTTTAGCAATGATGTAGCTTTTAATCTACATTTTTATTAATGTAAAAGAAAACAGATTTTTTTATATTCCATAGTACAGTTCCAAGAAGACAATCACACTTCCCTCTGTCCCTTGCTCCCTGCCTTCTGTCCTCATTTTTATGAAATACACAATGTGAAGTGTTTAGGGGCAAAGGGTACTGTGTCTCTGAGTTCCTCTGAGTGACTTTAAGGAAATATATGGATGCAGGTATGAGTAAGTTTATAGAGAAAGAATCAAAAGCAAATGGGTAAAATATAAATAATTTGGTAAAATTATATATACAGGAGTTCTTTGGAACTTTTTCTCTAAGTTTGAAATGCCAAGATAATAAGTTATAAACAAACTATATGGAGATTGAAACAGGCCTTCTGAAACTTTATTTACATGATTCCTTTAGTGATTTGTTTTGAAAAACATTCAGTTCCTACTGATAACACCAGCTTACCCTTGACATACATCCCATTATCTTCTTAGCTGCTTCTCCAGCTCACCTGATCGCCACTGTAGCTGCTGCTTCTGCCATGTTGCTAAAAACATTTTTTCAAAAGGTCTATTGTGGGCCCGGCGGTGTGGCCTAGTGGCTAAAGTCCTCGCCTTGAACGCTCTGGGATCCCATATGGGCGCTGGTTCTAATTCTGGCAGCTCCATTTCCCATCCAGTTCCCTGATTGTGGCCTGGGGAAGCAGTTGAGGACGGCCCAAAGCTTTGGGACCTTGCACCCATGTGGGAGACCTGGAAGAAGTTCCTGGATCCTGGCTTTGGATCGGAGGGAAGATCTTCCTCTCTGTCTCTCCTGCTCTCTGTATATCTGACTTTCCAATAAATAAATAAATCTTTAAAAAAAAAGACTCCTTTAAAAAAAAAAAAAGAAGGTCTATTGTACTTGTTTGAAAGGCAGCAGAGGAAGACAAAGATCTTCCATTCATTGGTTCACTCCCCATATAGCCACAATTAACTGGGGCTAGGCCAAGTCAAAGATAGGAGCTAGGAACTCCAGACAGGTCTCCTGCGCAAGGGTGGTAGGGACACAAATACTTAGGCCATCTTTGACTGTCTTCCCAGGCACATTAGCAGGGAGTTGAATTGAAAATGGAACAGCCGCCCTCGAACCAGCACTCATATGGAATGTCACTGTAACAGGCAGGAGCTTAGTCTACTGCATCAAATGCCAGCCCCGGCCCTGATAAGAACATATTTAGCTTATGGTTTATCATTTGCCTACAAGAGCTCCACATTGGACCCGGTGCTGTGGCCTAGCAGCTAAAGTCCTCACCTTGAACGCACTGGGATCCCAAATGGGCGTCGATTCTAATCCCAGCAGTTCCACTTCCCATCCAGCTCTCTACTTGTGTCCTGGGAAAGCAATCAAGGACAGTCCAAAGCTTTGGGACCCTGCACCCACGTGGGAGACCTGGAGGAGGTTTCTGGCTCCTGGCTTCGGATCGGCATAACGTCGGCCATTGTGGTCACTTGGGGAGTGAATCATCAGACGGAAGATCTTCCTCTCTGTCTCTCCTCCTCTCTGTATATCTGACTTTGTAATAAAAAATAAATAAATCTTAAAAAAAAAAAAAAGAATTCCACATCAAGACCCTCACTAGAACTTGACCCCAATCTCTTAAGTGCTTGCTTCTTTGTTTATCTGTTAAGAACTATCAAATGCCAATTTGGGACGAATAGGGATTTGTGAAGCCCAAGAAATATTCAGGTGTTTGGTGTCCTCCAGCATGGGGTATTGGAATACAGACCTCACCATATAAAATGATATAATATACTTTTATTTCTCTGCTGTGTTTAGGGAACACATCAATTGGATTTTGAGTTTGAGGGGTAGAACTTTAAAACTTTATGGAAAGTTTAAAAATGGTATTTTATCCTTTTGTAGGTTGAAGTGAATCCCTGAGGATGCAGATTTCTTTTCTCTATTTTATTGTTATTTCCAATGTTCCTACCTACTTCTATATTTTGACTGTTGTGATGCTGCATTGGCCAGACCCTTCCTGAGCTCTAACATATTTTGGGTTTCTACTTACAGTCTACACTTTCAGTTGTCCCAAAGTTTTATTTCTTTTTTTTTTTTCTAAAAAAATTTATTTTTATTGGAAAGTCGGATATACAGAGAGGAGGAGAGACAGGAAGATCTTCTATCTGTTCACTCCCCAAATAGCCATTATGACCAGAGCTGAGCTGAGTTAAAGCCAGGAGCCCTGAGCCTCTTCCAGATTTCCCAAGCAGGTGCAGGGTCCCAAGGCTTTGGGCCGTCTTCGATTGCTTTCCTAGGCCACAAGCAGGGAGCTGGATGGGAAACAGGGCTGCCAGGATTAGAACCAACACCCATATGGGATCCTGGCACGTGCAAGGTGAAGACTTCAGCTGCTAGGCTACTGCACTGGGCCCATCTTCCCATAATTCTTAATAAATGTTAGATTTTTTTTCCCTTAGTAGCAGAACCCTAATTGATCTAACACAGTAAGCTATGAATTACAGAATATTCTGTCTCCCTAATGTTGGCATAGATTTCACTCTAGCCAGAGAATTCTAATTAAATGTGAAACAGCTACTTTGCTTTTCTCCTAAGCCATAGGCATCTGCTGTGTCCATCTTTCTTCTGACCTTCCCATTTGCTCATGGGTCTTTGTCACTCATGAAGGCTAGTCTCCCTAAATTGCTTTCTCCTTTGTGTTAGCCACTCTGTTTGCCAGTAAGTATAGCACCACACCTGTGATGATAGGTTTACCACCTTGTGGTCATTCTGACATTTCTAATTTTGGATAAAATGATTTTTTTCTTCCACTGCATAACTCATATTATACCCTTCCTCAAACTTTGAACTGCTCTAAACTTCAGCCAGCCTTCCTTTGTCTGCTGCCTGTCACCTTCCCATCTTGCTAGTCCTCATCCATCCAGCTCCCAGTTTGGTAACCAGTTTTAGAAAGTTCATCCTGTCCTAGATTACCCAAAAACTTCCCCTGCTGTGTACACTTTGTTTCATTCAGCCTTCCTGAACAAAAGAATCTCTCTCAATTTCATTAAAGCAAAGTCTAATGCATTGTACCTTCACATTTATAAGCACAGAGGTACTACTTAGCTTCTAATTTCTTTAAAACTGTCACAGATATACATGTGTGTGTCCATTGTTTTAGACTGATGAGGACGGATTCTAATGTGTTGTACAGGACTTGTCATTATTACTGTGGGTATATGGACCAGTCAGTACTATCTGAGTATAAAGACTGGGTAATTACACCTGTTTGAAAAGTTGCTTTTAATTGTACACAGTTGTGTGTGTGTGTGTAACTGGCAGTTCCCCTGACCAAAGATCTGCCTTCCCTGCCATTAAACAGTTGTTGGCATGAAACAGACTGCTTTCTCAGTACATGGGAATGTGGCAGTGGCTTCTGCTCACCGCATGTTGGTTTAGTACTGATGGAGTGTGTAATAATATACTAGGTGTTGGACTGTGTGGATTTAGATGATTCCCTGTTAACAATTGTAACTACTTTCTCCATCACAGCTAGCTAGCTTCCTCTTTGGGCTTCTGGACCACAAGGGGCAGATTAAACTCAGTTGATGGGATTCAAGGAAGATCAAAGTAGATGCGCTAAATGTATTAGTATCCTATTCCAGTCCTTCTAGGACTTTGAAGAAATGCAGCAATCTAGGGTTCACATTTTAATATTTATACAAAATTCATATTGTTTTACTTGGCTCTTGATGAGAAGAGGATAGAACTAAGAGAAACACTAAATTCTCCTTTAAGGTAAATGAAGAGTACACCTGACAGATATGTCATTGTGAGCCCAGGCTTTTCCACTGCTATGTAAAGGAAAGCTGGACCCACCCAATGAAGACAGTCTCATAGCTTTTCCCTGAAATGCTGCCGAAATGGGCTTTAACATTTCAACTGCAGTTGAAGGACAGGATGTGTAAAAGATGCATGTATCAAATCTGTAGGCTCTACCATGGTATCCTACCTATTAAAGAAACAGCACAGGTGCTGACAGGGAAGACATGTTAGCCATCTTTTCAAACATTGCAGGGACTGAAATATTATTTTGATTCTTAAAATGGAAGCCTTGGGAATTTGACAAACATAAGGAATAGTGGCATAAATCCTAGAGAATATCTGCTAAGCTAGTTGGACAAAGAATAGGAGGTGGATTTCACTATTGGAAGACTTCCCAAACAATGTAGTTTCTGAGAGTTTTGTACCTATTTGCATTCTAAGGGGCTTACTTGGGTGCTGACTGTGTCAGAAGCTTTTCTCCGTGTGTGGATTTCTCGGTGCTTGTTAAGGGCAGAGCTTTTACTAAAACACTTGCCACAGTCATGACACCCATAGGGTTTCTCTCCTGTGTCCTGTGATGCGCACGTAAGTCAGAACTCTTACTGAAACTCCACAGTCAGAACACACATGTGGCCTCTCTCCAGTATGTATCCTCCGATGTGCACTAAAAGGAGAACTGTTGTTGAAGCTTTTTCCACACTCTTCACATTGATAGGGCTTTTCTCCTGTGTGAGTTCTCTGGTGAATTATAAGGCTTGAGCTCTGATTGAAGCGTTTTCCATACTCACCACACTGATAAGGTTTCTCTCCCGTGTGGATTCTCCTATGGGTGATGCAGTTTGAAATGTCATGAAAACTTTTCCCACAGTCAAGGCACTTATAAGGTTTCTCTCCCGTGTGGATTCTCCTATGGGTGATGCAGTTTGAAATGTCATGAAAACTTCCCACAGTCAAGGCACTTATAAGGTTTCTCTCCCGTGTGGATTCTCCGATGTCTAATGAGGCGTGCACTCCGACTGAAGGCTTCCCCACACTCGGCACATTTATATGGATTTTCTACCTGGTGGGATATCTGGTGCATGAGATGGGAGTTTGGGCTAAAGCTTTTGCCATATCTGATATATTTAGAGGGTCTCTCTCCCAAGCAAAGCTTCTGATGACTTAGGACTTTACCCAGACTCTTCTCTGGAAGTGCTAGCTTTCCTCTTTTCTCCCTTGGGGTCTTTCTGCACTATCTTTCTGGTCTGTGTTCACTTTTACTACATTTATGTTGATTAGGATGGTGGGCAATCTTCCTTTCAGACCTTGCAAGTAATGTCCTATGCAGTTGTACTTCCTCAGGTATGTCCCATTTTACATTCTCTTCATTCTCAAATCCAGCCTGAAAACCTGATGTAAGGACAGAATTTTAAAAAATTAACCATTTCTTTTACATTCCAGGGCAAAGCAAATCTGGGAGAAACAAATGATGCATCAAATGACTAAAGATAAAAATCAGGGAGGTCTGATCCCAAATAAACATTATTATTAAGATTCCCAGTACTTTACTTCTCTATTTGGTTACCTACTACATGCTCTCATCTAGCTAGGGGGTTAATTAATAAGGTTTTAACTCTCCCTAGATCCTTATTACCTTCAGAAAATCCTCTCAGGAGAGAACAAGGAAAGCTGATTGGATCTTAGGGAAGACTATCACCATGTTTATCCAGGACAGATACTATCTTAGGATATATTTTTGCCACATCTTAGGCCTAGCCTGGCCTCCTTGTCCATATTCTTTGATAGTGAAACTAAAGTGATTAGAAGGAAATGCCTAGATCAACTTTTGGAGAAACAGATCAACTTTTGGAGTTGAAACATGTTTCAAGTGTTCTGTTACATCAACCTTATAATAGTCTAAGAACAAAATGCCTGGCTTCTTGAGCTCAGGCTGTGCGCATTTGCACTTCCAGATGTTTCAGGTAAACTGTGGATCCCAATTCTGTGGCCCAAATCTAGGAGCAAAAGAATGTTGGATGTCAGCCTACACACGTACCTTGTAAAGCTGTAATCCTATCCAGAAGCTTGTCTGATGAGATGCTTCATGCAACAGATCCACAAGAGTAAATGCAATCCCAGAACCTTATATATTTAAATATATTTGTTGTGAGGAAATAGTTAGCATTCCCAAAGCCATTTTTCGTATAACAAGTTAATATAGATGATGCCCCATACAACACCTTAAAGAATGTTGCTCTTTAAAAAGAAAAAAAAAAATGCTACTCTGAAGAACAGATGGAAATGCCACTTGGGAAATGTCAGTTTTGGGATTCCCTGATAGCAAAAGCGGCTGGAAATTTCACAGCTCAAACATAGATGACAAGTTTACAAAGTCTCCCAACTACTTCTGATGCCATAGAGTGAGCAGGCAAATCGCATAAAAAAATTATATCCTCTCTTACTAAGCTGCTTTAGTAGACAAGAAATGTGAGGAGAAGATGAAATGGACAGGAAAAAATCTATAAAAGCTAGTATAGAGGTCAGTTCTCAATATGATCTTCCTTATAAATCCTGTGGCCTCCCCTTTATTGTGTATAACAAAAGAAGTTTAAGTCTTACCACTGGGGCTTTGGGATAAGACAGGAGCAGGGGTTATGACAGCCCCCGGGGGGATCTCAGTGTCCTCTTCATCCTCATCAGAATCTTCCTCTGTAGTCTCTTCTGCCTCCTCAGTTTGCTTCTCAGCTTCAGCCTCTCTGGTTCCCTGGCCATCACTGAGTGGGGCAGCAACCTGAGCACTCACCAAAGCATCCATCTCTTCAAAGAAGGGACAAGACTCTGGTGCCTGTACATTCTTGACTTTCTGGTAGCTAGTTTGGAGGCTTTTAAACTGTGCAACACTGCTCTGGGGTCCTAAGGAAGCCATATTCCCATAACCTCTCCGCTACTGCGCCATACAATTGGCTGTTGCGGTGACAGTTCTGCAGGGCTTTGTAAAACTGAGTCTCATTAAGAATTGCAAGGTAAGTTTTGGTCTCTTCATAACCCCAGTGTACACCTGTCACCAGAAGAGAAATTTCAGCACCATTTAATTCAGAGCTTTTAACCTCGTCTCCTTATTCCTACCATCTGCATCATGAAAAAAAAAAAAATCACTAAGCTTGGGCTCCTACGTAAAAAGAAAGAAAGTAAAAATACTTCATGTTTCCAAATTGATAAACTCATTATAGAATGTTTTTCTTCTCTATTCGCTTTAGAATTATTATTCATGAATTTTGTTTAGCCATAAAAAGCAGGAGTCCTTTCATCAGATAAGCATTGTATGCACTGAAGAAGAGTCCAGACTGCATTTCTCCATCCTTCTAATAGCTTTTCTGGAATTCTGATTCTAATTAGAAAATCATTGTTCAGGAGAAGACCATAATAATCACTACTGATCACATCATCTCTAATCTCTGAACGTTTCCTACCAGTCCTGTTTCCTAAGGCCCATTATGACTCTTATCCACTTGCACAATCTGAACTAGGCTTAGCAATAATAGCAAAGATATCATGCAAGTATGCAAGATAAGGAATTATAATCATGCACCGTGTAAGGGTGAAGGACTGGCAGGAGCCAAGATCAGAAAAGAAACAGGAGTAAACAGTATTACTGGGCCTGGAAGCATGCTACCGTGGCAGCAGATCCCACTGTCAGGCAGTACTTGCAGGAAGTGAACATCAGGCGAGGTACTCAAAGTAGAGGGAAGAGAATTTCAAAGAATCTTCCACCTGAGAGCAAGCTGGAGGTTCTAGTCTTTCCATTACTCTCTACTTACTGTGAGAACAGGAAAAATCAGAAGGCAGACAGATGAACAAATAATGAAAACAGCATTTAACACTTGGGCTACATTTATTCATTCTTTCTTGAAGAAATAAGAGAAAGGACAAAAGTATAGAGGACAAGAAGGCTAGAACAGAATTAAACTAACATTACACACATAAAACATTAAGGACAAGACCACTGTTGACAATGAGATTACAGTTTTAAAGAGCCAGTGTTGCTAGCTCCATTTTACAACTGAGGAAATGAATACTTAGAATGGTTAGCTAACCATCTGCAGTCACCTCACTGATGAGTGGTAGATTAGAATCTAAGCCTTCTTAAAAAAAAAAAATCTAAGCCTTCTAAATCATATTTCACTGCTCTTCCATAACAACAGAGTTGTATAAAATATATCAACAGCAGTGAGCAGTACTTGAAAAATAATTCCACATGCAAAAATATTCCAACACAGAGTGTCATTGGAGAACTTCTCAGTCCTGTGAAGATGCCAGGGTACGGTGCACAAATCAAAGGATTCGTATAAAAGGTTGTCCAGCTTTGGACAGTTCTTCACTGTGCTATTCTAAGTAGAAATAAGCAGAATAAACTGACTTCGAGATTTGGGAAGGTAAAAGGAAGACAGGTAAAAAGTGCTGATCTTACCGCATAAGATGTTTTATAAATACTTGTTCTCCTTAAAGATAAGATAGGGCTTGAGTTTTTCTTAGGGGACAATGATTTTATAATCAGGAAAAAATGTAATAAAGAGGAGGGAATCAAACTCCTTTTCAGGGGTCTCCTGAATTTTCTGAGTGTATTTCTTTCAAAAGGCTAAATTTATTCTCTGCTATTATCCTACTAGTTTTCTTCAAGACGAAGCACAGAAATGCCTCTTTGTTCCCTATGGAAGCAGCAAAGCTGGCAGGTGACAAATCCACATCTAGTCTCATACTTCCCAAGTCTAATCTCAAAACCCCAGAAAGCGTCTTACCACTTGGGATATGCAACAGGACAGGTGTGGTTGTGTTGTCAGGGTCCTGAGCTGTAGCCTTGAAATCCACTTTCTCACTGTCAGTCTCCTCAGCCACGGCCTCTTCTGCTCCCTCCTCAGGCTGGGGATCCTTTCAGTATCACTACCCATCTGGTCAGAATGAAAGACTGACCCTTCCAGGCTGCTACTGGGTAGGGCAGTGACCTGGCCACTCATCAGGGCCTCCATCTCTTCAAAGAAGGGGCAGGTCTCAGATGGGTGGCCACTCTTGACTTTTCGATAGCTCTTCTGAAGACCTTTAAACTTGGTCCGGCACTGTTCCAGGATTTGAAGGAAGCCATGCTCTCGGAGCCACTCAGCCACAGCCCCATACACTTGGCTGTTTCGATGACAGTTTCGGAGAGCTTCATAAAACTCAGTCTGGCTGAGAATGGCAAGGAAAGTTCTGGTCTCCTCATAACCCCAATGCACGCCTATGACCTTCTCATCCTCAAAACTCCTGTGATCCTGTCCCACCCAGCTTTTTCTCTCTCCCTTTGGGTGTTAAGAAATCAACATGCACTCTTCTGTTTCCTGCGTGGCTGTCTCTTGGGAGCTCTTGCTCTTTGGAGCCCAGTGAATCTGGGGTCCATGCTTGTGCCTGCTCCGAAATGGGAATCCTGCTTGCAGGGAAGCAGAGAAAGGGTGTCGTGGTTTGGACTAACCATAAAAGACTTCTGAATTCAGTCCCACCTTTTTAATCCAAGTTATTTTAAATGTTCCCAGAAAGTTCAGTAGGTGGAAGAAAGTGAAAAATACAGGAAACCTAAAAGATGGACAACATTATATTTTACAAAGTAGGTTGCTGAGAGGAAAAGGTTTGTGTTTTCAGAGCAGATAATTCTACCCCAAGTTACTCTAGTCCTCCTGTCACTTGTCTGGTGTCTCAGCAATGGCGGGAACATACCCTTCACTCCATCCACAGAATTTAAGTGGCGACTTGAAGGAGGAAGGGAAGGGGAGACTGTGTTCAGTTTATGTTTCCTGCACTTAGTCATTGCATTCTGAAGATGTTTCCCTTAGTAAGTCCTTCCTCTTCGTTCGCACTGCCCCTGCCCGAGGCCAGGCTCCTCATCTTCTCATACCTGGGTGACTGCAGTACTCCAAGCTGTCCTAACTGCAGGCTTACTCTTGCTCAGCCCACGCGCTGTCCTGCTGAGCCTTGACCTTAGTTTCTAGCGTACACTCTCCATTCCTGTTAAGACTTTTCTCTCCAGAACAGTGCATACTTATTCACCACTTTAAGTATTTTCTTGAACTCTGTTCTCCTAGCCAAATTCAAAAAGCTGTTTGTTAGTGCCTCTAAGACGCCTTCCTGCAGCCTTCCGTCTCTTTCATTCTGCCAGACTCTTCACTATTCAAGGAGCAGGTTATCGACACCTTCAATACAGTTCATTACATTCTTATAATTTGCTGCTGTGTTTTCAGTCTGAGCAAGCTGTTTGAGGAAAGGTACCTTCTCTTGTTGCAGTTTCCTTCCAGGAGCTGAGACATGACAGTTGTCCAGAAACAATCATCTCACAAGTCTGTGGGTGAGGCTGACAGAGTTCGTCAGGATGACTAAACACAGCCCGTCACCAAGCTGGTGGGGAAGGCTCTCCTCTTAAGATGATAAGACCGGAATCCAAAACAACCTCAACATGTTTGAAATGATCAAAGAAAAACAAGCATAGAGAGTGGAATTCAACAGAAAATGGAGAAGAAAGTTCTATATAATCGAGAACAAGTGACTAAGTAAAAAAAGCAAAGCATCTGAGAAAGCTAAAAGTCCTGAGAGTTACTAGGTGAAAAAATTTATATAATTCTTTTTTTTTTTTAAAGATTTATTTTTATTATTTTTTCATTGGAAAGGCGGATATACAGAGAGGAGAGACAGAGAGGAAGATCTTCCGTCCGATGATTCACTCCCCAAGTGAGCGCAACGGGCCGATACTATGCCGATCCAAAGCCAGGAGCCTCTTGCGGGTCTCCCATGTGGGTGCAGGGTCCCAAAGCTTTGGGCCGTCCTCGACTGCTTTCCCAGGCCACAGGCAGGGAGCTGGAAGGGAAGCGGGGCTGCTGGGATTAGAACCAGCGCCCATATGGGATCCCGGGCGTGCAAGGTGAGGACCTTTAACCACTTGCGCCACTGCGTCGGGCCCCAAAAAAATTTATATAATTCTAAACTGTGCTATACTGGAAGAAGATCCCACGATACTCTGAAATAAAATTCTTAGCCTCTAAGAGACATAACTTCACTGGGATTCTACAAATATAATATATAAACTGAGTGTGTGTGTGTACCTATGTATATGATTCACAATCAACCTATCTGGAGAATTCAAAAGTTCCTAAGCAGAGTGACAGAAACTTAAATCTAAAGAATGAAGCTTCTAGGAAGAAACTTAGATATAGTTCAATTTAGAGAAGAAAAAAAACTAAAAGAAAAATGTGCCTTCAAGTATGGAAAATGATTTCTATTTAGAAAATAGTGACCTACTGTCATCAATAGCAGGAAACAAAATAATTCTAGGGTGTAATAAACACTAGGGAACCATTCTCTATCGGAAATAAAGAAGACTAAACTACATGCCTTGAGGTCTCCAGCAAGTACATATTCTGCAGTTCCTGCTCATCCCTGCAGTCCCTCTCCCACTATACCCAACCCGGCTTCCCGACTGACAGCGGCACTCTGTCTTCCCATACACATCTCCTCACCGCTCCTTTGAAAAGGTCTGAGCTTCTCCTTGCAGTTCCTCTGCTCCTGTGGTCCCAGGTCTGGGCTCCTTGCCCTCTCTTTCTTGGGTACACCCCTGGGCTGAGGTTCCACTGACTCCTGCCGAATACTTAATAACTCCCGTGATGATTTCAGGGGTGTCATCTTCACTGAGCGCACATCCTGCCCCTTCACAGAGACTGTCACCTAGAAACAACCCCTTCAGTGTCACTGCAAGATCATCAGGAGGGGCATTCCTGGAGAATATAACCTAATATCCCCAAAGAGATGGTCCTGTAGGGATTTGGCTAGGGTTGTAGGGCGGTGGGGAAGGTTCTGGCCAACAAGGGTCATCTTTTACAATTTGTAGAGCAGCTGGAACTCCCGAGGAAAAGATCAAAATAGTAAATCCAACTACAGCGGCTGAAACATGCCTTGCCTTTTCCACTATAAAATAGGAAATCAGGGAGAACTCATGTCAGGGTAGGCAAAGCTGCACCCAGGGAGCCTCATCCAACACATGCTACCTGAGAAGCTACCAGTTCCAGACCAGAAATAGAAGCACTGTGGGAGTCTGTGCTCCCCTTTAAGCCTGTCTCTGTGTTCCCTCTGCTGCAGTCATTTCCCAATCCCACACTTGTCACTTTGCCCCACTCTCTTCCTCACCGGGAGTCCAGGTCTGCCAGGCATTCTCTCTAAATCCTCCAGAGTCACTGCTTCCTTTCCATTTTCTGGACACTGCTCTTGGACCCAGTTCTGGATCTCCCCAGGTAAGATGGTTAGGAACTGCTCCAGTACCAACAATTCCACGATCTGCTCCTTGGTGCACACTTCTGGCCTCAGCCACCTACAGCAGAATTCCCAGAGCTGGCTGGCCCAGCCACCTCCTGGTAATGGAATCTCCTGAAGCGCAGGTCTCGGAATTAGTGCCATTCCCTCTCAAGGTGGGTTTGGCCATCATGCACCGCAGACAGCAGTGGCCCTCTAGGGCTCACGCCTATCTCCCCATAGCCTTGGAGAATCCCCTGCAGATGAGTCTCTTTGTGAGAGGAGTTTCTCCCTAGAGTAGGGGGGGCACGATCAAAAAGAATTCGGTTGTCTCAAGTCTTGCCAGAGCTGGCTCTTAATTAACTCTGTGAGACAGCACCATCGGCAAGCCAATACCGTCTTTCAAAAAAACAAAACTGCATTTCTGGGCAGCTTCAAGAAACAGCTGATAACAGCCCTGTCTTGCTTCTCCCCCATTTCCCCAAACCCGGTCCCATCTAACTCCCCCAACCGATGTCTCAACAGGAAGTTCACGCTGCAGTAAAGGATCGGAAAGTCCTAAGGTTGCAAAAACAACAAAAAGCCTCTGTCCAGCGGGTCGCAGCTCATCTCCCTTAGACTCCGCCATTACCAACTCCCACCGCCAACACTCAAGTACGGGATATCGAGGTTTTGCGGTCCCTGCCCAGCATTAGAGACCACTCAGGCTAGGGGTCGGGAGCTACTGCTGGGAAACCTTAAGAAGCTGGTGCGGCTCCTGGAGCCGGCGTCGGGTGGCCCAGGGGAAGAGACCCACAGCTGCTGAGGAGCAGGATCCGAGAGGCCGCAGCAGTAGGGCGCCCGAGCTGGGTGCAGGCCGGGGACTGGCGGGTACCGGGGTCCGGCCTCTGTCTTCGCGTCCTGCGGCCCGGTCACTCTGGGAGTCGCCTCGCCATCCCTCCGGAGGCCTCCGATGGGGCTAAGGCGCCCTGAGACACTCTACGGTCTGCATCTGGGAGTCTCCCCCTCGAACCGACTCTCAGGTCACTCGCAGAGCTGACCTCGTCCAGCATCACCCACCCAGGGTCCAACCGCAGGCCAGCCCCTGCCAGCCGCCTAGACCCGCTCCCAGACCGGAAGTCGGAGCGGGCGGCTGGGGGACGCCGAGGGCGCCTGCGCGCGGCCGGGCGGAAAGTCGGAGCGGGCGGCCCTGAGGAGCCGGCCGCGCGGCGCACTTCCGGGAGCCGGCCGCGCGAATCTCCGCTCCTGCCGCAGCCGGGCGGGGAAGCCGCTGCCTGAACGCCTGTGGAAGGGGAAGGCCTCGCCGCCGTGGTCTGCTAGAGGGGTGCCGGAGGAGAGGTGACATCCCGGGACGCCAAGTCCGCCGTGGGCATGATCCACGAGCTGCTCTTGGCTCTGAGCGGGTACCCGGGGTCCATTTTCACCTGGAACAAGCGGAGTGGCCTGCAGGTACAGTGTGGCTGAGGGCGCTTAGGCTCCGGGGACCGGGAGGGATGTCTGAGGGACTTGGGGGGCCGGAGGCTTGTCCCTGAGACGGTGCGAGGAGGACAGCCCCCCTGGGGTCCTAAGGGTGAGGGGGCCTCGGATGGTCAGACCCCCAAGGGTTCTGCGTTGCTGCGGGCTGTGCGGACACGGGATTAAGGAGAAGGGTCTGAGAGCTACAGAGCACCTGGTTTAAAGATAAGGAAAACACTTAGTGCTGTTTATTTTCACGCTAGCATTCTGTTTCTTAGTTTTTGAAGTCTCATACAAATACGCAACGGCCGGTATGATTTTGCTGAATGATAAAAATGGTTTTCGAGAGCGTGTGGGTGGGTTTCCATCGTGACTGCCGGAGAAGCCTGCTCCAGGTGGAGCGCTTTCCTGGGGCCTCCGAAATGAGAAATGTGTGAGGAGCAAGGGCCATGTGATACCTGTTTAGGGAACCTGCGTTCTGCGCTGACCCTAACGACCACCTGTATACATTTTGCAGCTTAATTGAGGCGTGAACCGTTAGCTCGAGCTGTGTGTTGCATACCCTGTCATGATCAGAGCCGAGTTTTGAAAGCAAACCTGTTCCAATCCTAATGTCTGAACTGCTGTCTTCCAAGTTGCTCAGTTCTCTCAGTAACTGAGTAACACAAACGTTGTTAGCTTAAGTTTACAACAAGTCTATTGAAGTTTCCAGCTTTTTATGGCTATTAAGTCCTGGTAGTGGCAAGACAGGTATTTAGCGGGAAGTGTAGGCTGTGCAATAATAGAAAATGTATATGCTAAACTTGTAAAATATAGGAATCAGATGGATTCCTCCTATTGTTTTAAGGTGATTTTGTGATTTAGGCATGTGTTTTTTGTTTGTTTGCTTGTTTTTGGTTGGGGGGGGTTATTGTATAACGGAGTTTGTGTTATTTCTCCAAAGAAATTCTTTTTTTTTTTTTTTTATTATTTTTTTTTTATTATTATTTTTTATTGGAAAGGCGGATATACAGAGAGGAGAGACAGAGAGGAAGATCTTCCGTCCGATGATTCACTCCCCAAGTGAGCGCAACGGGCCGATACTATGCCGATCCGAAGCCAGGAGCCTCTTCCGGGTCTCCCACGCGGGTGCAGGGTCCCAAAGCCTTGGGCCGTCCTCGACTGCTTTCCCGGGCCACAGGCAGGGAGCTGGAAGGGAAGAGGGGCTGCCGGGATTAGAACCGGCGCCCATATGGGATCCCGGGCGTGCAAGGCGAGGACTTAACCACTTGCGCCACCGCGCCGGGCCCCAAAGAAATTCTTAAAAGAATTTTACTGATCCGTGGCTTTGGGGCTTTGAAGACTGAGTTGACATCTCAACTTTTCCCTGGCAGAAATAGCACAGTGCTGAGTGTTGTATGGGAGGAGAATGTTCTTTGTGGGTGCTTGGTGCTCTGAAGTACATAGAGGTGACTGGAAAAATGGGAGTGGGCCCCAAGGAATTCCTCTTCCCTGATCCCCCCCTTTTTAAAAAGTCTCAGGTATTTCCCTGCTTTTTACCCTAACCTTTCAGCCTTAATGTCAGTTCCTCAGAAAAGCTTCCTCAAGTGAAATTTCTAAGTATTCTTGCCTCATGCCATTATTCTCTACCCCGCCGCTTGTTTATCTGCTATAATTCATAACCATTTATTGTTGTTACCTGTTTATAGACTGTTTTCCTACATCCATTATCTATATAAATGTGTAACTTAATATCAGTAACTTTAAGGAATTGTTTGCTGTTCATATTTCCAGTAATGTACCCACACTTTTTTTTTTTAAGATTTATTTGTTGGGCCTGGCGCCGTGGCCTAGCAGCTAAAGTCCTCGCCTTGAATGTGCCGGGATCCCAAATGGGTGCCGGTTCTAATCCCGGCAGCTCCACTTCCCATCCAGCTCCCTGCTTGTGGCCTGGGAAAGCAGTCGAAGACGGCCCAAGCCTTGGAACCCTGCACCCACGTAGGATTTATTTGTTTTTATTGGAAAGTCAGCTTTACAGAGAGGAGGAGATGCAGAGAGAAGTATCTTCCGTCCACTGGTTCACTCCCCATGTGGCCACAACGGCTGGTGCTGTACCCGTCCGAAGCCAGGAGCTTCTTTTGGGTCTCCTGTGCAGGTACAAGGTCCCAAGGGCTTGGGCTGACCTCTACTGCTTTCCTAGTCCAAAAGCAGGGAGCTGGATGGGAAGTGGAGCAGCCAGAACATGAACCAGTGCCCTTATAGGATCCCAGCACATGTAAGGTGAGAACTTTAGCCACTGGGCTACTGCACTGGCCCCATAATTTTTTTTTAATAATTTATTTGTTTGATTTGGAAAGAGGGAGGGTAAGAGACAGATCTTCTGTCTGCTAGCTCACTCCCCAAATGACTGCATCAGCCACAGGTGGGCGTGTCCAGACCTTCTTCCTAGTCTCTCATAGATTGAGGGGTCAAAGGATTTGAGCCGTCCTTCCACTATTTTCCCAATACATTAGCAGATAGCTGCATCAGAAGTGAAACAGGGCCCAACGCTATAGCCTGGTGACTCAAGTTCTCACCTTCCATGTGCCAGGATCCTATATGGGCATTGATTTGTGTCCCAGCTGCTTCACTTCACTTCCAGCTTCCTGCTTATGGCTTGAGAAAGCAGCTGAGGACAGCCCAAGGCATTGGGAACCTGAACCAACCTGGGAGACTGGAAGAAGCTTCTGGCTTCTGATCAGCTCAGCTCTGGCCGTGGCGGCTATTTGGGGAGTGAACTAGCGGTTGGAAGATCTTTTTGTTCTTCTCTTTGTAAATCTGATTTTCCAATGAAAATAAATAAAATATTAAACAATTTTTAAAAAAAAGGTGGAGCAGCAGGTACTATACCCAGTGATGCAGTGGAAGACTAGCTAACTATGCACCAATTTTTTAAATTTCTAAAACTGCCAACAAGAGTTCTTGTTGGCAAAGCAATATTTTTTTTTTAGATTTATTTATTATTGCAAAATCAGATATATAGAGAGGAGGAGAGACAGAGAGGAAGATCGTCCGTCCGATGATCCACCCAAGTGACTGCAACATCCGGTGCTATGCTGATCCAAAGCCAGGAGCCAGGAACTTCCTCCCGGTCTCCCACGTGGGTGCAGGGTCCCAAGGCTTTGGGCTGTCCTCGACTGCCTTCCCAGGCCACAAGTAGGGAGCTGGATGGGAAGCAGAGCTGCCAGGATTAGAACTGGCGCCCATATGGGATCCCGGAACATTCAAGGCCAAGGACCTTAGCCTCTAGGCCACGGTGTCAGGGCCGGCAGAGCAATCTTAATGATAAAAGTTGCTACAGGGTCAGCTTTGTGGCATAGTGGGTAAATATATCACCTGTAACGTTGGCCTCCTATAGGGGCTCCAGTTCATATCCCAGCTGTTACACTTTCTATCTACTACCTGCTATTGTACCTGGGAAAGCAATAGAAGGTGCTTTGGCCCCACTGTCCACATGGGAACCTGGGGAAAAAACCCTGGCTTCAGCCTGTCTTGACCACAGCTGTTAGATATATCTAGAGAATGAACAAGCAGATGGGAGACTTTTGTGTCTTTCCCTCTCTCTCACTTTGAATTTCACATAAATAAAAATCTTGTAAAGATTTATTTATGTGAAAGGCATACTTTGAGAGAAGGAAAAACAGGAATAGAGATCTTCCATCTGTTGGTTCATTCCCCAAAATGGCTTAGCTGATTAGAAGACAGGAGCCGGAAGGTTCTTTCTGCATATGAAATCGGCATTTGAGAAGGGGATCTGTAATCCTATAATTGCAGCAGCACAATCTACAATAGCAAAAACAGAAACAATCCAGGTGTGCTTCCAAGAAGAGTGGTTAAAGAAACTGGTACATGTGCTCCATGGAATATTATTCAGCTATTAAGAAGAATGAATTATTGCCATTTACAACTAGGTGGTCCCAACTAGAGAACATTATGCTCAGTGAAATGAGTTAATCTCAAAAGGACAAACACCATATGTTCTCTCTAATGTAAGGAAACCATCATGGAAAGTGTAACTTGAACAACCTAATCCATACTGTTTTTTTTGTTTGTTTGCTTGCTTGTTGTTTTAAAGATTTATTTATTTATTGGATAGTCAGATATACGGAGAGGAAGAGAGACAGAGAGGAAGGTCTTCCGTCAGATGATTCACTCAAAGTGAGCGCAACAGCCAGTGCTATGTGGATCCGAAGCCAGAATCCAGGAACTTCTTCCAGGTCTCCCACACGGGTGCAGGGTCCCAAGGCTTTGTGCCATCCTCGACTGCTTTCCCAGGCCACAAGCAGGGAGCTGGATGGGAAGTGGAGCTGCCGGGATTAGAACCATCGCCCATATGGGATCCTTGGGTGTTTAAGGCGAGGACTTTAGCCACTAGGCCACGTCGCTGGGTACTGTTTTGTTTTATTTTTGCTACATCCCGTATGTTTTGATGTTTTTAATTTGTTTGATTTATTCCAAATACTTTCTTTTGTCGAATTCATTGCTGGCTCATGGATTACACGGTAGCATCATTTTTCCTAAGAGACTTTTGTGTTTCCTTTTTGTCACCCATGTGTTGGTCACTCAGTGATGCCTTTTTTCATGGTGCTGTAATTTGCTGCTGCTGCTGCTGTTCTAATTCATACCAGTTGTTGACCTTGTTTCATGGCTTCTCGCTTAGTGATAAAGAACTGGGGTCTACCATATCCAGATGTGAGGGTACAGTGCAACATGCATTCCTGCTTCCAAGCAAGGGATGGACTCCCAATAAAACTGTTGGACATGTGTAGACAATGGTGGCCGGACTGTCTGACATTGTCTCTACCAGCAGTGTCGGGACACACGTAAATAACAGACTGATGGAATTATGACTCCTTATGAAGGACTACTATTACAGCAACATGGGGAAAATCTATCAGGGGGTGGAATTTGGGAGGGAAATCCCAGTCTATACAAAATTGTACCACAAAATTAAAAAATTCAAAATAAAACAAAAAAATGAAGGAAGGAAAAGAGAAGGGGGGATATATTTCAAAATCATAAGTATGAACGATATTGTCTGTATCTCATTTAGTTTTGATGTTTTTTTATTTCAGTTTTGTTTATTCCAAATAATTTCTTTTCTCTTGTTGAATTCATTGCTGACTCATGGATTACACGGTGGCATCATTATTCCCAAGAGACTTTGGTGTTTCCTTTTGTCACTCATGTGTTGGTTACTCAGTGGTGTATTTTTCATGGTGCTGTAATTTGTTATTGGTGTTGGTGGTGTTGTTGTGGCTGTTCTGATTTATACCAGTTGTTGATCTTGTTTCATGGCTTCTCATTTATGGAAATGTATAGTGATGGGGTATTGGTCTGTCATATACAGATTTGGAGATATAATGGAACATGCATCTCTGCTTCCAGACAGAAGATGGATTCCCAATGAAACTGTTGGACATGTGTAGATAAAAGCATGCTGGAATGTCTGACATTCTCTATACCAACAATGTCGGGGTACACTTAAGAGACTGATAGAATTATGATTCCTTATGAAAGACTACACCATTGTAGTTAAATGGGGAAAATCTGTCAAGGGGTAGGAGTTTAGTGGGGAATCCTAGCCTATACGAAATTGCACCACATAATTAAAAATAAAAATATATTTTAAAAAAGATTTACGTATCTTTGTCTGAAATTAGATTTTTATGGAGAGAGAAGGAATGACAGAAAGTCTTTCATTTGCTAGTTCACTCCCCAAATGGCCACAACAGCCAGAGCTGAGCTGATCCTTGGCTGGGAGGCAGAAGGTTCTAAAGAACATACAGTCAATCTAACCCTTTTCCCTTGCTTGGTGCTCAGGGCCGGCAACTTAGGGGCAGTTGCCCAGGTACCCTGCAGGGGACCTACCTGACTACATGACACCTGTCCCGTCACCCTAATAAAGAGCCCCCATCTACCCCTTGAACTAACCAATAGTGTAAGGGTCCCATACAAATGAAGGATACTAAAACTAACCCCATGATTGGCTAATTTTTGTATAGAAACCCTAAGATTTAGAGGTTCGGGGTCTTCGTCTTCGGGGACCCGGGCATGCTCGAATAAACGCTCCTGACTCCTGGTGATTCTTCGGGGAAGAGCGGCGGCGGCACCGGTAGCTGCGACGCCAACCTGATGGCGGTGGCGGCAGGTGACGGTGGTGGTGACCAAGACCTTGATCTCGGCGGCCCCGGCACCTACCTAGGGGGTGTGGCGGAGGCGGTAGCAGCAGAAGCGGCGGTGACGGCGGAGGGAAGCGGCAGAGACCACGGCCGTGACCGTGACCACAGTGAAGGGGGCCTGCAGTTGCTCGAGGCCACGACTGCCACGGGTCGTCCCTGGCGGTAGAGAGGCAACGTTGGCCCAGGGACGAGGAAGCGCCTGCAGAGCTGCACGCGGACCGGCCAGCTGTTGGCTAGTGCCGCAGAGCTGTAACACTGTTCCAGGCCATGCCTGGTTCAGACCGAAAGAGCTGAAACCTCGGCCCCACCTCCGCCTGCTTGTGGCCCACCTGCCTGGCTGAGCCCCTGTTAGGGGAGCCCTGCTCGCTCGCCTCACCCGCTTGCCATCCAGCTACCCTGCCTGCGGTGCCGCCACAACAGTTCTTCCAGTCTCTCCTGTGGATGTAGGAATCCAAGACCTTGTGCCATCCTCCACTGCTTTCCTAGACCATATACAGTAAACTGAATGGGAAGTGGAGCAGCTGGGACATGAACCAGTGCCCATATGAGATGCTGGCTCCACAGGGCAGAGGATTAGCCTACTGCACCACTGTACTGGTCCCTTTACCAAAGCTATTTTAAGAGTTGATTAAACTTGGGCCCAGTGCACAGTAGTCTAGTGGCTAAGGTCCTTGCCTTCTGTGCGCCAGGATTCCCTATGGCCACTGGTTCGTGTACTGGCTGCTCACTTCTCTTCCAGCTGCTTGCTTGTGGCCTGGGAAAGCAGTCGAGGACGGCCTAAAGCCTTCAGTCTCTATATCCACGTAAGAGACCTGGAAGAGGTTCCTGGCTCCTGGGTGCAGGATCAGCTCAGCTCTGGCCTTTGCGGCCACTTGGGGAGTGAACCAGTGGATGGAAGATCTTTCTCTCTGTCTTTCCTTCTCTCTGTAAATCTGCCTTTCCAATAAAAAAAAATAAATCTTTTTTTTAAAAAAGGTTGGTTAAGCTTAAATACATTGTCTCAGACTTTTTTCCTGCTTTAATTATTGTAAAACCTTTATATGGCATAGTAAGTCATTCTTTTCACTTCATTTAAATTAAAGTACAAATAAATGAGCTGAAATGGACAGATATATAGTGCTTATTACAGATTGTAGAATGCTTATATTTAGATTTTTATTAGAATAAACAAAATTTCTTAGGAAGAAGAGGAAAAGTATTGTATATCTAAGAATATATCTGAGAAACCTCTGGAGTCTTCAGACCCAAATTTGAGCGGAATTGCTAAAAAAAAAAAAAAAATTTTTTTTTTGAATCAGCTGCAAACCCCTATGTTCATAGATCATCCCCCTGGAAGAGTGCAGAAGAAACTGGTGGCTGGCTGCCCCTGGGAAAGCTGACTTTTTTTAGATTTTTACCTTGTGTCCCCTGTCACCTATTAGTAAGTGAATAGTAAGAGAGAAGGAACAACGCTTTGTGGTGGTTTATTACCCAGAACTTGGCAACCTTCAGTGGGACTCTTGGGAAAGGAAGTGATAAACTGTATGAAGCATCTGAGGGCTGCAGCAGTGCCTGAGTGTTTGTTCTGTCCCTCCTCTGCAGGTGTCACAGGACTTCCCATTTCTCCACCCCAGCGAGACCAGCGTCCTGAATCGGCTCTGTCGGCTTGGCACGGACTACATTCGCTTCACGGAGTTCATCGAGCAGTACACCGGCCATGTGCAGCAACAGGTGGGGGATCCTGGTTTCGGTGGAATGGACAAGGGTACTTCAAAAAACTCATGGAAAAAGCATGTTATGAAAACTCTTCATAGATGCATCAAAATGGACTTAATGTTTAAACTCCATTCCCCTACAGACTTCTTTAAAACTATTTATTTATTGGAGAGACTGACAGAGCCCTTGCATCTGCTGGTTCCACATGCCTTCAGTGGAGAGGGCTGGGGCTCAAGCCAGCAGCCAGGAACTCAATCCAGATCTCCTGTGTGAGTCACAGGGACCTAGTTATCTGAGGTATTACTGCTGCCTCCATGGTCTGTAGCAGCAGGAAGCTAGATTCGGAACCGGAGCTGGGACATGACCCCAGGCACTCCAGAATGGGTTGTGGATGTCTGTTTTCATATGTGTATATACGGTTTATTTACTTATTTGAAACTCAGAGCTACAGCAAGACAGGAGAAAGAGATCGTCCATCTGCCGATTCACTCTCCAAATGACTGTGACAGCCAGAGCTGGCCCAGGCCAAGGCTAGAAGCTTCAGCTAAGTCTCTCACACGAGTGCCAGGGCCCCAAACACTTGAGTCATCCTCTGCTGCTTTCTCAGGCCGTTAAGCAGGGAGCTCAGTTGGAAGTGGAGCGGCCGGGACACCAAACCACCACCCAATCATATGAGATGCCAGTGTCATAGGAGGCAAATTTACCTGCTGCACCACACCACCACTTGCAAGATGTGGATGTCTTCATCTTTATCTTAACTGTTAAGCCAGAAGCCTGTCGCTCTGTGAACTCTATCAAGTACACTTACACACCTGTAAAGGGAAGGAGCTCTGTCAAATTTGTGGCAAATTCATTAATAATTCATATAAAGTAAGTTAGACATTTCATAACATTGGAAATACTCAAGTATTGACAAGGTATCTAACAGTCAAAAACAATTTTCCAGCCTGCAACCATGGTGTAGTAGGCCAAACCTCCAGCTGCAGAGCCAGCATCACATATGGATACTGATTCTTGACCTGGTTGCTCCATTTCCAATCCAGCTCCATGCTTATAGCCTGGGAAGGCAGTGAAGGATGGCTGAAGTACTCAGGTCCCTGCACTCATGTAGGAGATCCAGAAGTTGACCCAGCTCCAGTTGTTGCAGCCATTTAGGGGATGTACCAGTGGACAGATGATCGTTGTTTCCTCTCCTCTTTTCTCTTAGTCTGCATTTTAAATACAATAAAGATACCTTTAAAAATTTCATTTGAAAGAGACAGAAACAAAGATACTCATTTCTCTTTAATGTCACAAAATCAAAATGGCATTGGCTGGTTGTAGCCCCATCTCGTCCATTCACCCCCTTCCCCTGCTATCAAGCAGTTCCTGTAGTTGTGAACATTTATCTCTTAGTACCCCTTGCAGTACCCTCTGGCTGCAGTGTTAACTCTTCAGCCCAGGCTTCCTACCACAAGTGTTGCTTCATTCGGCCTTTCTGTCTATGGTCACCAGACCCTTGTCACCCAAACCAATTGGCAGCCAGAGATACTGGTCGTCAGAGCCTCAGGTCAGCTGTTAACTACATGTCCTATATAGAATGGCTAAGAAGCTCCTATGAAAACTTTCAGATACTCTGGGAGATGAGCTTTACTTGTGACTAATCTCCAGAAGAGACTCTTGCAGCTCCTCGTGCTGCCATCAGACACATGTTCTTAGTGAATCACCAAGGAGAGTTAGGCAGTTTTGTCTGCTCAGTAAGTCAAAGATTCTCTGAAGACTAGATGCTGAGAAGCAGAGATGGAAAGATCTGATTTCTGCCCTCCAGAAGCTCCTGGTCTAGAGAGGGGCACATCTGAGCAGGGAAGCGGGCACACAGTACATTGAGGTGTTACAGAATAGCAGCCTGGAGCTGTTCTCTTGGGAATCGGAAGGGCTTTGCAGAGGAGTGGTGTCTGAGCGGGGTCCTGCCGGACAAATAGGGAGGTTGTCACCAAGATGAGGTGCACAGTTACAAGCTGAACACAAGTCCAAATTCACAGGGGCTAGAGACAAGAAGCATCTGATAAATTGTCAGTATTTTGGAAATGCTGGTGTAAAGTTGGAAGCTGTGCTAGATAATTTTGGAGAAATGGGTAAGGGTCTTAATGCAGAAATCATTATGTGCTGTGTCAAGGAGTCAAGGTATTTTTCCAGGGTGAGGGGCATTAGAAAGCTTTTTAAGCTGAGAGAATATAACAGATTGGAACTATGGAAAAACTTCCACTGATACGAGAAAGTACCACCTGGATATTTGTAACATCTAAGCCTACTTAGAAAATTAAGATACTATCACATTTTTAAAACATTAGAGCTCAAAATCTTCTATCAGATTTCCACCTCATTAAAGTGCTGCTTTGATAAGGAATTACTTCAACAGTGAGAGTGTCACTTGTAAAGGATAATGTCCTCCTCGGATCTCAGGGCCTGAGCCAAGAAGCTGACTTCTTTTTGTTTGATTCCAGGATCACCATTCATCTCAACAAGGCCAAGGTGGGCTACATGGAATCTACCTGAGGGCCTTTTGCACTGGTCTGGATTCAGTTCTGCAGCCATATCGCCAAGCACTGCTTGATCTGGAGCAAGAGGTGAGGAAGAGGAGATGGTGGACACAGCACCACTGGGGCAGATGAGGGCAAGTTCTTGAAGGTGAAACGCCCTTTTGATGAAGTCGGGTAGTTTAAGGTGAGCAATACTGTAAGGTCGCTTCCTCGCTGATTGCTGGAGCTGCAATCGAAGTAAATTACAGATCATACCCAAGGTCCTGAGTGCGTCTTATCTCCTGAAACTTCTTTATCTCCTGAAATTTAGAATTAATATTCTGTAACTTACCAATTCTTGATTACTTAAAACTGACAGTAGCCCATTCTCAGATTCTCATCTAGTTGCATGGATTAAGCTTGTTTCTACCATGTCGACCCCTAATCACGGTGTTTTTCGTTGCAGTTCCTGGCTGACCCCCATCTCTCCATATCGCATGTCAATTACTCCTTAGATCAGGTATGCTGCCCAAATAAGAAAACCTTTTGGAATCTGTTGATACTGTTAGAGTAACCTAACTTAGGATCCTGTCTGTGTTTAAAAGCTTTTTTCCCGACATTTTGTATTTTGTGCATGTTATGTGATTCATTAGAATTCTTGGAAGAGTTCCAAATGTAGTTTACACTTAGTTTCTGTGTAACTGCTCCATCCTGACATTAGTCTTGACGGTGAGGCAAGCCTCATAGAAATTCCTGCTCCACCAGCTAGTTCCTGTTTGTAGCCAAACCCCACATCCAGTTGCCTGGAGATCCTGGGTTTTGACTGTGGTTATTGCTGTTTTATCTTTAGTTGCATTCTATAGGAACAAAAGCATTTCCTGTGTTGATTTTTACCCCATTGCATTGGATGTCACACCTTCATTATTCTCTACCTTGCAGTTCCAGCTCCTTTTCCCCTCCGTGATGGTGGTAGTAGAGCAGATTAAAAGTCAAAAGGTGAGAAGTTCCTGTTCCTCTTCCTGTGGTAAGCACTGAAGCATTAGCAGTAAAATTTGTTTTGCTTCAGTTATTTTCAGAGAATCTTTTTTCTTCGTGGTTTTTAACTTGTAAATTTACTCATGTGACGTTTGCTTACAGACTGTGCTAATTGTCAGAAATGCAAAAATAACATAGGAAGCTGTCCTTAAAAAGTTCCTAGTCTAGAAGGCAAAGGGAATGTTAGTAGCTGCGCCCAAGAATGTTGCTGAATAAGAGAAAAAAAATGTTAGAGACATTGGAGATGGGAGTAATTTGTACTACAGGTTTAGAAATGGTGACTGTGGATGTTGGGGAGATGCAGGAAGTTAAACCGTAGAAGCAGCTTTATCACTCATGGTAGTTTTCTGAGAATAATGACACCAATGGATGAAACTCAGATGTTAGATTAATTAACTGAATACCTTTTTAAAAAGATTTATTGAAAGATCATGTGACAGAAAGTGAGACAAAGAAAGAGATCTTTTTGTAGGCCATTTTCCAAATGGCTGCAGCAGCCAGGTCTGTGCCAGCTGAAGCCAGGAGCTCTGTCCTGGTCTCCCCGTGGATGGCAGGGGCAAGCACTTGGGCTGTCATCCACTGTCTTCTCCAGGCATGTTAGCAGGAAGCCACATGAGAAGCAGGGCAGGGCCCGGCGGCGTGGCCTAGAGGCTAAAGTCCTTGCCTTGAATGCCCCGGGATCCCATATGGATGCCGGTTCTAATCCCGGCAGCTCCACTTCCCATCCAGCTCCCTGCTTGTGGCCTGGGAAAGCAGTCGAGGATGGCCCAAAGCCTTGGGACTCTGCATCCGTGTGGGAGACCTGGAAAAAGTTCCTGGCTCCTGGCTTTGGATCAGTATAGCATTGGCCGTTGCGCTCACTTAGGGAGTGAATCATCGGACGGAAGATCTTTCTGTCTCTGTCTCTCCTCTCTGTATATCTGCCTTTCCAATAAAAAAATAATAATAAAAATACATCTTTAAAAAAAAATGAGAAGCAGGGCAGCTGGCACTTGCGCTCTCACTTTGACATGGGATGCAGGCATCTCCCACAGTTATTTTGTTTGTGTGTTTTCCTTCTGTTTTATCCATTGAAAAATTGACTCAGTGTCAAAGTATGTGCTCTAATAACTATGAGTAATACTTCAAGATTTAACATTAAAAGAAGAATCTGCTCTCTTATTGAGTTGACCAAATAGATCAGTGGTTAAATATGCTTAACACAAGTCCCCATTTTTGTTTAATATTCGTTTTATTTGAAAGGCAGAATTGGAGAGGAGGGCAGGAAGGGAATGAGAGAAAGATCTTCCATCTGCCAGTTCACTCTCCAAATGGCTGCAATGGCTGGAGCTGAGCCCGCCTGAAGGCAGGAGCCAGAAGCTTCTTCCAGGTCTCCTGTGTGGGTGCAGGGATCCAAGCACTTGAGCCATCCTCCACTGCTTTCCCAGGTCCATTAGAAGGGAACTGGATTGGAAGTAGAACATCTGGGACTCAAACCAGTGCCCATGTGGAATGCTGATTTCCATAGGCGGAAACAGCCTGCTACTCCATGGCTATGACCCCAGATCTTCATGTTTTTAAGCCTTTATACTTGTGATTTTGCTTATTAGGGATGTTCACATTTATGAATATAACCACTTAATCAGCTAACTTGCCAGATTGCTGCTCTGTTTTCTGCTGTGTGTGTACTGGTACGTGCTACACCAGCAGACCAGCACAGAGGTATACTTTAGCCCTTCGAGCCTGATTGCTCTCATCAGGGACAGCACCCAGGCACTGTGCCAAGTGCTGTACATACTTTATCACATTTATTCCTTGATTGAAGGTCAAGTAGGTTGAGGATGCTCAGGCGCACTCATGAAGGTAAGTGGCAGAGCAGGGATATACATAAATCAGTGTAACTCCAAGTCCAGGCTCTTGCTCATCGTGCAAAACTGTTCCCCCAAAAAAGGAGGAACCTTCTAGATAAATGGAGTGACAGCCTAGGGTTCCATGCCTGGCTGCACATCTCCACTGCCTTGTAGCTTCTGCTGGCTGTAGAGAAGAAAAGCAGAAATTAAATAGAGGAATTGCAATAAGTGAATGTCTTTCCTGCTGAAACAGTGATAGAGAAATGAGTTTGTTGATGCATCCTAGAGTGCATAGGCTCAAAGGGAGAATGGGACTGGTTATAATTAGCCACTCAAGGACACCTTGTTTTTTATTTATTTATTTTTATTTATTTTTAAAGATTTATTTTTATTGGAAAGGCGGATATACAGAGAGGAGAGATAGAAAGGAAAATCTTTCATCCGATGATTCACTCCCCAAGTGAGTGCAATGGGCTGAAACCAGGAGCCTCTTCCAGGTCTCCCACGCGGGTGCAGGGCCCAAAGCTCCCAAAGCTTTGGGCCGTCCTCGACTGCTTTCCCAGGCCACAAGCAGGGAGCTGGATGGGAAGCGGGGCTGTTGGGATTAGAACCGGCGTCCATATGCAAGGCGAGGACCTTAACCACTGCGCCATCGCTCCAGGCCCATTTTTTTAAAGTTACAGCTTTTCTTTTCCTTTTCTTTCTTTCTTTTTTTTTTTTTTCTTTTTCTAATTTTTGTTGGAAAGGCAGATTTTACAGAGAGGAGAGACCACAATGGCCAGAGCTGAGGCCATCCAAAGCTGGGAAGCAAAAGCTTCTTCCAGATCTGGACACTTTAGAGGGCCATGAATATTATGAAACTGGGTTATGGTACACAGTACTGTCAGTTTGTTAGAAATTGTTTAAAATGTATGCTTAAAATGGGTGAGTTTAAAGTAAGTGAATTATATCCCCAAGTGTTTAAGAAGAAAAATAGTGGAATCTAGATACACAGGCATCAGAGTTGGGGAAAAATGTAATCCATAGAAGCAGTCTGAATGAGACCTTGACCCTCAAGCTGAAATGTGGAGTCTTGGTGGTCTAGCCCAAGGAATCCTGGTTTCTTTAGTGCATTGGTCCTCAAGTTTCACTCTGCCCTAGACTCATCTGGAGGGTTGGTTCAGCCCTATTCAAGACTTTGCACTTTGAACAAGTCCCAGAGTCAAACTAATGCTAGTGAGGAAGGGTACATCTTTTGGGAACAACTGTACATAACTGATCTGTCTTCATTCTCAGTGGTGGTGTGTGTTCCTGGGCACACAGAGAATACGAGTTGATATTGTATGAATTGGGTTTTTTTTTTGTTTAATTTTTGCTTTTTAAAATTATTTATTTATTTATTGTTAATAACATTGTATTATGTGATACAGTTTTGTAGGCACTGGGATTCCTCCCACCCCCACCCCTCCCACAACCCTCCTCCCATAGTGGATTCCTCCCCCTTGCTGCATAACCACAGTTCAAGTTCAGTTGAGATTCCTTCATTGCAAGCATATACCTAGTAAAGTCCCGGTCAGTTAAAAGCCCCAACAAAACATCAGCAACAATATACAATGTTATGGAATTAATTGACATAGTATTGAGTAAACAATGTTAAAAATAATGCAAGTTCAATTCTTCAAAACACATGGGTTGAGACAGTATCAATGACAGGTTCAAAAACAAACAAAAAAAATTACAGGTTAAATTAAGGCAAACATGTGGTATCTAACCTTTTGGGATTCGCTCATTTCCCTTAGCATTATAGTTTCCAGTTGGGCCCATTTAGCCACAAAGAACTGCAATTTGTTTTTTTTTTAATAGCTGAGTAGTATTCCATGGAGTAGATGAACCAAAGCTTTCTTATCCAATCCTCTGCTGATGGGCATTTTGGTTGTATGAATTGTTGAAAATGGACTCCAGTGTGACAAGGCTGTATTTTGTAGATTCACGGTTGTCAGATTCTGGAGACAGTCTACAAACACAGCTGCGGAGGGTTGCCTCCTGTTCGAAGTGCCCTGGAGAAGTAAGTCATAACTGCATTGTGGATTGAAAGTGGCCAAGTGACTAGACTTCTCTCACATTTCATTTTCAGATCATCTCGAGTTCCCCTCTGGGGAAAGTTAGGACCAGAGCAGAAAAAGCCTCATGGACAGAGGAGCCTGGGTAATCTTTATGATATCTCAAGCAGTGCAAAGACAGGGTGATTACCCAGGGGTAAGCTGCCTAGATGACCTTGTGACAGTTATCCTTGCACAGTTTCCATTGCAAGCGCCAGATATAACTTGTTACGCCCAAACATCTCTGTTATTTGAGTGACAGGAACTTTCACATCAAGGTCCTTAAAACTATTTATACTTTATACTCAGTACACTGGATTATACTCCAAGGAATGTCACTAGCAAAATTCCTGTAAAGGAAATAACTATGCACAAACGTTTTCATTGTAATGTTGTCTGCCATATCAGGAAATTTGCCAGCAGTGGAAGAAAGGACAAATAAAGATACGATGACTAGACAGACATTGCAGTTATAAACACCAAAACAACTTATGAAAATACTGTACATAGTACTGAAAAATGGGGCCAGTGTGGTACAGAGGGCAAAGACAATGCTTGTGACTAGAATTTCACATTGTAGTACCCGTTCACGTGCCACCTTCTCTTCTGCCCACCCAGCCCCTTCCTAACACACCTGGAGAAGACGTGGGAGGGTGACCTAGGTACCTGTGTCCTACTGCCCCTGTCAAAATCTGGATGGGGTTCCTGGCTCCGGGCTTATAACCTGTCCCAGCTCCTGCTGTTGCAGACATCTGGAGAGTGAACAAGCAGATGGGAGATGTCTCTCCATGTGGCTCTGCTTTTTAAATAATAAATATTTGTATCATTTTGAATAATAATTGAATTGAAAAAATGATAATGTTGTATTTGTCCTATCATTATGGCCACAGAAGTAAATATAGAGTATTACCAAAAACCACCCATTAGATTTTCCTGTTTCCCTCTTTTTCTTTGCATTCTTTCTTTATTGGAAAGTTAGATATACAGAGAGGAGGAGAGACAGAAAGATTTTCCATCCGATGATTCACTCCCCAAGTGAGCGCAACGGCCGATGCTATACCGATCCGAAGCCAGGAGCCAGGAACTTCTTCCAGGCCTCTCACACGGGTGCAGGCAGAGTCCCAAGGCTTTGGGCCATCCTCGACTGCTTTCCCAGGCCACAGGCAGGGAGCTGGATGGGAAGTAAAGCAGCCGGGATTAGAACCGGCGCCCATATGGGATCCTGGGCGTTCAAGGCGAGGACTTGAACTGCTAGGCCACTGCGCCGGGCCCCCTCTTTTTCATTTTTAAGAAAGAGACTGGAGAAAAATAAGAGAGATTGTGGCTGAAATTAATCACAAATTATAATAAATGGGGTCTGCCGGAAGGACTAAATCCTCACCTTACAAGTACAGGTTTGTGTCCCAGTTGCTCTACTTCCCACCCAGTTCCCTGCTTATGGTCTGAGAAAGCAGTAGAGGGTGGCCTAAAGCCTTGGTCTGCTGCATCCATTTGAGAGACCTAGAAGAAGCTCCTAGCTAGCTCCTGGTTTCTAGCTTTGGATAGGCACAGCTCTAGCCATTGGTGGCCACTTAGGGAGGGAAGCAGAAGAAAGAACTTTATCTCTTCTCTCCGTAAATCTGGTCTGCCTTTCCAGAGAGGAGGAGAGACAGAGAAAGATCTTACATCCACTGGTTCACTCCCCAGGTGGCCACAACAGCTGGAGGTGAGCTGATATGAAGCCAAGAGCTTCTTCTGTGTCTCCCATGCGGGTGCAGGATCCCAAGGCTTTGAGCCATCCTCTTCTGCCTTCCCAGGCCACAAACAGGGAGCTGAAAGGGAAGTGGAGCAGCCAGGACACAAACCAGTTCCCATATGGGATCCCGGCACATACAAGGCAATGATTTAACGACTAGGCCACTGTGCCAGGCCCAATGAATAAATCTTTTTTTTTTAAAGATTTGTTTTATTTGTTTATTTAAAATTTATTTATTTATTGGAAAGTCATATATACAGAGAGGAGGAGAGACAGAAAGATCTTCCATCCGATGATTCACTCCCCAAGTGACCACAACGGCCGACATTATGCCAATCCGAAGCCAGGAGCCAGGAACTTCTTCCGGGTCTCCCACATGGGTGCAGGGTCCCAAGGCTTTGGGCCATCCTCGACTGCTTTCCCAGGCCACAATCAGGGAGCTGGATGGGAAGTGGAACTGCCGGGATTAGAACTGGAGCCCATATGGGATCCTGGGGCACGTTCAAGGTGCTGGGCTACCACGTCAGGCCCCAAGAAATTATTTTTAAAAAATTATAATAAATTTTCTCTGAGGCCCTTCACATTTCTTTTTCTCTTTTGTGAGAGACACAGATACACAGAGCAAGTTCCCATCTGCTGGTTCACTCCCTAAATGGAAGGCTGATACTGCAGTCAAGGTCTTATACATGGGTGGCAGTGACCCAAGCACCAGAGCCATCACTGCTGCCTCTAGGGCCTGCATTGTCAGGAAGCTGGAACCGGGTCAAACCCAAGCACAATAGCAGATAGGGCTCCCACCCATCAGGCTAAGGGAATCCCTCCCTCACAACGCATAAACGTCTCTGTTACTACCACACAAGTAAACCCTCGAAAGGTGGAACTTTCTAGTACATGCTTTAGAGACTTAATTTTCTATTATTCTTTTGAAATATATATTTATAAATCTATGGTGAATGCATGTTTATAGTATTGTATAGGTAACACACATGTTATATGTTTACAGGGATTATACATATTGGATCTTCTCATCCTGTGTGATTCCAGCAAAAATAACAGTTAATGTCATACTAGCCAAAAAGGGACCCTGTTAAATCTATTGAATTTTAACAGGACCCATCAGTTTTGACAGTTATTTACACAAAAGGAAAAATGGTGTGCTTCTCCTGAAAAGGTATCTAAATATTTCAGACTTTAGTATGTGGGCTACCGTAATGGAAATTTAGTCACTTAGTTCATCCACAAGCATTTAAATTAGCACAGTTTTTAAATTATTCTCTTCATGACTCATCCAACTGTGAGGCTCCTGTTGATGCTGTAGCGGTTGGAAGCCTGAGCCGTCGGCATCTGTAGGGTGCAGTGTTTTGTAAATGGACTTCTAAGGTTCTTGCTTCCCTCTGCTCAGGATCCTGGCCGTGTGTCATGGGGTCATGTACAAACAGCTGTCAGCCTGGATGCTCCACGGACTCCTGCTGGACCAGTACGAAGAGTTCTTCATCAAACAGGGTCCATCTTCCGGTAACCTCAGCACCCAGCCAGAAGAGGATGAGGAAGATCTAGGCATTGGGGGACTGACGGGCAAACAGCTGCGGGAGCTGCAGGACTTGGTGAGGGTGCCACTAGCAGCGCGGTGTGATCCGGCCAGGAGTCGGAAACATTTATGGCTCCGTGCTCTTCCCTCCCCAGTCTGGGAACCTTCCATGAGTTCTTCAGATGCAAACATTTGCCTTTGTGATAACTAATATGAGAGAAAAAAAATAGAGAAGACGTTTGTTAGATTCCTGCTGTCTCCCTTTTTTCCAGTATTTCCAGCATGTGCACTGAGAGGTTACCACTATGTCTTCACCAACAGTGGCTTCCCTGGAGCTTTTAAATAGTGTGGAGTTTTGAACTGACTCCTCTAGGTTCTATTCATTCATCTACTCATCTATGCTTTCACTCGTTCTTCCTGTTACCAATCTTTCATCGAATGCCTGTGCCAGGCGCTGCTGTGGCTGCCAAAACCACATAACCAAGTGCCATGAAATTGTCTCTGTTATGGAAGAGCTGATGGTTTAGTGGAAGATACGGAAGGAGTTACATTAGTACACTAACTGCTCTGAAAGAATGGAACAGGGTTTTGGGGTAGGATCTGGAAGTAACTAGAGACGGCACTTCAATAGAATTTATATCTAAATTGCAGAGTTTGGAAGAAGAGGCCAAGGAATGTCCAGGCAGAGGGAAATGATGTTTCTAAGCATAGAGGCCCAGAGGATCTAGCTCATTTGGGGGACCTTTAGTAATTCAGTTGAAATGGTCAAGCACAGATGTAGCATTTGTGTGCATAATGAAGGATGAGGGAAGGAAAGAGTGGCGATCAGCAAAGATATCACATTAAGCAGCAGCAAAATGCAGAGGACCTGTGAGCAGTAGGAAGGACTTTGGACTTAAACCAGGAAAGTGACAAGAGCCAGTGACAAGTAGTAGGCAACAGAGTAGCATGTTTAGACTTGATGCTGTGTGGAGAGTCATTTCTTCGAAATTAAGATTAGAGGTATGTGAAGTAATAAAGAGAATGTGGGAAAATTTAGGTTTTCACCAGAAGGTAGGCAGGTAATTGCGAATACAGAAAGGAGAAGAGCTTGAGGGATGTTTAGGAGGTGCAGTCAGTGGTCCTACTGTTCGGCTGCATGTGGTGTAAGAGGGAAGAACCCAGGGTACCCCTTCACGCTTCTGCTTTGAGCAGCTTGGTGAGCGGTGATGGTAGGGAACTAGCTTTGCTTGAGTGAGGGAAAGCAGACGGGTCCTATTTGGGGTATGCAGAGCCTGAGCACTTGCATGAGATGTCCTGGAGACAGCCTCAAGATGACATGGTAACAGCCTCTCAGTCTAAATGTGTGGTCATCAGCAGGCAGCCTGGATGTTTGCCATCTGGGGTCCATGAGTGGCTTTATGAGGTTCTCCAAGATGTCATACATGTACATGTTTGCCTTTATAGTTGCACACAGGCCTGTGTTCTGAAAAAGATGGAAACTGTGAGGGTGCTTAGCAAAGCCACAGAAGAAAATGGGATTATCTAAGAAGCAAATGTGTAGAGCCCAAGGCAGGGAGGGTCTGGGGAGCGCCAGCAGTGCAGACATGTGTGTAAGACCTGGAAGAGGCACTGGCCAGCCCGCTCACTGCAGAAGTGAGGACCTGCTGGACTTTGTCACTCAGTAGTAAAGGCACAGTGAGGGTGAATGTCCCAGTGTTAAGAGGCACTGTGACTTGCACCTGCCACTCTGCTGACTGGAAGTGAAATAAATCCCTCCCAAATCCCTCCCACACTAGCAAGGTAAGAATTGTGCAACTTCAAAACTAAAGTCCTTACTTCCAGAAGGCAGAGACCATGGGATCCAGGTAGAGTTCCTAGATAGTTTCGTATTTCCACTTTGCCATACTTCATCTCTGATATGGATTATTTCCTTGACCAGCGCCTGATCGAGGAAGAAAACATGCTGGCTCCTTCTCTAAAGCAGTTTTCTCTGCGGGTGGAGATCTTGCCATCCTACATTCCAGTGAGGGTTGCCGAAAAAATCCTCTTTGTCGGAGAATCCGTCCAGATGTTCGAGAATCAAAATGTGAACCTGACTAGAAAAGGTAGGCATCTACTTGCAAGTGGACCACACCCGCAGGGGCTCCACTCACTTAATGCCCTCTGGGCCCTGCTGCACAGCCAGGCAGAGGGGGCGGCTGGGGGCAGTCACGGGCCGAGGTGGCAGCATGTTCAGGGCTGCTTGCCTCCATCAAGCCTCGCCTGCCCCGGTGTTCCGTCTGGCTCTGACAGCGCCTCCCTGTTGTGCAGGCTCCATTTTGAAAAACCAGGAGGACACATTTGCTGCAGAGCTGCATCGCCTCAAGCAGCAGCCGCTCTTCAGCCTGGTGGACTTCGAGCAGGTGGTGGACGGCATCCGCAGCACCGTGGCTGAGGTTTGCCTTTCCTCTTACGTTCTCAGGGGAAGAAAATGACTCTCCAGAAAGTAATCACTTTTGTTTGTTGAGCTTAGCGTAAAGAGGATTGAGAGTTAAAGCGTACAAAGTTAAAATATAATAAAGGCAAGGTTCGCTTGAGCCTTAATTAGTAAAATAAAGGGGAGACCTTAATTTCATTGCTGGCTGTTGGCATTTTGAATCTGCCTATAACCTTAGCAGGAAGTCCGAAGAATCAGGCTAGTGCCTTCCTTATCTTGTACCATGGCTTCATGAGTTCTGCTTCCAGAGGCAGCCATCATGGCACACAGTGGGTTGAGCCCCCTCTAGGATTCCCACACCTCCTGCCTCCTCCAGCTCCTATGCAGCTTCTTGCTGCTGTTGTGCCTTAGTTCCTGTGTAGAGCTGAGATCTGTATGGAGTTCCAGGATTCTGGCTTTGACCTGTTACAGGTGTTTGGAAAGTGAACCAATGAATGGAATTTTTTTTTTTCCCCTTAAAGATTTATTTTTATTGGAAAGTCAGATTTACAGAGAGAAAGATCTTCCGTTCTCTGGTTCGCTCCCCAATTGGCCACAATGGCTAATTGCTCTGACCCGAAGCCAGGAGCCAGGAGCTTCTTCTGGGTCTCCTACAAGGGTACAGGGTCCCAGGACTTTGGACCATCCTCTACTGCTTTTCTAGGCTACAAACAGGGAGCTGGAAGGGAAGTAGAGCAGCTGGGATATGAACCAGCATCCATATGGGATCACAGCGCATACAAGGCAAGGACTTTAGCCACTGGGCTATTGTACCAGGCCCTGAATTGAATTTTTTTCTTCACCTTTGTCTTTGTCTCTCTGTGTCACTCTGACTTTCAAATAAATAAACCTTTTTAAAGAAATAAATGATGTTGATGCTAGAACTGTGGTGTAGTGGGAAAAGCTGTTGCCTGCAGCGCCAGCATCACATATTGGCACCAGCTCGAGTTCCACCTGCTCTACTTACACTCCTGCTCCCTGATAATGTATCTGGTAAATTAGCAAAGGATGGCCGAAGCACTTGGCCCCTGGCATCTATATGAGGGATCCAGAGCAGTTGGCTGCTGGCTAATTAACATAATTCTTTTTTTATGTTTTTGTATGTGTACATTGCTATTATCTTTTTCCTTAAAGCATATTAAGAATTTTGGGGGCACTGGCAGTGTAGCCTAGTGCCCCTAACCCAGCTCCAGATGTTATGGCCATTTGGGGAGTAAACCAATGGATGGAAGTGCGCACTCTCTCTCCATTTCTGTCTTTTTTGCTCTCTGTAACTCTACTTTCCAAATAAATACTCTTTAACACTGTGCATTTTAATGAAGAGTATTTTAGGTTCTTTGTGTCATAGCTCAGGTTTATTTATTTGAGAAGCAATGAGAGTGTGAAAGCATATACCTGCACAGGGTCCTATCCACTGACTTGCTTCCCATATGGCTGCAACTGCTGAGGCTGGCCCAGGCCGGAACTTGGAGCTGGGAACTCAACCCAGCTCTCCCACATGGATGGCAGGGACCCAGTTCTCACTGCCCACGTCTGCAGCAGCTGGAAGCCGGGGTCAAGAGCCCGAGCTGGGAAGCTGTCTGATGTGGGATGTACAGGTCGTCTTGCCACTGTGCCTAACACCCTGAAGACAAATTCAGAGACCACGATGGAATTGTAAGAAGTGAAGGAAGGCCTGGCGGCGTGGCCTAGCAGCTAAAGTCCTCGCCTTGAATGCCCAGGATCCCATGTGGGTGCCGGTTCTAATCCCGACAGCCCTGCTTCCCAGCCAGCTCCCCGCTTTTGGCCTGGGAAAGCAATCAAGGACGGCCCAATGCTTTGGGATCCTGCACCCATGTGGGAGACCTGGAGGAAGTTCCTGGATCCTGGCTTCGGATCGGCATAACGTCGGCCGTTGTGGTCACTTGGGGAGTGAATCATCGGACAGAAGACCTTCCTCTCTGTCTCTCCTCCTCTCTGTATATCTGACTTTGTAAAAAAAAAAAAAAAGTGAAGGAAGCAAACTGAGTAAACAGGGAGGATACACTGCTACATGATTGTAGCATTTGCCTCAGCCAGTCCAGTAGAGGCCTGTGCGGCTGGACTCCCCTTCAGAAACTCCCAAATCGGGGTGAGGGTGCGAGGCCCCATTATTCCTGTGTCTGCTGGTTACTGGCTGTGGGTTGCCTGCAGGGAGGGAGCAGAACCTTGAGTAAGGAAGCTCCCTTGAGCCAATGCCAATTCCTGGTGTGTCCGCAGCCAGCCAAATGCCCAGTGACTGGGACGATGGTTAACTCGGTCTCCCAGCAGGTCTGGACCTCACACTATCACATTCACCTGGTCTGTGCTGCAGTTTCCGTTCCAGATAGTAGCTGGTGTGCTGTGTGGTTTATTCTTGACCTATCTCATTATTCTGGCCTGTGTGGGGATGTCAGTTGCTGTCATAATGTGTATTGGCCTGTTCTCCCTAATCTGTCAGTTCCAGTGAGTTTAGAGAGAAAGGGAAATGAGCTCTTGGGTGGAGAACCCCAGTACCCTGAATCCCTGCTGCACTTCTCTGAGAAAATCCTGTAATCAGAATTTTGCCATTGATGCTGCTTCTGAAGGAAATATTCTATATTTCTATATTAATCACAAAACTTGAATTCTCTTACTAGTTCTGACAGTCAATCTGTGTGTCATTTCTCAAGACTTTCCATACATGTAGTGACGTCACGTGTTAGTAATGCCAGTCTTGGGGTGGACATCTGACCTGGCATTTAAGAATTTAAGATGTAAGTTGGGATGCCTGCAGTTAACTATCCTTTCATTCCTGAGATTGTTATATAGTGGCCTGTGTTCTTTTTTCAATGTATTGCTGGACTTGTTCATAATCGCTCTTCAGGAGTTCAGGGAATAAATGGACTTTTGTCTGTTCTCTTTGTTTTTTCCACAGCATCTCTGGAAGTTGATGGTAGAAGAGTCAGATCTCCTTGGCCAGCTAAAGGTAATTGCTTGAATTTAAAATGATGCTGTGGGTAGGGACTCAGGTCCTCAGCCTGCCCGAGGGCACTGGTCCCCCAAACCCAGTTTTCATTTGTCTCATCCAAGGGAGCAGACTACACCCAGTGCTGCCTATCTATCATAACACAAGATGTTAGAGTTTGCTTTCTTCTGGCCATGTAGAATCATGGTGCTGTGGGGTAGCTGGTCCCAGAACATGCACTGGTCTTCCTGTGGGGAGCTGCTGAGTGTGCTTTGAAACACCAAGCGCCTCTCTCTCTCTCTCTCCGTGGCTGAGGCTCAAACTGATGAAATGGAAATGAACTGCATGGCTCCCTTGGGTGTGAAAACCTCCTGCTGTCCCCGGCCTTCCTTTACTGGATTCTGACCTCAAATTCTTTCCTCAGATCATTAAAGACTTTTACCTCTTGGGACGTGGTGAACTGTTTCAGGCCTTCATTGACACGGCTCAACACATGTTAAAGACGCCCCCCACGGCAGTAACTGAGCACGGTAAATGCCCCGTGGCCCTGAGCTGCTGCTGTTAGGCCTGCTCCCGCCTCCAGAGTGGTTTCCCGTGATGGGAGATCTTCCAGGCCGGATTCCAGGCTGGGAGCCCTCCTTGGAGACTTGGTGCGGGGCGTCACAGCTGGTGTTCTCACGCATACCTATGTGGCAGACTGGCACTGCTGCCGTTGCAGTGTTGCATCAAGGCCCTGGGGTTGTGAATGATAGAGACCACACCTGAGCTACGCTCATGGGGAAAAGGATATTGCACCCTTCTGTCTGAAACCACAGTGGGACAAGGTTGTAGCTGGGCCTCAGCATGACGATGAGGGAATCTGGTACCACTCTCTCTCTCAAGTGTCCCTGTGTGGTCTTTGGTCATCTCCCAGGCTCTTCTGGAAATGTGGCCACCAATGGCTCCCAGAACATACCACTCCGTGTCCTCTCTACAAAGAACCAAACCCAGCCCCTCTGGTAACTGAAGAATTTCAGAGAAAGAGTTTTGATTGGCCCAACCCAAATCACATGCCTATCCCTGCATCAGTCAAAAGGGCCCAACATTAGCATTTAGCTAGTTCAGTAAAATGTGCACCCCTCAACCAACTGGTTCCCCTTCCTGTTCTGCAGGGTTGTGTAAAGATCAGAGCTAAAATAAGAAAACGGGAGGGAGTACAGGGGACATTCAGGATGGTCACCTCGGTAGCTCAAAAAACCAGTGATGTCTTTTGTACTTCTTGGTTGTAGATATCAGGAAGCATAAGTCCCTCAAGCAAATAGAAGGAGGAATTTATGCATTCCAATACCCAACAAGCTCAGGGGTGTGAGTTGCATCATCTGTTATCCAGCACCCCACCCCGGGGAATCACAGGAGCCATCCTGGCCAGGGGTGATTCTCTAGGAATCAGCAAAGAGGAAGAGGAGTGAAGGAGTGTCAGGCAGAGCAGCAGACGTCCGGGGCGTCCTGCTGCTACGTCAGGCTGGGCGAGGAGGCGGCTGGCGGAGTGGGTCAGCAGCCAGGCCTTCTTGCCAGCCCGTGTGTGTTTTCCTGCAGACGTGAACGTGGCCTTTCAGCAGTCTGCACACAAGGTACTGCTGGATGACGACAACCTCCTTCCTCTGTTGCACTTGACAATCGAGTATCACGGAAAGGAGCATAAAGGTTTGCCTCTCGCTCCCTTGCCACCTTTCTGCCCCTACTCGTCATCATTTGTATTCCCTTCTCCATTCCTCTCCATGTTTATAGCAGTCATGTCACATCAACCTGATGTCACCTGTGCAAACCCATAGCTTTACAGGTGCGAGCAGAACTCCAAAGGAGGTTGAGTAAGGCGCTCCAGCCACAGTTTTGTCTTTCAGGGTTTCTTTGTCATCCTGTTAGAATGGTCCCTGTTTATTTCCAGCTTCCAGACTTTAAAGATGGAGAAGAATTTTTAATAGACCTCTCAGGAAATTTCCATGCCCCCAAGTCCACCCCACATTTGTGTCCCTTTCATTCTCAAACAGCACAGACTCCAGTGAGTGCTTGGCTCACATGTGCCCTTCTCCTTACTGAGTCTCTGAGTCCCTGGCACTAGATGAACCAAGTGGTCTTCTTTTTCCTTGGTCGTTGCAGATACTGCTCAGGGAAGAGAAGTACCTTCTCGGGAAACTTCTCCGCGGGAAGCTCCTGCCTCTGGCTGGGCAGCCCTCGGTCTTTCCTACAAAGTTCAATGGCCACTACACATTCTCTTCACCCCCGCTGTCTTGGAAAAGTAAGTATTTCTGAGTTTCTCAGAGATAAATGTTACCCACCTTCTTTTTTTATTTTTTTTTTTAAAGATTTATTATTTTTTCATTGGAAAGGCAGATATACAGAGAGAAGAGACAGAGAGGAAGATCTTCCGTCCGATGATTCACTCCCCAAGTGAGCGCAACGGGCCGATACTATGCCAATCCAAAGCCAGGAGCCTCTTGCGGGTCTCCCACGCGGGTGCAGGTTCCCAAAGCCTTGGGCCATCCTCGACTGCTTTCCCGGGCCACAGGCAGGGAGCTGGAAGGGAAGCGGGGCTGCTGGGATTAGAACCGGCGCCCACATGGGATCCCGGGCGTGCAAGGCGAGGACCTTTAACCACTTGCGCCACCGCGCCGGGCCCTACCCACCTTCTTTAAGATTTATTTATTTGAAAGAGTTATAGGTAGACAAGGAGACAAAGGTCTTCCATTCCCTGGTTCACCCCCCAAGTGACCACAATGGCCAAAATGAAGCCAGGAGCCAGGAATGTGGAGTTTTCCAGGCCTCCCATGTGGGTACAGGGACACAAAGCCTTGAGCCATCCTCCACTGCTTTCCCAGTCCATAAGTAGGGAGCTAGATCAGAAACAAGGTAGCTGGGACTCAAACCAGTGGCTGTATGGGATGCCAGTGCTGCAGGCAGAGGTTTAACTTACTGCACCACAGCAACCCCAATTCCCCTGACAGAAACCCTATTGTTGAGGGAAGAAATGAGCAGGAATGGAATTGGCAAGTTGTGTTTACTAGTCTGTAAACCAGAGGCTGCAACCTCTTGGCCTTCATGGTAACAGATTAATAGGCGAGGAGGCTGTGGACATGAGATGGTAGGAAATGCAGGGAGTTGGAATGGATGGGAGGCTGTGGATCCAATCCACTAAAAAAAAAAACCATGGGTTTTAATGAGCCAAATAAGCATCTGAGACTTGTAGGTTGTGACCACTAAAAATGACATCTCAGGGTCCACAGTGAGAGCCTAGCCTGTGATAATTCCATTGCGCCTGGCAAGGATCTTCCCTAACTTTTGCAGTTTTTGTTGATTTATCTGGTAACACTTCCAGCCTAAAAGTTTGCTGAAGACTTCAGCCCCTGGCCAGAGATCACTTTTTTATTTTTGTTTTTGTTGGAGAGTGGTGTAAAAGATTTATTGATTTATTTGAAGGGTAGAGTTAAAAAGAGAAGGAGAGACAGAGATCTTCCATCCCCAAATGGCCTCGATGACCAGAGCTAAGCTGATTTAAAACTGGAAGCAGGAACTTCTTCTGGGTCTCTCACACAGTGCAGGGTCCCAGTCTAGGCCATAAGCAAGGAGCTGGAAGGGAAGTGGAGCAGCCAGGACACAAAGCAGTGCCCAGACTATGGCCCCAAGAGATTACTTCCTCACTCCTAGGGAGAGGCCACGGGGCAGCCATGCCTACTGTTTTGAGAGATGCTGAGGCACACCAAATGTGAAGCAGGAAAGATGAGGCTGGACAGAAGATCTTCCTCTCTGTCTCTCCTCCTCTCTATATATCTGACTTTGCAATAAAAAATAAATAAATCTTTAAAAAAAAAAAAGGGCATATTTTCAAAATAAACCCAAAACTATCACATCCAGTAAAATTAATAGTAGTCATTAATATTTCCAGTCCACACTGAAGTTTCGCCAGTTGTCTATAAAAATGTCTTTGGGTTTGTTAAAATCAGTATCCATGCAGGGTCTACTATATTTCAACATTTGATTCATCAGAAATACATTATTTTTCTTTTCTAAGATTTATTTTTATTGGAAAGGCAAATGTAAGGAGTGTCTGCTGATTCACTCCTCAAATGGCTGCAATGGCCAGAGCTGAGCCAATCCAAAGCCAGGAGCAAGGAGTTTCCTCCAAGTCTTGGGACCCAGCTCAGGGTCCCAAGGCTTTTGACCATCCACAAACAGGGAGCTGGATGGGAAGTGGGGCCACCGGGACATGAACCAGTACCCATATGGAATCCTGGTACTTGCAAGTAGAGGATTAGCCATCAAGCCATTATTCCAGGCCAACTTTATTTTTTTTAAAGAGAATGATTCTAAAAAGCTGTTTATATTCTTTTGTGAATTCCCTTTTTGATAACAAAATCCTATTGCTACGTGTCATGTTGTGGCATGCCGTTAAAGTTCACTGAAGCTGCTGTTTCCCTGTAAAGTAAGCTACAGCTTATGCCTGCCCTCCTGGTGGCACTTTCCTCCCTATGTGGAGGTACAGGGGGTGGCTCCTTGTCCTGGGGTCTGTCATCCGGAAGGGAAGGGAAGTGTGGCTCTTGACTCGCCTCTCGGTCCCAGGTATAATGTTGTCTTCAAGTACTTGCTGAGTGTGCGGCGGGTGCAGGCTGAGCTGCAGCACTGCTGGGCCCTGCAGATGCAGCGCAAGCACCTCAAGTCCAACCAGACCGATGCAGTCAAGTGGCGCCTGCGGAATCACATGGCGTTCCTGGTGGACAACCTGCAGTACTATCTCCAGGTCCGTGCGGAGGAGCAGCAGCAGGGAGGGTATGGAAAGACTTGTGGGAGACCAGCAGGAGGCAGCCAGGAGTGGCTCCTGTGCTGTGGGATAAAACCCTGGGGTACCTCTCGAGCATGTTTCTTGAGGGCATCTTAGTGGAAAGTAGAACCCTTTATTTGCTACTTTCTCTAACCTCTGGAATCCTGTGAGACTTAACTCAGTCTGTCAGTTCCTTGGACGCGGTGTGGGTGGATGAGGTGGGAGCCTGGGCCAGGGCTTTGTGGATAATGGGCTACAAGGCCAACTTTGCCTGTTGGCCTTATGGTGTCTTCAGTTAAAGTTGAACAGGGCAAATTATTTCTTTTTTATCCTGTTGGCATCTTACGGCTCAGAAACCTTAGGATATCCAAGATGCTGAAAGTGTGTATCTGCCCGTCAGGTCGACGTGCTGGAGTCTCAGTTCTCACAGTTGCTTCATCAGATCAATTCCACCCGAGACTTTGAAAGCATTCGCCTGGCTCACGACCACTTTCTGAGCAATTTGCTGGCACAGTCTTTTATCCTGCTGAAACCTGTAAGTAGGACTGCTCGGTTGCACTTACTGTTCCCTTAGGCACCTGGGGCTGACAGTCTGTACAACTGTTATGAAGAAGGTGTTTTGGTTTCATTTACTTATTTCAAAGGCAGAGTGAGGAGAGAACTTCCATCTACAAGTTCACTTCCCAAATGCCTGCGATGTCCAGGCCAGAGCCAGGAGTCAGGAACTGCATCCGGTGGCAGAACTCACATACTTGGGTCTCCTTCACTGCTTCCCGGATGGATTAGCAGGAAGCTAGATCCAAAGTGGAGCAGGCCAGTGCCTCAGCTTAGTACATTAATATCTACTTGTAATGGCAGCATTGCACAGGGATGCCTGTTGGTGTCCTGGCTGCTCGCATTCCAATCCAGCTCCCTTCTACTGCACCGGGGAAAGCAGTGAAAGATGGCCACAGTACGTGGGACCCTGTACCCACATGGAAGACCCAGCAGCAGCTCCAGGTGGCTAGTTTCAGCTAGCTGGGGAATGAATCACCAGATGAAAGATTTCTTTTTTTTGTAAACCTGCCTTTCAAAAATTTAATAAGTGCCGTTACCAGAACTCAGACCAGCACTCCCACATGAGATATAGGTGTGCCAAGCAGAGGCTCAACACTGAAACTCAACACCTGACCCAGTTATTTTTTAATATTTATTGGAAAGCCACATTAATAGAGGAAACTGATCTTCCACTTAGAAATTGACTCCCCAAATGGCCACATTGGCCAGGGTTGAGTTTTCTAAAGCCAGGAGCTTCTTCTAGTTCTACCACATGAGTGTAGGGGCCTTAAGCCATCCTCCACTGCTTTCCCAGGCAGTGAGCTAAATCAGAAAAGGAGTACTTAGGCCTGGCGCGATAACGTAGTAGTTAAAGTCCTCGCCTTGTTCGTGCCATCCCATATGGGCGCTAGTTCTAGTCCCAGCAGCCCTGCTTCACATCCAGCTCCTGCTTGTGGCCTGGGAAAGCAGTTGAGGATGGCCCAAGGCTTTGTGACCCTGCACTTGCATGGGAAACCCAGAAGAGGTTCCTAGCACCTGGCTTTGGATTGGCTCAGCTCCAACCATTGCAGCCCCTTGGGGAGAATCACTGGATGAAATTTTGCAGCCTCTCCTCCTCTCTGTATATCTGTCTTTCCAATAAAAATAAATCTTTTTAGAAATGGAGCACCCAAGACTGGCACCCATGTGGGAAGGTGGTGTCACTGCAGGCAGAGGAAGGTAACCCGCTGTGCCAGCCCCTCAGCTCCATTATTAACGTCACAAAGCAAAACTAAAGAGATGAAATGGCTGTGAACTTTTGATACAATATGGTGAGCTCCAATAGATGAAAAATTATGTGCTGAACCCCCAGAAAAGAGGATTTAAAACTTAGTAACTGACATTGAAGAAAAACCAGTGAAAGCATGTAGAAACTACTTTCCTCAAATTTTTTGAACTAGAACGCAACAGTCTGTCCTGCTCTCAGCTCAGGGGTAGGAGTCGGTGGGATTCTATGGGACTCCCATGTGTCTGTGAAGCACACAGCCATCTCCTCCAAGGCAGCAAACAGGAGTCATCTGGGCCTCGGGGCACTTCAGATCCCTGCAGCAAGCCCATGCCTCCGCGTTCTTAGAGCGCACAAGCTGGCTCCCCGTCGGGGGCAAGGGCAGGAAACCCCGAGTGGTTCCCTGCGTTCCTAGTCTGGTTTATGCTCCACGCAGTGGTCAGTACTGCCAAGAGCACCACATCACTGATGCTTCAGCAGCAGCCACAAGCACCAGTACAGAGCTGACTGAAGAGTCATACAGATGTCACTCGCAAGGGTTCTGTGAAATGAAAACATCCTAGTACCACGTGACAGTAAGTAGAGTGTCCTTATTGGGCGTGGATGCATCCTTGAGGAAAAGTGGAATATCAGAGCACATCACCAGCACTCTGAGCGCTTACTGTGTGCAAAGCACTAAGATGACAGAGGACTCGGTCGAGGCTCTGCCCTTCGTTCAGTCTAGTAGACTGGGTAGGGCAGGACACACATCAGTGACAACATAGGTGCCAGCACAGCGCTGCTCAGACAGGGGAGAGAAGTGGAGAAGGCAGCATGTCACAGAGTGTGTCCCAGGTCGGGGGGGCCAGGAACACTGTGTGTAGGAGCAGGGGGTTTGCAGCACTCTGCTTAGAAAGGTTTGTGTGTTTCCACAAGTCTTCTTGTTGCTAATACCAACTCTGCATCCTGGCAGGTGTTTCACTGCCTGAATGAAATCCTGGATCTGTGCCACAGCTTCTCTCTGCTGGTCAGTCAGAACCTGGGCCCACTGGATGAGCGGGGCGCTGCCCAGCTGAGCGTTCTCGTCAAGGTGAGTCGGCCCAGCCCTGACCAGAGGGGCCACAGAGCAACTCCCCCAGGCCAGCACACACAGAAGCAATGAGATGCAAACATTGAAATGTTGGAGGCAAAGATATTATGTGCCTCGCTGTCCAAAAATAATTCCGCCTTGCATCTCTGTGTCCCACCAAGTACATCAGCTCTGCTCTTCCTCATGCACCCCAGCGCCCCTTTCTTCCTTCAGTCCACATTCTATCCCCAGAGCTTAAAAAACTGTCTGCCTCTAACTTTAAAAAGAAAATTAACATTGTCATAGGAGAACTTATTTTTAAAGATTTACCTATTTTTATTGGAAAGGCAGATATACAGAGAGGAGGAGAGACAGAGGAAGATCTTCTGTCTGATGGTTCACTCCCCAACAGCCGCAACGGCTGGAGCTGAGCCAATCTGAAGCCTGGAGCCTCTTCCGGGTCTACCCACATGGGTGCAGGGTCCCAAGGCTTTGGGCCGTCCTCGACTGCTTTCCCAGGTCACAGACAGGGCTCCAGGGATTAGAACCGGTGCCCACATGGGTTCCCTGCACGTACAAGGCAAGGACTTTAACCACTACACTATCTTGCCAGATCTGACAATGTTAATTTGAAACCCGTCATTGAGAGAATATTCCCAAAGAAGCCATGCATTTCATAGGGTACTAAGAAGTCAGAAGTTACTAGAAATGGGTATATGGGAAGGCCCAAAAGTTGCATAACATTTTGAACAAGGCTTTTCCAAGAAAATTCCCTCCCTTCCTCCCCCAGCAGGCTCTACACACAGGCTTACACAGGTGAGTGTAAGAAGTGACAGCTTCGGGCCTTCTCCCCACAGGGCTTTAGCCGCCAATCTTCACTGTTATTCAAGATTCTTTCCAGTGTCCGGAATCACCAGATCAACTCAGATTTGGCACAACTGCTGCTACGACTGGATTACAACAAATACTACACGCAGGCCGGTGGGACCCTGGGCAGGTAGGGGCAGCCCTGGGCAGGACTCACTGCCCAGGTTTTTAATGAGCTGTGGAATTTCAGAGCTGGAGGAAGGCTTTAGCTCCACTGAGTCCAGACATCCTAATCTTAGTACCAGGTGCAGGAAGGCACCTGACAGTGGGAGGGGCTTAAAGTCCTTTGCCAGGTTTTGAATTGCCATGTTGGGGTGCAGTGTGGCTTCCTTGGCCAGGGACCACCTCCTTTTAAAGAATGCACCACGAGGCTAAATGGTAGTAGGCTTCCCAATGGTCTCTGATACTCCCATTGTGAAAGTTCCGTATTGTCCCTCCTTATCTTGCTAAGATGTCATCCAGCAGAATTTTCCTAAGCAAGACGCTGCGTGTAGGGTGACATACCTGCATCACGGGTTGCCCTGATTCCTGTTTCTTTGAAGGCAGTCTTGGGGAAACATGTTTAATGGCACTTTTCATTTTTCTTTTGTAGTTTTGGAATGTGAAAGCTTCTGCTTCATAAACCGAAATCAGTCAATCCCACCACATTCCCAAGTGACATCCTGTTCTCCAGTCACTCACCCCACGGTCTGCAACCCCCCAGGAGGACTGCACTTGTTCCAGGAGCACAGAGGCCTGCCCCTGCGGTGGGGTCTCCTCTATGGTGGCAGCAGGGACCCTCCGCTCACTAGACACAGGCCTGCCCCTTTCCCTGGCAGTGTGTTAGAATGTATCTGTCCTCGGAGACTTACAGAATACCCACCATGTACCTGGGTACTGCGTGCTGTGGAAAATACAGTGAGAAACAATAGAGATCACAAAGTGAACTGCTGCAAGTTCCCACAAGGAAAGGCACAGGTAAGCCAGGCTTTCCCTCTGCACACCAGGAACTTGTACCCACAGGTACCTTTCCTGCTCTGGGAATTTAAGATTGGAAACTTCCCCACCTCTTAATGATCCTTAGAACTAAGACTGAGGGCCAGCCTGGGGGCTCAGCGGGTTAATCCTTTGGCATCCCACATGGGTATCGATTTGTGCCCCTGCTGCTCCACTTCCTGTCCAGCTGCTAATGGCCTGGGAAAGCAGTAGAGGATGGTTCAAGGCCTTAAGACCCTGTACCCACACGGGAGACCTGGAAGAGGTTCATGGCCCCAGATCAGCTAAGTGCTAGCCATTGTCGTTTACAGAATAAATCAGCAGGTGGAAGATCGGTCTCTTCTTGGTAAATCTGCATTTCCAATAAATTTTTTTTAAAAAAATCAACGAAACTAAGAATTGAATTTTTTCCAGTGACTTCAGGTTGCTAAGAGCGTAATTCCAGCTAATGACAGTATGTTTAAAATATTTTCCCCAAAGGAAATGGTCCTTAAGGAAGTGTCAGAGCACCACTGTTGTAAGTGTGTGAGCCAAAGTAAACGGACCAGCCCTCTCCATGCCAAGAAAGGCAGCAGAGCTCTGGCCTCCCTTGTGGTCACGGACGCACATCTCCTACCATGTGCTGGTACTCCTGTTCCTGGCTGTGGCCGACCGGAGATGCTCCGCTCCTCTGCTGACTCCAGAGCAGAGACCCTGCACTGAAGAATGGGGGACATCATCAGGCATGACACATACATGCCAGGGGAGGAGGAGGGAAGAAGTGGTTTCCAGCAGCCACAAGGCAGCAAAACCACTGGATTTTCACTTGAGTGTTTCAAGTTTCCAAGTGGCCCCGCACGGATCTTACGGAGTCCCGCCACAGGCTCCATCGGCAATTGCTCCTTTTCCATTGTGGCTGTAGGAGTGCAGGACAGCCCAGCTCTAAGGAGAGACAGACAGCTGCTTTAAACTGTTAAACTGAAAGCTGCCCCTACTTCCAATCAATATTTGGCACAACTATTAATCAAGGCATTCACTTATTTTTAAATCAAGTTTAGGCAAACAACATGAGACAGCCTGGGTTAACCTTTTGACAGCGACACCACAGAGCAGTTTACTCTTAACTTTCTATTGCTTTGGCTACCAATCCTGAACAAAGGCCTAACAAGGAAGCAGAGGGTTCTGTCTGAACTAAAACTCAGTCACTACACAGAGATAAAATCCCAGTTATTACAACCAAAAAGATTCAACATTTATTTTATCATAAAAGTCCAGCAAATAAAACTATATACAAGATCCATGCAAGAACCCAGTAACACACAAGACACATTTAAAACCTGGTTAAAACACAATCTCCACAATAGCAGGGAACGAAACAGCTTAAGACCAAGTATCTTTAGTGAGAAACATAATCATGTTTGTATTTTGGATGCTGCTTGAATCCAATTCTTTCCCCAACAATGAGGCACTGGATCACCCACTCTTGTGACACCACAGGCAGCTGCAAGGCTTCGGCACACTTCAGCACCGAGGCAGGGCACGAGGGGTCCGTCACCACCACGTCAAAGACCCCTAAAGCAATATCTGAGGGAGAAAACATCAAAGTGAGGTGAGCCCTCCGTGAAGCAGAAACAAACGTGCTTTTTAGCCGCAAACATCCCACTCTGCCTAAATGTCAAAAACAGCACTGCTGCCAACCCAAAAGCAGCTGTAATTACTGTATGCTAGTATGGAAATGTCTAACAGTGACACCCCGAGAACCAGTGAGGCACCAACACCCCGGGCTTCACTTTCATGGACTCGCCTCTTCTGATAAGATCAGCCTGTCAGGAAACAGACCACTGGTCGCGGGTCAGGACATCCTTGCAGTCACAGGCGCGCACACACACATACACACACACTCTCTCTCTCTCCAGGCACCTTTGTTATGGGCACTTGAATGATGCTGCTTCACGGAGGCTGCTCCACCAGTCATGAGGATCTCGGACCACAGCTCCAGGAAATTCTGCTGCTGGTCTGACACCAGGAGTACCTTCAGGTTCTGGAACGGGTTTTCACGAGGCTGCCTACGAGGAGTGAGAGACAGCACTCTGGAACTAGAGACCTTATGATAGGAAATATCCAACAAATGGCCTTTCTGCAAAGAAACTCTGCTCTGAGTTAAGTTCCCTCAGCATGAAGTGTTCTCTCTCAGACCCTGGCTGTCTGATTTCTCTCTCCACAGCTGAGTAACTAAACAACAACAACAACAAACCCAAAAAACCCACCCTAGTGGCTGGCATACATTTGCAAGCCAATCCTCAATCTGCAGCACTAGCATCCCATGTGGGCACTGGTTCGAGTCCCAGCTGCTCCACTTCTGATCCACCTCCCTGCTGATGGCTGAGGATGGCCCAGGGCCTTGGGCCCTGGAACCCACATGAAAGGCCAAGAAGGAGCTCCTGACTCCCAGCTTCAGCTCAGCTCAGGGTGTTGCAGCCATTTGGGGATTGAACCAGTAGGTGGAAGATCTCTGTCCTCTCTCTAAACCTGCCTTTCCAATAAAAGTAAGTGAATCTTTAAAACAAAAACAAAAATAAACTCTCTCCTAACTTACATTTAGTGCTTGTGTAACTCAGTTTCCTGACCTTGTAGGTTGAGAACACTGGCATGCATTTTCAAATACTTCCTAGCTCAAGGAAATAAAATCTGTGAGATAAACTGCTGAAATCCTGTCAAACCCACTTACGTTCTGTAGATTACCCTACGGACATTCTGTTCTGGAAGCACTGATTCACTTGGATCCTTCTAAAACCTGCCTTCTCTCCCTCATAGCTTTAGACGGGCTCACCAATACTCACCAATCCAGGATTCTTTGCTCCTCGAGGCTGTACCCCGCTGGCAACAGATAATTACGGTAGTTCTGGAGCTGGTTGGCATGGCAACTGTCATGGACCCAGACATGAGACACACAAGGGATCCCACTGGCAAGGCACAGGAAGTACTTCCGGGTTCGGCAATGCTGGTCTGCGATGAGGAGACACTGGTAGGCTGTGTTACACTGGAAGGAAACGGCCAGTGGGTCTGCTGTGTGCGGCGGCCTCAGTGAGCTGTGGTGCTTCCCTATGCGTCCTCTCCAGAGCCCCAGCACAGCCCCCAATGCTCTGGTACAACTACCAGGCAGTTCCACTAAACAAACTGCAGGCTGCTTTGGTCCCAGCAACAGAACCACAGCTGTTACGCAGCCCAAGGTTCTAACTTCTTGTACAACACAGCAATCTATTTCATGCAACAACATTTTGGCAGGTTCTCAGTTCCTACAATCTGCAACCTCCCCGACCCCTCAGGACTCTAAGTGGGCTCTCACTGCTGCCACTCTGGGAAGCCACACAAATCTCACCTGGGCTTCATTGAAATCTTCCAGGATATAGCCAGCTCCTGCTCGAAGCTGCGACTCTGTGTACTGCTTGTTGAAAGGAGGAATTTCTAAGAATTCTATATAAAAATAAATAATCAGGATGATCAGTGGTTGGTTGATCAAGATGAGCACTAGCTGGCTGGTTTCCCGTTGGCTAAGTTACACCGCTGCTTACTGGCCCTTGCCCCTAGCTGGCTCCACAGCAAAGATGGGGCCAGGGCTCCCCACAGGTCAGAGACTGGTCTGAAGGCCCAGCAAATGCTGCTCAGGAACGTGGGGAGAGCAAGATGCAGAATGGAGGCAGATCCTAGACCCCAGCACATCACAAGCTCTGACACTCAGCCCAAGTCACAGCACTGTTCACAGGGATGCGCAACCATTTCCCACAATGACATATTCCAGTCTGTTACCATCACAAAGTTCTTGTGTCGACTCTCAACCTTTCTTGTTGCAAATTAAGCCCATTTCCTTTATTTCTGTGGAAATGAATAACCAATGTACAATTTCACAATAAAATCTTCAAATCTGGGCCGGGCACAAAAGCGTAGTGGTTAAAGTCCTCGCCTGGTACACACCGGGATCCCATATGGGTGCCTGTTCTAATCCCAGCAGCCCTGCTTCCCATCCAGCTCCCTGCTTGTGGCCTGGGACAGCAGTTGAGGACGGCCCAAAGCCTTGGGACCCTGCACCCGCGTGGGAGACCCGGAAGAGCTCCTGGCTCCTGGCTTTGGATTGCCTCAGCTCCAGCCGTTGTGGTCACTTGGGGAGTGAGTCATCGGATGGAAGATCTTCCTTTCTCTCTCTCCTCCTCTCTGTATATCTGCCCTTCCAATAAAAAATAAATCTTTAAAATAAAATAAAATAAAATTTAACCAGTTAGGGGTAGTCCGAATCCTATCTCAACCTTTTCTTTGAAAACCTTCTACCTGCTTGATCCTGAGGGCGCTTGGGGCCTGAATGCCAATGACTGCTCTACGGCCGGAAGACTAAGGCGTAAGGACCCTGGGCCATGAGAAATTGTTCCTTGTTGACCAAATACCTAATCTGCACTTGTTTTCTTGTCATTTATATGAGAGGAGATGACAAATCAAAAAAAGACATTAGATACTGTAGTTAACTGAGTCCTGGGAGATGAAATTCTAATTGACTGAAACTTCATCACAAACAAAAAACAAACAAGCCAGTGCACAGAATGCAATACCAGGACCACCCTCCCCTTACCCCGGGACTCAGTGGGACTCTCCCACGCTCCCATCCCCCATTCCTGTACTCCTAGCTCCCTGGAGACCACAGCAGGGACCTCCCGACCTGGGCGGCAGCACTGCTTTGGTGTCCTGACCGTTAGCCCCAGGACTCCTGCTGGGTCACTACTGACCCTCTCACTGGTCCTTCACTGCTTCCTTCTGTTCTAGCCACTGTTTACATCAATTTTTTTTTGCATTACCCTTGTCTAAAGCAGTTCATTTTGCTAATTTTTCTCAAATTGTTGGATTCAATCTACTTTCAAGGTATGAGGGCTGTGCCTAACTGGAGGCTAATGTGGAACAGGTTAATTCTACCACCCAACCCAGGAAGGAAGGTACTATATGAACCCAGCTTCTGAGGCCATTCCTGGGCCTGTTGGGTCAGTCCCTGATGCTGTGCTGCATAACAAAGACTGGCTATTACATCTGTTTCATTCACAAATAACTCAGGATGGATTAATATTTTACTACATCCTTGTTATGGGCATCTGAGAATTGCTATTTATGTGACACCTGTCACAGCTGGTTCAAAGCTGATTCTACCGAGGACTGTGTTAGTGCAGACGCCTTCAGCCTTAACACAGAAGAAACCCTAAACGCTCAGGCGCTGCCAGGCCAGTGTCTACAGCAGACATAGTCGCAAGCACACACTCAGACAATAGGACATCCCTTCCACAAATGACTACCCAGAGTTCTCACTAGATTTTCCTGAGCTTACTATGTTTCTTCATAGATACACAGATTGCAACAGAACTGAAAAGCTTGCAATTCACATACCAAAATCAGCACTGTTGGTTGGGCTGTGCCAAGTAAAACATCTGCAGAGCTGCCTTGTCAAGGACAGGGTAGGAATTGGCCAGACAGTATTATGAAAACAAGAAGAAACCAAGAGCACTATCACGGGCCAAGTGCCATCTCGGACATCATGATCAAACAAAACTAAAATAAAAATGCTTGGCTAGGAAGCTCCTCCCACGCAGTTCACCACCAACTATACCTATGTGAGTTCTGACAAACCAGCCTTTCCATACTTTACCCTGGCTATTCAGAACACGCCAGGCCTGCCTCCACAGCCTCTAGCTGTGCACCTTCCAACAGCAACAGCCTGAACAGCAGCTCCCCGATCCCCTTACCACATCCATGTACTTCTCCATGTGGCTGCAGTTGGCCAGAAAGTTTTGATTAACTAGCTATCGCCCACACCTAACATGCCAACCACCACATTCTTATGACAGCCATGTTCCCTAATTCAGTCCGCTCTTGCGAGACTTAACATTAGACATGCTATTTGGACCTTGAACCTAGAGGCACACTTGTATGCAGCCATTACGTAGAAGAACATTGTGATTCATGGAACAGCGAACACAGGATGACAACTGATAGGATATCATTTGAATGAGGACACTTGATTGGATATACAAAAGATATTTTCAAACAAGGGTGTGGAAACAATTGATGGTTCCATAGAAAGGCTTATGGGAACTACACAAGCTCCTCAATACCCCCTCCCATATCCTCTGTGAGCCTCAGTCTATAAAGCCTGATGCCACTAATAAACTTCGGCTATCTCATCAACACAGCAGTCTACACGCATTACTATAGGCTCTGTGCGCCAAGTCCATCGCTGCAGGACAGCGAGCACATTAGCCAATGTAGTGAATACACCTGAATTTGATCTTTTTCAGTCCTGGACTACAGACTTCCTGGACCTCTGAAGTAATATTTACATTTCCCCACTTAAGCATCCGCTCAAACAAAAGCAACGAACCATACATGAATGTAATACAGATCAAGGTAGAAAACAGGTGCAAGAGTTGATCAGTTTCTCTGATAACACTGGGTATCCATCCACTCCCAGCCTTCCATTCAAAAACAATGAACTTCATCTTGCACGTCATTTTGCTCCACCAGCACAAGCAGGGAAGCCAGCAAGGCCTTAAAAAAACCTGACCTGGTATGGCAGTCTATAGGAACCTGCAGAGGATACCTGGCACCACAACAGAGGGCAGAACTAATCAAGCAACTTCCCCAGCCATATGTTGGCAGTGAAAAACTGGGCAAACGGAGACTCTAAGATACACTATGTCAATCAGTGGATTCTGCAGCAACTTAATCGTGCTTGGAATGGTGAGACTGGCAGCAATTCATAACTGTTGAACTATCAAAACCACTTGAGCAGGACCCTCGGAGCGTGCCCCACATCGGGGACCTGAGATGGGTGGGAGGCTGGATGGGGCTCCTCCCTTTATCTCCCCATTTACCCCAGATACAGAAAAAGAAGAGAATGTGGAAATAATAGTCTTACCAGTTTCCTGTAGCCCTTGAAACTTTGTGCCCTAATTAACCATGTAAAGACTGTCAAATATAAAGGGGAAAAAAAAAAAAACCTGACCTGGATGGCTGCAGTGGAATAAAAGGAACTCTGGACGTTAGGCCCAACACTGACACAGCTATAACACAGATGCTAAGAACTGGTTCCCATTTGCCCCAGTGGACTGTTTTGAGGAACCACTGACAAAAGAATTTTACAAAAAGCTTTCAATAAACCATGAAGCAGACTGAAATTGGACAAGTATGCCAGCTGCTCTACCTTTGCAATTGGCAGGGATGCCGCTGGCTCACAAAGCAGATGGAAAGTAAAGAAGCATGCATGTATCACAGCTTCCTTTGGCCTTACCTTCCTCTTCCTCACTGCTTCCTGTAGGACCATCAGACAGCTTGGAGCGGCTCGCCAGCTTGTCGCTAGTTGTGGCCATGGTGAGGAGAAAGGCATAGCCCAGAAACAAGGTCTTGTTTAGCGGTAAAGGCCCCCTGGGCTCATCCACAGCAGAGGGTTCAGCAGCGTGATCCCCACCCTCGCAGGGGCTCGCACACTCTCCGGCCCCCACAGCACCTGGGAAGGACAGAGACACAGTCACCAGAGGGCTAAGAGGCCCTAGCACCAGGCATGACCTGACAGGCCGTGTCCTGATGCACTGCTCTGAGCTAGGAACCAACCATTCAACAGCCAACAGCCCAAGACCCCAGTCACAATGAAGAGAAATCTACATGTTTAAATTTTATACATTGACGACAATGTGTAGTACATTGTTCTCATAAATGAGTTAACTACTATTGTTTATTTAACCATGCCAAGTATTTCTGAGATCATCTTAAGAAGTGATTCTAATGCAAAGAATAGTCAAAAAGTTATTTGGATAAGTTCAATTTAGTCCGCTTTCTCTGCCCCGTAGGATACGGGCTAGTTTGAAGAGCCTTCAAACAAACCAAAAAACCAATACACATGTTAATCACCAAGTGTCCCGGCAGACCTCCCCCATCCCGGGTCTGACCCTTACCACAGTGGCACAAAGAATGGTAATAAAGTGCTTTCACACACTGCTGGAGCCGCATCACAACAGCCTGCTTCAGCTGTCCCAGTTTCTAACACAAGTAGGTGAGTGAACCAGCTAGTCCAGGACTCCCAGAACACCCATGCTACAAGTGCCCCAATAAGTCCTTGAAAAGAAAACAGGATACCTGGCCTGGAGAAGCGGAACCGCAGGTTCACTGGGAGGCTAAGAATACAGACAGGTCATGCATGCCTCCCTAAAATAACCAGCAAAACAACAATCTCAGAGGCAACATGATGTACATGCACAAAGCTGGACTTCAAAAGCCATCTTTCCACGCCTCAGATTCTTCACCTGGAAATCAAATTCTGGTACCTCAACTTCAAGGGATTTTTACTTAGGAGATAAACAAGTGATGCAGTTGGCACGGTGCCTCACACAGTCAGAATTCGGCTGTTTTTAAAAAGCCTGACTCACAACAGCGGTGGCAGGTAGGAGATGACACGGTTCAAACAGGAGCTCTGCTGCCAGGATAGTGCAGCCATTGCCAGCCTGCCAGGCTGAGAGAGCTCCTCGGGGGCAAGACCACATGCCTTCCCAGGCAACAGGGTCTGGGTCAGACTCAATGAAAACCAGAAAGATCCTACTGCCATCTTGGTCCTGAAAATCAGGAGGTGGAGAGGGCTGGCCTGGGTGGCAGGGGCCCAAGCTGAGTGCAGTCTTCCAGTGGCAAGTATGAAAAGCCAGAGGAGCGGAGTCTCCAGGAAACAAAGATGACAGCAGGCCAAGGGAGAGATCCAAGGCAGATTCCATGTATTTTCGATCTGAAATTCTCTGGACATTAACATTGGAATCAGCAAACGTCTGGCTGAGGCCTGGCCTCTGCTGAAAGAGTGGAGGGAGGATGGTGCCAGGGAGCAATCGGAGGGGCCACAACCCCAGGGGGGGCTCTCCCTTCCCAATGCCAAGCGATACTCACCGGGCTTCGCAGCCGCAGCCTTGCGGCCCCGCTTGGCAGGTGAGCGCTCCTCCTCCGAGGCCATCAGCCTCCTTTTGCCGGAGGGAATGCCCGCGGAGGTCCGAGAACTGTCCGCGACCTTCCGGACAGGGGTGGTGGTGCTGCTGCTGGAGGCAGTGGGGGTGGCTGGGGAGCTGACATTACTGCGCCGCTTCCGCTTCCCTTCCACCAAATTGTCTGTCGGAACAAGCCAAGGGTTGGTCAGATCCCAGACAGAAGCCCTGAACCCCACGAAGCCGAAGCCTGAGCTGCGTGTCACATTGCCCTTTCCTCCACCACCCTCAAGGAGCTCTCGTGTTTTCCGACCTAGTCTTTGCCAGTGCTGAAATGTCTTAGGCGCCCCCCCCCCCATAGAACTGAGGCCAGAAAGACACTAAGGATTTGCTCTTTGCTACGAGGAAGGACACGGATAAGACAGAAGATTCTAGGCCCGGCAGCGTGGCCTAGCGGCTAAAGTCCTCGCCTTGAATGCACCAGGATCCCATATGGGTGCTGGTTCTAATCCTGGCAGCTCCACTTCCCATCTAGCTTCCTGCTTGTGGCCTGGGAAAGCAGTCGAGGACGCCCAAAGCCTTGGGACTCTGCACCCGTGTGGGAGACCTGGAGGAAGTTCCTGGATCCTGGCTTTGGATCGGTATAGCATCGGCTGTTGCGCTCACTTGGGGAAGATCTTCCTCTCTGTCTCTCCTCCTCTTTGTATATCTGCCTTTGTAATAAAAATAAACAGATCTTAAAAAAAAATAAAAAAGAGAAGATCCTAAAGTTTACCATCCATATAGTCTGATGAGCCACATATGGAAATACTAGGGACTGGGGGAATGTTACTACTGACTGTTCCAGAAATCACTCTTGTCACTGTTACGCAGGCCAGCGACTGCTGAGGAGAGCTGGTCCAGCAGCCAAGGTCTTACCTAAGCTGATATCAGCTGCTTTTGTGAGGGGCGTGACTGCCTCGTAAGGGCCAAGTCCATATTGCTCTCTCAGTCTGTTTCCTTGTTCCAAGGACAAGATGACAGCCGTGCGCTTGTACCACTTCCGCTGGCCTTCCTTCTCGATGCTATAGTACAGCTCGCCGCACTCCTTCCGGTGCCCTTTCACCACTCCTGGAAAACACATGGAAGCTCGCTGCCATCGAAGGCCACAGGGCACCCTCCTCCCACAAGGGCCCAGCAAGGCCGGGGAGAACAGGGAATCCTGAGAAGCCAGCAAGGCGCTCAAGTTAGGACCCAACAGAATTCTAGCCGTCAATGCCAGACACAACAGTCAGGGTGCGTGTGGATGCTACCATGGCCATTAGGATAAACACAGTTTCTCAACAAAAGCAGCCTAAGGTATACAACCCAATCTCCTCATGCCAGCTCTTCTGCCCTGTAAATGGTTCAAGTGGTTCCCACGAAGGAAAATGGCACGCGGTTTGGAAATGCGCCCGCTGTGACTGGTGTGTCCTCCCCTCCTGGCTTTGCTGGGAGGCTCGATGATACGGGGTAAGCCTTCTCTGGAAGGCGCAGGTGCAAAAGGAAATCATCTAAGAGACAGCAGGCTTGTGTCTGGCTATCGTATAATCAGAACAGAGCTACAGAGAAGAGAAAGGGAAGAAACAAACCCAGTCTCACTTGCCCTCTCAAAACTGGAATGTCACAGCCCGGGAGGAGCAGACTCACAGTGCGCGGCAGGAACAGGAAACTGAGCCAAGGACAAAATCTGCTACTGACAAGCCAGGTGACCTTGAGCAAGACCCACTTCCAGACTGTGACAGACAGCACTCCTTCCCCACTCTATCAGTGAGCACCTCGCAGCACATAAATGAATTCACAAGGACAAGAGAGCCTTGTGACTATCCCTCATCACTGTAAACAGGAAGGTAGAGTTTACTCTCTCCCTTCAGTCTGTGCTTGAATGAAGAACTAAAACTTATCTAATCTCACCAAAGAAAAGGAGAGGAAAAAGCACGCCTTAGGTTCCTCATGATCTATGCTACAGAATCGCTCGCTCTTTCGCTCTATCTTCTAGCACACAGCTAAATCATGAAAATCACCTCAAGCATCAAGTATGTACTGCACACTGATGAGGAACTAGAAGCAGCCCAGCATCGACAGCTTCAACATACATTTACACAATCCCCGCCCTTTGCTGCCATGACCCACTCTGCACACCCAGCTGTCTATCCTTGTCTGTACTGAGCTGGGCGCAGCATCCTAGTGACTAAAGTCCTCGCCTTGCATGCACTGGGATCCCACATAGGTGTCAGTTTTCTTTTTTTTAGATTTATTTTTTATTACAAAGTCAGATGTACAGAGAGGAGGAGAGACAGAGAGGTGAGAACTTTAGCTGCTAGACCACCCCGCCAGGCCCAAGGCATCAGTTCTAATCCCGGCAGCTCCACTTCCCATCCAGCTCCCTGCTTATGGCCTGGGAAAGCAGTCGAGGACAGCCCAAAGCCTTGGGACCCTGCACCCATGTGGGAGACCTGGAGAAAATTCCTGGTTACTGGCCTTTGCCATTGTGGCCAGTTGGGTAGAGAATCATCAGACGGAAGATCTTCCTGTCTCTCTTCCTCTCTGTATATCGGACTATGCAATAAAAATATATCATAAAAAAAGTGTGTCTTCAAGTAACCTTCACAAAAACGAAATATTAGAAACAGCATTTAAACACTAATGACAAACACAAATCCTCCTCTAACACCAATACTGACTACTTTTTTTTATTACAAAGTCAGATATACAGAGAGGAGGAGAGACAGGAACCTCATCCGGGTCTCCCACACGGGTGCAGGATCCCAAAGCTTTGGGCCGTCCTCGACTGCTTTCCCAGGCCACAAGCAGGGAGCTGGATGAGAAGTGGAGCTGCCGGGATTAGAACTGGCACCCATATGGGATCCTGGTGCGTTCAAGGCGAGGACTTTAGCCGCTAGGCCATGCCACCGGGCCCAGTACTGACTACTTTATAAAGAGGCAAGTCACTGTTGTTGAATGTAAGTAGTGGATGCTCAGGGAAACAGACAGCTCTGACAGAAAAAGGACATGACAGAAAAGCTAGCGAGATCCAAACAAAGTCTGGAGATTAGTAACAGTAATAAGAACCATTTCTTAGTTTTGACAAAGGAACCACACCACAGTGAGGTACGAACAGAAGAGAAAGCAGGACGAAAGTTTGGTGATTTTTCTGTAAAACTAAATTATTCCAGAATAAGAAGTTTATTCAAAGGCAAGCAAACAGCAAATAAGCAAGACAGCCAGGAGCAAGAAGAACCACAGCACCAGAATGGACTTCCTGACTTCAGAGACCCCCGAGGAATAAACCAGGTTGCAGCGAACATCTGGGCAGGCCCCCAAAGAACAGAGTACGGCCCTGGACATGGTGGGTCCCCCCCTCCGTGACGGCAATATAGGTTACCTGGGCTGAAATATTCATCCTCTGAGAGCGCTGTCACTTCAGTATCCAGCGGGATGGGGTCACACAGGAGGATGTCTTTGCCCAACACATCGCACTCGTAGCCATCATCAAAGAGCAATTTATACTTCCCAGCTCCAACATCTCGTGTGATTTTCCCAGAATAAAAATAGCCATTGGATGACCACTTGGCGACAACACGAAGCCCTACAAAGCTGTTCCCGGGAGAGGAGGCATCTAAGCCATCCGAGGAGCTAGCAGTAGTCTGGAAAGGAATTTCTGGAGAATCACTACGACGCAAAGCAGCAGCACCCCCTTCTGCCCGTTTGCTGGAGTCTGGCACCCGGGGTACAATTCGGGTAAAGGACTTATCATCTGGTGACATGCTCGGTGAGATGTCTTCTATGCCCAGAGGGCCAGGTGCAGCTGTTTCTCTAAAGAGAGATAGGAGAAAGCAGTGAGGAGACATAGTGATACTACCAATTCCCCACTCCGCTGGGTCTCTATCGCCCATTCCTGATTAACTCCGTCACAGGCAAGAGCCTGGAACTGGGTTTCACTCTGATCCCTGCCCACTCCCCAGTCAACTGGGCCCCTCTTCTCCCTCCTAACACCCCACAGACTCTCTACTCCCCTCTCTTCTCGCTACTCCCTTTTATTTCTGAACAAGTGTATCTCACACTAGCCAGGTACCTGGTTCCAGTGGTCCGAGAAGGCGGGCGGCCCCTTCGCCCGCGCCCACGAGGCGTGACTGGAGCCTTCCCTGCCTGTCTGATGCCAAGGCCTGCATCACCATCCTCCTCACACACTGGCGCCCCTGTCTGACTGACCCCTTTTCTAGGACTAGAGAATGAAGACAGGTTAGTCTGATGGCACCTGCGACTGGACCCCCTTCTTCAGTCTCCCCCCTGGCCCTACCCTACACGTGCAGGGCAGCGAGGACAGCAGGAGGCTGGCTCATGAACTGGGGATTCGGGTGGGGAACCCGGGGTAACAAAAATAGGACATCCTCCTCTGGGACAGGATGTTCCCTCCTGCAGCCTCCTATTGCTGCCCTGCCTTCTCTACTCCAGGTTCTGGACACCTGTGGAAGACAACAAAAAGCAGGGGGACGCATCAAGCTGAGGCCATTACCCCAAGCTTCCTGTAGTCCCAACCAAAACGTTGGAGCTGCACAATGCAGGGTGGCTGGAGCACATACCCAGCATTTCCCTTCACCTGGTTTGTTGTTATTTTTAACAAGTTCTTTGCCAACTCCATCTTCCCACAGGGCTCCCTGCCCCACCCCCCACCTCCCATATTAACCCAAAATAGGCGAGGAGCAAGTGGAGAGGAAGAGGAGCGGATTTCTCCTAGGTTACTGCTGTGGGATTTCTCATTGCTCCCCCTTTTCCCTGTGATATTACAATGCCAGCGCCCCTGCCCCTGCTGTGGCTCTCTCTGGAGACCCTGTCTGCACCTCAGTTTTCCTGGGCCTCCTCGGGAGCTGGGTAAGGCAAAATCTGCGGGCTCTGTCCCGCTGGTTTTCCCTTTGAGTGGTCCGGCTCCTCTCCCTGAGCTGCCACTGCTGTGCATGGCTGAGAGACTCGTCCCACTTGACGTGCGGTGTAAGCTGGACGCCTTGGAGGAGAAGGAGCTGATATCCCCCAGGTCACCCGAGGAGACCCCAGTCTGTGACGGGGACACTTCAGTCTCACACTCCTGACACTCTACAATGGGCTCTTCAGTTTCCTGTAAGGAAGAAACGGATAGAGAAGCTTAAGAAAGCCGTTGCAAAGTCAAAAGGAGGTGATGGCTAGAAAATACCAGAGACAGCAAGAAATTCTGCAACAGAAAGGAGGGGAACAGGAGGAAGCTTCCAGGGATAACAGAAATGTCCTCTGTCTGTTATGAGTGGTGGTTGCAGAAAGCTGTTGCAAGTGAACATTCTTAAGATCTCTGTTATATGGGCATGTGATAACTCAATAAAAAATAAAGATGACACTGGATTGGGAAGACAGCAAAGTAATTGAAAAATGCATAACCTCTGGTCACCAACAACACTGGAATGCAGCAACAGGAGAGCGGATAGGCGAGGAGGTGAAGAGGTCAGTGGATGCAGCAAGTGGTCAGGAGAACTTTCACTCTACTCCACTCATGGCGGGTTAGCACTTGCTTACTGATATGTTTATTTTTAATTTTTGTTAAAAAGGTAAAGGGGTTACAGACCCATGTGGACCATTGAGCAGGATGGAGAGGGACCATGGGGTGGGGGAAAAGGTGGCGAGGAAAAGCCTCTACCCTCTATGATTAAATAACATTTTCTGCTCCCTTCTTTAAAAATATCTGCTTTAAAATTTATAGAGTTGTGGGCCCAGCAGTGTGGCCTAATTGCTAAAGTCCTCGCCTTGAACGTGCCGGGATCCCATATGGGCGCTGGTTCTATCCCGGCAGCCCCGCTTCCCTTCCAGCTCCCTGCCTGTGGCCTGGGAAAGCAGTCGAGGACGGCCCAGAGCTTTGGGACCCTGCACCCGTGTGGGAGACCCGGATGAGGTTCTGGGATCCCGGCTTCAGATCGGCACAGCTCTAGCCACTGCGGCCACTTGGGGAGTGAATCATCGGACATCATCTGTCTCTCCTCCTCTCTGTATATCTGACTTTGTAATAAAAAGAAAGAAATCTTTAAAGAAAAAAATCAAGTAAGTAAACATCTTGCAAAATAAATAAGTAGCCTCTATTATTGTTTCATTTAATAGCAATATTATTCCTGTAGGAGTGTAGTAAGTACTAATTTTAAAAATGTTTAATGGTCAAATAAACCTGGAAAATGTTAAGTTAAGCAAAATAAAATTAGATTCTATAATAGATTCTAATAAAATTAGATTTCTCAGAACATTGAATGTGAATTTCTTTACTGATGGCAGTGAATCAAATATTTACTGTTTTTCAAACTTCTGACCATGAAAATTGACCCCCCTCAGACTAGCTAAACAGGCTTGCTGATTCCAGAAAGATATTTTAGAAATAGTAAAGGATGAATTATATGAAAAACACTTAATATAATGAACCCAGCAGAGTTCAAAGTGAGCTACAACAGTTTCAGAAAGTTTTCTATGAAGATAAATTGATTTTTCCTGAACCTGTCTTTTCAGGCGATTATTATAATCCCAAAAAATTGAAACAAATATTTTTAAAGAAACACTAAAAAATGAAGATGAATTAGCATTTTAAAACAAATATCTCTGAGATTTGATAGACAATAAAAAGTAGAAGAATTTCTCAAACTTAATGTCAAATGTTACTTGACATAAGGGACACACAGTCCATTAAGGAACTAATTGTGTTGCATTTAACTAAAATATATACCAGAGGTTAGTTCTTCTTAAGGACAACTTCCTATGCTGCTAGGTGACAGGAATAAAGAAGAGTATTTGGGTAAAGAAAGGAGAAAAATAAAATATTGGTGATTCTTATCAATAGTTCAAACATATGTGATGTTTAACTTGAGAAAACATTTTGATTCTCAGCAAGTATTAGATCTAAACAAAGCATATGATGCTGTCAAATTAACAAAGAGTCAGCAAATGCCAATATTATGCTAACATTACAAGGGGTCTACAATGGATGCCACTAAAACATAAAGGCATGTCTCTTACCAACTGGTCCATGACACACACGATGGAGACCAAGAAAGGACAAAATGAGTAGACATGAAATTACATAAAATAAATGAAGGAACATGCATCTGAATAGCAAATTCTAAATTTCATTTGAGTTTTTAAGCAATATATAACATTTTTGTTATTTATACATGAGGTTTATCAATTAGCTTTTCAAGCTGAGATGGTTAAATAACTAACCAATGGTCACACAGCAAACCCACAGTCGCAGCATCTCTCACTTTTAATCTTTTCTAATAAACCATGGAGGGAGGAAATGTATTAGTGGCTGGTGGTCCAGGAAGGGGGCAGGGTGCCCCAGGTGACTCAGTTACCTCGGTTACTTTTCTTTCTACTTCTGCTCCGTCCACGTAATACACATCTGTGATGACCCGGGTGACGAGCGTGCGCACTTCCCGGATCGTCCTCATGTGCCGATGCAGGACGTGGCCCCGCGGAGGCTGCGGTATCTCATACTCGTCTTCTCCCTAGGACGGGAGACGCAGGCGTCAGCAAAGCTCTGGTCACCAACTGCCTGCATCACTCACTGGCTTCCCCTTGCATCGGCCTAGTCAAAGGATCCATCATCTAGCGTGAAGGGATTTTTCCAGTCATCTTGTTTTCTATTCACCTCTACATAACAACGGAAGCAGATCAGCTATAGGGCAAGAAGCTACAAAAGTATCAGCAAGACTTGAAATTACCTATATCCAAATCACACTAACACACCTAGAGATACTTATTTTTATGTTGTAGTCCCGATTGATGCCGACCTGTCAATTACTAAACAAGTTTATATTTCCAACAGTTCTTTACATAAATGAAGTAGAGAATGCCTGCCTTTTAAGCCAGAATGACATATCTGTTCATCTTAGTGCATTGTTTTTCTCTCATTAATAAGTAAGAATGACAATATACTCTTGGAAGAATGATTTCTCCCAGGATTAAATATGGAATATATAATATATTCCTAAGAATAGACAATGGTTAAAAAATTAAGGTAGTGCCTAGAAGCAAAAACATTAGTAAATTAAGATTTATTTTCATTGCAAAGTCAGAAAGACAGAGCAAGATCTTCTGTCTGATGCTTCACTCCCCAAGTGACTACAACAGCCAGTACTGCGCCGGTCCAGAGCCAGGAGCCAGGAACTTCCTCCGGGTCTTCCATGCACGTGCCGGGTCCCAAGGCTTGGGCCGTCCTCCACTGCTTTCCCAGGCCACAAGCAGGGAGCTGGATGGGAAGCGGGGCTGCCGGGATTAGAACTGGCGCCCATATGGGATCACAGTGCATTCAAGACAAGGACTTAGCTGCTAGGCCACCGCACAGGACCCATAAATTAAGATTTTGTATCGACTGTTAGTTTAAATATGGCAACTCCTTCATTATTTAGAAAAACCAGCCTATTTCATGCAAAAAAAAAAGTTTAAACTGCCATTTGCTGACAATTACGTGTGTAGGACTAGAAAAATGCATGTTGGAAATTTCACACAAGTGTAGAAGATTTAAAACTTCTGAAACAATTCAAATATGCTATTTTCAGCCTATAGAAAAACAAACTAAAATCACTATTCAAATGAACATGATAAATTAACATCTGCTACTTCTTGTTCAGAAGTTTTTAGTCATAAAAGGTCACCAAGGTCATGTTTTAATCAGATTATGCTTTAGTCAGATCTGGTTAATTTTTATTAACACACTAGATTTTTAAAAAATTTATTTATTTGAATAGAAGAGTTAAGAGAGAGAGAGGGAGAGATATAGATCTTTCATTTGCTGGCTCACTTCCCAAATGGCTGCGACAGCCAGAGCTGGGTCAGGGCCCAGCCAGGAACCAGGAACTCCCCTAGGTCTCCCACGTGGTACAGCAGCCCTAGGACTTGGGCCATCTTCCTCTGCTTTCCCAGTGCACTAATAGGGGGCAGGATCAGAAGTTGATCAGCTGGACTCAAACTGGCATTCACCTGGGATGCCAGCTAGCATTGCATATAGTGGCTCGCCTGCTGTACCACAGCGCTGGTCCCTAAGACCTACGTATAGTCAATAACTCGTGCTAGAATTTCGGTCTCGCATTTCTTCATAAACGCATGTTTACTCATAACACCAGCATCACAATAATCTACATCTTTGCTCTCCTCCCTCACCCTACTGGCTTAGAAATTTTTTCTTTTCATTTTTATGCATTTATTTTTGTTTTTGTTTCAAAGACAGATATTCTCAAACTATTAGTTCACTCTCCAAATGCAGACAAGAACCAGCACTGGACCAGGCCCAAGCCAGGAATGCAGCCTGGGCTCCACACAGGTAAACAGCATCCAGGGGTGTACTTCTGTAGGAAGCTGAATGGAAGAGGAAGCCCTAACAGGGGACCTACAGGCATCCCAGGCACCTAACCACTGCTAAGAAGGAAATGCACACTTTTGTCCTCATTTTCCTGCAGCTAAGCTGGTTTAACTTCCATTATTCTGTATTTAAAGAGAATTCTATTTACCACTACAGTTACAGCAACTGCCTTTTTCCTGACAATGTGGTAAACGTCAATTTAAGTTTACTTTACAGTTTCAGTAATGTACCAGAATGATCCCCATTCCAATTTCAATTTGGAGATGAAATAGCTGCTAAAATGGAGATTGCCAGTGGTGGTTACAAGTAATTGTAATCATCGTCATCCACGGACAGCAGTAGCCAGCAGCAGTCAACATTTACAGAGCTTCTACCACCTGCCAGGCCCAATCCCTTGTCTCAATCCTGACAGCGTCCTAATGTTTTGGTAGGACTCCAAGCAGGAGCTCTAGCTCCTGCTGCTCTGTTCCCAGTCCAGCCAACATGCCTGGGCCCTGGTCACCCACCTGGGATGGCTTCAGCCTCTTCTAGCCTGTACTAGTGCAGTCATTTGGGTAATAAATGAGTAGATGAAATCTCTTTCTCTCTTACTCTACCTTTCAAGTAAATATATATTGCATGTATAATGTGAGGAGTGATTTGAAGGTCATCACGGAGACTAATACCCTGCCTGGCGCCATTCCTTCTTCCTCACAGCTTGAAATTTGTGCCAGTCCAGCCATCCACCAATCAGATGTAACCAGCATTCCACCTGAGAATCCCACCCCCAATCCTCCAGCCCCTTCCCTAACCCCACTCGCTCACCAATCATCCCTAGGCATTCACCTGCAGGCACCAATCCCCTGGGGCCTGCCCTCAAACCTCCCAATCCCGTCCCCCACACCTTGTGGGCCTACCTGCATAAAGAGGCCCCAGAGGCTTCCTTCTCCCTGTCTTCCACTACCTCCACCTCCTTCCTGCCGCCTGGAATAAACCTCCTAAGATACCTCGCTGCATCTGGTATTTTCTGCTCATGGTAAAGAACCACGGTGCAGGAATTAGCTACGCATAATAATACTGTAATATCGTATGAACTAGAATTTAAACTGTTTTAAATAACATATAGATTCACTTTTATATATATATTACTTTATATACCTTATATATTTACATATTAATATGTATTTGTTACTTTTACATAAAGATATTTTAAATTTATTATATATAAATCATATATATATGTATTTTACAATAAAAAGTAAAATAGAAAACAACACCAAAAAATGAACATTATTACCAAGGTGTGAAGAGTATTGTTCCACTGCAGGCAGGGCCGCAAGGAACTTCCCACTGTATAGCAGGGCCTGGCGGACATCTCTACGGCCACCTGAACGCAGCTCCACCTTCCTTTGCATGGACCCCAGACCACCCTGCGGAAGAATTCTAATCCATTCAGGCATCTTGGTGTTTGGTCTTTTACTCGATGTGACCGTGGAGGTTAATGTCAATAATAATGTCTTGCAAAAGGGCCTTACATTATTCTTACTGTCTTGGCTGTCCCCATTGATTTTATGCTAATGAAGGGACCTGTATTTAGGGTTTCATTCTTTCCTCCATCTTTAGGTTTTCCTTTTCTTTGTGATACAAGATTCAGTTGTAGAATAAGAATTGTAGCAGGAACTTCTAGAGTTTTTAGGTGAAACAAAGGGCAGAATTATTTTTGGATACACCCACTTGACCATGATGTCAAAAGTCTGTGCCAGGGCTTGTGAGGGCTTTTATATAAAGGGGACAGCCTTCTTGTATTGTCCATTATGATCATGAAATCATAGTGGTCCATTTTGTTCCTCTTTGCACCTCATCCACACACCCTTCACAAGATCCGAACTCAGCTGGGGCGGGACTCCTGCAACTATTATCATTATCTATTTCACGGGCAGAGAGAAAAAAGCTCTCTTACCCATTGGTTCACTCCTCAACTACCCACAACAGCTGGGGCTGCACAAGGCTAAAGCCAGCAACCTGGAATTGATCCAGGTGTCCCCGCCAGATAGCTGGGATCCAGATATGGGATGGGAGCACTCCAACTAGTACCTTCACCACTGCACCAAATGTCCAATCCAAAAAATGAAAACAAAATAAATAAAAGGAAAAAACCAACAAATGTCCAGTTCAAGAATATTAATTCTGAAGTCAAATACACTGAGTTCAAATTTTAGTTCTGTACCGACTAACGGGAAAATCTTAGGTAAGTTACTTAACCTTTCCACAGTTTGGTTTCTTAACCTGGAAAACTGGATTAGTATCAACCTCGTGGACTACATTGTCTTGAGAACAACACTGACAAACTGTAGGTGTTAAATAGGAACGGTATTTCATTTGTACTAAACTTGGACAACCAGAATGAGGCACATCACTAGTGGAGACTTGTCAGGCAGATCCCAAAATAAGATGATCTACAGAGCAACTGAAAAGGCAACTTAATCACTTTAACTGACTTGTGAAATGTCCCTGCCATGGATCCCACTGCCACCTCAGCAAACTCTGAACTCGTACTTATTTGTCCTCACAGGCATAGATGCAGGTCTATGTACTTCCTGGAGCTATTCCCAGGAATCTTTTCTTCCTCCAGCCTCATTTGTATTAGCCTCAACCTTTTTTTCTGAACTCTATCCTAACCTATTCTCTATAGTCTCTATTCACCTGGAGACCTTCCCCCACACCTAATTCTAATTCTTTTTATTATCATTCCTGTTTCCAATACTGCAATAGGCCATCTTCCATTGCTTTTTCTTCCTCCCTTATTTTCTATTCTTTGAGTTCCTAGGAACCACGGAGAAAGATTATTATGATTTACTTCAGGGAAAAGTTATTAGTTGATGGTCAGTAAGGAGGATAAAAAGTGTTGGCAAAAACAAAAGACAGAATTTATAGAATATTACAGGATCCAGAGTATAAATGCCAGGTTTTTTTTTCCAGTGAAGACCTACCTCACAAACTCCACCACTATCTCATAGTGCCTAAAATACCCATTGGCTGGAGTTAATCATAATTCTCACTAGCCCTATTCTGGATCAACGGCTTTAATCTTACAGCCAATGTTTCATACAAAACTGTTATTTATGATTAAAGTAGAAGTGAAGCCACTCTGTTGCTGAGACCAAGGGCAGTCCACAGCAGACGGCCAGGGCGCGCTGCTCTGTCCTCTCACCTGGCTGTGCAGAGACTCGGTGTCATCCCCAGGAGTACTGATGGGCTTCTCACCACTCCCCTTCTCCGTCTGCACCGTGGCATCCTGTTTCCCAGAGCTGTGGTCCACTGTACTGGTTCCCTGCTCACACACATTCTTTATGGTCTGGGTTGCTGCTGAAGCAGTTTCTGGGACCCACAGGGAACGCTCTGTGGTCTGGATTCCTACGTTATTCTGGGTGGCCCTTTCAGTCAAGGTCTTACTGGGCTTTTCCTGATTCATATCCCGTCTTCCTTTCTGGCCTTCTAACACGTCTGTCTCCATTGCTTCTTCTTGAGGACAGGACAGCCTCTGGGTGGCCCTCTGCTGGGAGAGAGGAGAGGCAGCGTCCTTGACGGAACTAACGGGCTTCACAGAGTGCTCAATCTGCCTGTTCCTCTGGTCACCCTCCGATTTGTCTTTCTCCTCTTCTTCTTGATTCCTTGGAAAATGGAGCAAGCTCCCCCTGAAAATGAAGCGTACGAAGAAAACATGTCCTCTGTTTTGAATACAGTTTACTCCCCGCAAAATTCATGCTAAAAATTAAGACCCAGGCCCGACATGGTAGCCTAGTGAATGAAGTCCTTGTCTTGCATGCACTGGGATCCCATACGGGTGCCAGTCCAAATCCTGGTGGCCACTTCCCACCCAGCTCCCTGCTTGTGGCCTGGGAAAGCAGTTGAGGACGGCACAAAGCCTTGCGACCCAGCACTCGTGAGAGAGACCTGGAAGAAGCTCCTGGCTTCGAATCGGCTAAGCACCAGGGCCACTGTAGCCATTTGGGGAGTGAAATCAGGGGATGGAAGATCTTTCTACATATCTGACTTTTCAATAGAAATAAATAAACCTTAAAAAAAAAAAGCTAAGGTTCAGCTAGAACTAAGGCATAGAAGGGTAAGCCTCTGTCTGTGCTGCTGGCATCCCCTATGGGCACTGGCTCTAGTTCAGGCTGTCCAAGCTGTCCTACTTCCCCATCCAGCTCCCTGCATACGCCGAGAAAGTAGTGGAGAATGGCTCAAGTGCTTGTGACCCTGCACCCACAGGAGTGACCAAGAAGAAACTCCGGGCTCCTGCTTTCACCACAGACATTTGCAGGGTTAATCAGAAAATGTAAGATCTCCCTCCTTTTCTCTGTAAATCTACCTTTCCAATAGAAATAAATATATATTTTTTAAAAAGTCTAATGTCCACTGTGATGTATTAAAATGGAAACTTAATACTTTACGGTATTTAGAGTTGGGGCTTTGGGAGTAATGAAGATTAAACAAGGTCATCATGCTGGAGCGCCAGTGATTGGATCCTGATCGCTTTGTAAGAAAGGGTACAGCACGAACACATGTACAGTCTCTCAGTCTCATGTTCTGTGCTGCCCGGAGCCTCTATCAAGAAGAGGTCATCACCAGATACCACCCTTCGGCTAGAACCTAACATGTGCCAAAATAAACCTCGTATCATGCACTTACACCATTTAAGGCATTGTATTATCACTGAAAAAGAGAAACAAAGATGATAAATGGAACAGAATAGAAACCCCAGAAGGGAGCCCACACATGTATAGCCAACTAATCTTCAACAAAAGAACTGAAAATAATCCAGGGGAAAAACCTGATCTCCTCAATAAATACTGTTGGGACAACTGGTTAGCAGCTGAGGACTCCCATCTTTCACTTTATAAAAAAATTGGTTCTAAATGGATCAGGACCTAAATCTGTACCCAGAAATAATCAAACTATTAGAGGAAAACACAGGAAGCACTCTGCAAGATACATGCATTGGTGAGGACTTCTTAGAACAGTCACTAAGAGCAAAGACAGTCAAAGCCAAAATAAACAAACAGGATTACATCAAACTAACAAACTTCAGTATAATACAGGAAATAATCAACAAAGTGAAGAAGCAACCACGGGCCTGGTGCCGTGGCCTAGCAGCTGAAGTCCTCACCTTGAATGTGCCAGGATCCCCTTACAAGCGCCGGTTCTAATCCCAGCAGCCCCACTCCCCACCCAGCTCCCTGCCTGTGGCCTGGGAAAGCAGTCAAGGATGGCCCGTGGGGCCCTGCACCTGTGCAGGAGACCTGGAGAAAGTTCCTGGCTCCTGGCTTTGGATCGGGGCAGATCCTGCCGTTATGGTCACTTGGGGAGTGAATCATCAGACAGAAGATCTTTCCTTTCTGTCTCTCCTTTCTGTATATCTGACTTTGTCATAAAAATAAATAAATCTTTAAAGAAAAAAAAAAACCTGAGATTCCAAATCTAACTCCAGTGAACTAACAACACCTGCTGCTGTAGAGATGTAGGAAGCAAGGCATCCTCCTTCACTACTGATAGGAGTGCAGGCTAGTACAACCCCTACAGAAGTCAGCATGGAGAGTGCTCAGACAATTGAAAATTGGTCTACTGCATAACCCAGCTATCCAAAAGAAATGAAATCTGCTTAGGAGCAAGTGACTGTAATGCTATCTTTATAACAGCGCAATGTACAATAGAAAAGATATGGAAATAACACAGATGCCAATCGAAAGAGGAGTGGATAAAGAAACTGGTATACCTACTCTAAGGCAAATTACTCAACCATTAAAATGAATGAAATTCTACCTTTTGCAATAAAATGATCCCAACTAGAGACCATTATGCTCAGTGAAATAAGCCAATCCCAAAAGGACAAATATCAGATGTTCTCTCCGAAATAAGGCAAGCTTCATGCAAAATAAAAGACCAATAAATATGTAGGTAAACATCTTAAAGACCTGCATAATAGATTATAATATCAAGAATTGAAGATACATTGCAGCATACATTCCTATTTCTAAATCAAAGATGGACATACAATGAAACTGTTAAATATATCTTAACAATACACGCTAGATTTCCTTCAATGGTCTTTACCTATAATGTCAGGATATACTTAAATAGCAGAATGATGGACTTATGACTGTTGTGGTAGACTATACTATTGTAATAATAAAAGGGAAATCAGTTGAGCTTATAGAACTGTATCATTAAAAAATAAATATATAAAACACCAGGTGTACAACTGTGGTACAGTGGAGTAAACCACAAGTGGGAGCACCTGAATTCTACCTTAGATGACCATGAGTCCTGGCTCACCACTCCCACACAGCATTGCTGCTAACGCATCTGAGAAGATCAGGGATGATTGTCCAAGCACTAGCCTCCCTTGACCCAGATCCAAGGCAGATGGAGTTCTAGACTTTTGCCTGGCCCAATCTTCACTATTGCAGTTATTTGTAAAACGAAGCAGCAATACAGAAAATCTCTGTTTCTCCCTCTTTCCATCACTCTGGCTTTCAAATATGTAAATCTCTATAAACACGTGTGTGCACACACACCGCTAATAACTCAGGGATTAGTATAAAGTAAGTGCTTGATATATGTACTTCATTGCCTGGGAAAATTAACTGCAAAAATCTACTCACACATTATGTACAAGCAAACTAAAATATTTTAAGGCTATGTTACAGGTACAGACAGCCAGGATAATGATACAAAAAAAAGGCATGCATCTTACACAGCAGATGGGAGACAACAGGTAGTGGCTCAAGTACTTGGAACCTGCCAGCCAGCCACATGGTAGACCTGTATTCAGTTCTGGGCTCCTGGCTTCAACATGGCCCAGCGTCAGCTACTGTGGGCATTTTGGGGAGCTAATAAGCAGGTGGAAGTTCTTTCTTAGTCTTTCAAATAAATGAAAATAGAAAAAAAATTAAGATAAAAAGAATCCACTCTGAACTGATCATACCAAGATCACATACGAATTTCCATTTTTGATTTGGGTATCACATTTACAGGGCATAAAGTTAAACAAACCCAAAAAGTAAGGCCAAGGAGTTAAGGGATTAGGACCATGAAAAGGGAGTGGGGGAAGGGGTGGGAAGGGGGAGATTTAGGAAACAAACAAAAAAGACAAGACAGCAAGGGGCATCTTGTACTTGGAAAGAGCTCAGCTTGCCTAGACAGGCAAAGTAAGCCGAGCATGAAGAGATTTTTAGGACTTGCTCTGCTCGGGACCTTAGAAGAGAAAGAGAAAAGGAAAAGTTGATGGGGCTTCTGCATTGCTTAGTTCATGTTACCACAATAAGAGATTGAAGAGGAACTTGAACTAAGAGTTCTAACTGTGCTGGTGCCATGGCATTGTAGGTTAAGCCTCCACCTGTGGAGCCTAAATCCCCTAACAGGGCTGGTTTGAGTCCCTACTGCTGCTCTACTGCTGATCTACCTCCCTGCTAACACAACTGGGAAGGCAAAGGAAGATGGCATCCACATGGCAGATCCACAAAGGCTCCTAACCCCTGGGTTTAGACTGGCACAACTCTAGCCATTGCAGTCATTTAGGGAGTGAACCAGTGGCAGCAGGATCTCTGCCCCTCCTCTCTCCGTAAAAATCTGCCAAACTCAACCACGGGTTTGCGTTCACAGTCCAGGGAAAAGGACTGTGAACATAATCACCAGGAGACTCGTGAGCAGCACCCACCTCCTAGGAGGTAAGCCAGCACATTCGGCAAGTTCTGAGCATAGCAGATGCTCAATCACTATTATCTGTCTGCAACAAAGTGATCAGAAAGATTCAAATCACTTTCCATAGGAACTGAAAGTTCACACCTAATATCTAACATAGCAATAGTCACGCAACAACAAAAAGGAGTCCCCCAAGCCAAACAGGTCAGGACTGCATCTCTTAGCAATATTCAACTGATTCCTATCAAATATCAGTTTGATTCTTACCATTCTAACTGGTTTAACAATACTAAAATAATACTTTCTCCCTGGCTGACAAAATTTTATGATTAACATCAAAGCTGAGGGGGCCAGCATTGTGGCACGGTGATTGAAGTGACAGTCTATGATGCCAGCATCACACCTGGGCTCCTGTTTGTGTCCTGGTTGCTCTATTTCTGATCCAGCTCTCTGCTACTGGCCTAGGAAAAGTAGCAGAAGATGACCCAAGTGTCTGCGTTCCTGCATGCATATGGCAGACCCCGGTCAAGTTCCCAGCTGCTGGCTTCAGCCTGGCCCAGCCATGACTATCGCATTTATCTGGAGAGCAAACCAGTAGATGACAGATCAGCCAAAAATTGACCTTTCAATTTTTGGATAAAATTGAACGGCAGGCAAAACAAAAGCCTCATCTGCAATACATACTGCAAAAAATCCTACCCAACTCCTATCAAGTTTATGAATGTTCAGAAATAACTAAAGCAATCAAGAAAAAAAAAATCATCATAAAGATGCATATTAATATCCCAGGAAAACAGTAAAACAGAAATCTTCACCAGAAAACAACTTTAGAAACAGAAAATTTGAAAAAATTAATCATCACATATCTTTTTTTCCATTAGTAACAGCCACACAGTTCTACTCTGGTCACAATATGCTACAGTTACCAACTGACACTAACAGTCTGAGGCTCAGGACATCCCTAAGCAGACAGCCTGCAGATGCGGGAGGTGGTACTTCACACCTCAATAAAACCAACACCATCTCAGCACAACCGAGATCACTCAAGTAACACCCTTAGGACATTCTTCACCACATCAGGGTCCCCAAGATAAAATTAGGGAACCACGTCTGACAGCAAAAATCAGCAGGATAACATCTCCCCATTCTCTCTCAGGCCCCACGATCAGAGGAGGGAGAGTAAGTCTTTTCTTTCACCACTTGCTCCCCCTCCCCACGCACAGACCTGCAGGGGCCTGCAACCGCCCCACCTATGTAACAAACATTTTTTTAAAAGATTTATTTTTATTTTATGTTTTTTTAATTGAAAAGGTAGATATATATAGAGAACAGGCAACTCCCCAAGTAGTCACAACGGCTGAAGCCGAGCCAACCCAAAGCCAGGAGCCAGGAGCTCTTCCAGGTCTCCCATGTAGGGGCAGGGTCCCAATGCTTTGGGCCATCCTCAACTGCTTTCCCAGGCCACAAGCAGGTAGCTGGATGGGAACTGGAGCCACCAGGGTTAGAGCCAGTGCCCATTTGGGATCCCAGCATGTTCAAGGCGAGTACTTTACACATTACACTATAGTGCCGGGCCCATAACAAACATTTAAAAATGAAGTTAAAAATTGATGCTAAAACAACAAATTTTAGCCGTTAAATAACTGGGTCAGTAGCAAGCATTGTAGCACAGTAGGTTAAGCCACAACGTGGGAGGTCCCCAGCCTGTACTGCAGTGCTTGTGGGAGTCCCAGCACCTTTACTTCCTGCCCAGGACCAGGAGGTAGGAGATGACACCTTAGTACCTCTCACCCATGGAAGACCAGGACCCAGTTTCCAGCTCCTGCCTTCAGCCTGACCCAGCCCTGGCTATGGCAAGCATTTGGGGAGTGAACCAGTGGACTGAAGATACTTATGTGTGTGTATTGGTCTGCCTCTCATACTCTCTGGGGTTCTGCCACAGGGAAAATGATGAAAGAAAGGAAGAAAAAGGAAACAAAACTGAGAAGAGATGAAAAGAAACAAGGATGAACAGAAAGGAAGAAAGAATGAAAGAAAGGATGAAACAAAGAACAAATGAAAGAAAAGAAATACTGCATGAGGTGCTCAAACAGTGGGGCAACCACATATAGTTCTCACTTAGGTATAACATACAGTGTGAAGAACTGGAAAAGGGAACTTGTAGGCTCTAAATAGAAAAAAAATAAGAAATGGAAATGCTTCTTCCTGTTTCTCCTTCTCTCTGTAAATCTGCCCTATCGATGAAACTGAATAATTTTTTAAAGGGAGAGGAATGAGCAGATCAACACAATGGCTCAACTGGATCCGACCCCTACAAGCACTGGCATCACTTATGGGCACCGGTTCATGTCCCAGTGGCTGTCCCACTTCCCATCCAGCTCCATGCTTGTGGCCTGGGAAAGCAATCAAGGACGGCCCAAAGCCTTGGGACCCTGCACCCGTGTAGGAGACCCAGCAGAGCTCCTGGTTTCGGATCGGCTCAGCTCTGGCCGCTGCTGCCATTTGGAGAGGGAACGAGCAGATGGCAGGTATTTCTCTCTGTGACTCCTCTCTTTAAATCTGCCTTTCTGATAAAAATGAACACATCATTTAAGAAAAAAAAATAGAAATGCTAACTGCCTGATTTGATTAGTTTCCAAGTGTTGAAATAATACATGGTACCCTATAAAATCCACAAGTATTCCATGTTTATAAAAAATTCCTGAAAAGAAATTATGCTACTAATACCTTCATTACAAATACACCAAAGTATCATCACCTGTTCTAACTTTAAAAATAACTGAATTCAAGAGGTTCAAGATACCACCTCATAATCGAAACACATATACTTTCGTACTGCATATTTCTGTATACCAAATGTAAAAGTAATATAGTCTGGGCCATCATCATTGAGTAGTAAGCTAAGCCTCTGCCTGCCATGCCAGTATCACACAGGGGCACTGGTTCATGTCCCTGCTGCTCCACTTTCCATCCAGCTCCCTGCTCAAGCAATCCACTTTCTGCTCATGTGGGAGACCTGCATGTAGCTCTTAGCTCCTGGCTTCTGCTTGATCCAGTTCAGTCCAGCCTAGTCCCCCTCTCCTCCTGTTACTCTGCTCTTCAAACAAATACTTTTTTAAATAATATCTTCTAAGTAAGACACTAATAATTTAAATACAAGAAACACCTGTAACTAAGAATACTAAACTAATTACAGAAAAATCTATTTCATCAGGTCTAAAAAACCTTAAATCTGAGGTAATAAACATCCCTTATTATTGTTTTTTAATTTACTTGAAAGGCAAACTTAGAGGAACAAAGTGAGAGGAAGATCATGCATGCTCTGATTCTCTCCATATGGCCACAATGTCATGGTGAAGCCATCTTCATTTTAACAAGCGCTGTGCTAGGGAGAAAGATCAAATGGAGCATCAGGGACTCAAATGAGTGCTCACGTGGGATGCCGAAGTTGCAGGTAGTGGCTTAATCCACTGAGCCAAAGCACTGGACGTGATAGCCTGTACTTTTGACTCTATATAAAACTAAGTGCGGCACTTTGGCACAGCTGGTTACCTCTGCATGGATAACCACATCCCTTAACAGAGTGCCAAGGACAGAGCCCTGCCTCCACTTCTGATCCGGCTTTCTGCGAGACGATGGCGGAAGTATTTGGGTCCCTGCCACCTAAACAGGGGAACTGGATGGAGGTCCTGTCTAATGGCCTGGCTGGGCCCAGCTTTGAAGCACTGAGGGAGTGAACCAGGAGACAATTCTACCTCCATCTGTCTCCCTGCCTTTCAAAACAAAAATTTTTTTTTTAAAGATTTATTTATTTATTGGAAAGTCAGACATACAGAGAGGAGGAAAGACAGAGAGGAAGATCTTCTGTCCAATGATTCACTCCCCAAGTAACCGCAACGGCCAGTGCTATGCCAATCCAAAGCCAGGAGCCAAGAACTTCTTCCGGGTCTCCCACACAGGTGCAGGGTCCCAAGGCTTTGGGTTGTCCTTGACTGCTTTCCCAGGCCACAGGCAGGAAGCTGGATGGGAAGTGGAATTGCGGTGATTAGAACCAGCGCCCATATGGGATCCCGGGGCGTTCAAGGTGAGGGCTTTAGCTGCTAGGCCACGCTGCCGGGCCCTCAAAAATTTTTTTAAAGCAAACACTTCCAAGCAATATTGGTAATAAAGAATTTTACTATTTTTTTTTTTAAATCATGAAGATGCAGTCACTGCAAAGCAGATAGACAAAAATGCTTCTTGAAAACATCAAAAAAAATTTGTCATGGAATCTTATTTATAAATCCTTGCAGAATATGTCCTTCAAATAAAAAATTTAAATTTAACTCAAGCTGACAAAATACTAGCAATAAATATCCTATTTTGGAGAAGGATCTTTCATCAATCAATGTAGTCCAAAAAAGGTTATGAAAACCAGGCTTGGGATTGGTACTGTGGTAATGTGCTAAGTCTCCATCCTCAATGCCAGCATCCCATACTGACGCCAAAACCAGTCCCAGCTGCTCCACTTCCGATCTCCATCTCTCTACTAATGCGTTGGGGGAAAGCATTAAGAGAGGACTAACTGGGACTAGCGCAATAGCCTAGTGGCTGAAGTCCTTGACTTCCATGTGCCGGGATCCCATATTGGCTGCTCCACTTCTCTTCCATTTCCCTGCTTGTGGCTTAGGAATGCAACCTTGGGAACCTGCTCCTGTGTGGAAGAACCCAGCAGAAGCTCCTGGCTTTGGATCAGCTCAGCTCAGCACCTGCCATTGTGGCCACTTGGGGAGTAAACCAGCAGAAGGAAGATTTTTTTTCTGTCTTTACTTCTCTCTATAAATCTGACTTTCCAATAAGAATAAATAAATCTTAATAAATAAATAAATCTCTTTTTTTTTTTAGGTTTTTGGCAAGTCTTTTATTATTTTTTTTCTTCTGGCAATTTTTTTTTATTATATTTTTGACAATCTTTACATAGTTAATTGGGGTAAAAAGGTTCAAGGGCTATAGGAAAGTAGGTAAGACTATCATTTCCATATTGTTTCCTTCATGTTTATTTTTTTTTTTTTAGGTGATGGGATGGGTTTATTTTAAACCTTGATTATACATTGAAAGAGTCTCTACTGTTGTAAGAACAATTTAAAAGATAATGGCAGAAGAAGTATTGAGAATGGCTCAGGACTGGGCTAAGTAGGAAAAATAAAAGACAGAGGTAATGATACTAAGTCTGGTTTTGAAACTTGTATTTCTACCTTGATCTCTGAATTTGCCCTTTTCGACCATCTAGCAAGCTGGCAAAAGAACACAGCACTAACTGCATGTTAGGTAAGCCGTATGTGCCAGAAGCTTCCACCTAACATAGTTCCTCTCTTTCTCTCTCCCTTTCTTTTGCTTATTAAAATATTTCTTTTTTTTTTTATTGTTGTTTACATGTTTCCTTCATGTTTAAACGGGGGTATTAAGGGAGAAGGCCCACCCAATTTCCCACCCTCCCCAGGTCCCACAGGTAGGGTATGCTGCGAGGTTCTTGCTCAAGTGGGTTTGATAGTTCACCAGTTATAAATTGCTGCCAATCTGGCCACTCCAAGCACTATGAGGTCTTTGAAGAATCCACTGATTGACACAGTCCATCATAGAGTCTCCGTTTGCCCCTGTATTTAGCTGCCAACATACAGCTGAGATGGTAGATTGACCTGTTCTGTCTTCTCTCTCTTCCTGGTTAGTGTTCTGAGTCCAGCATTTCCATTGGGGAGATCTCCAAAGAAACTTTGTCTGAGGTGGCTTAAGCACTTGGGTCACTGCCTCCATGTAGGAGACCTAGAGGAAGCTCCTGACTTTTGGATTCGGCCTGATCTAACCCTGACCAATGTTGTCATTTGAGAAGTGAACTAGAAGATGGAAGGTATCTGAGTTGCCTCCTTTTCTCTCTCTCTGCCTTTCAAGTAAACATCTTTAAAAACCATGCTTACCTGCTGTGTGCAGAGGGGGCATCCTCACTTCGCACCTGGACCTCTTGCCGGGCTTCACAGATGCAGCTGAACACAGTCACAGTCTTCTGGGGACTACGGTCATAAATTAAAGCAATGTACTGTGTTAATTTTCAAAGAAAAGTAATCCTGGACTCTGGAATGTTGGACTAGAGGCTAATTCCTTGCTTTACAACGGCAGGGATCCCATTTGGGCACGGTTCATATCCTGGCTGCTTCACTTCCCATCCAGCTCCCTGTTTGTGGCCTGGGAAAACAGCAGAGGATGGCCCAAAGACCGGGGACACTGAACCCACATGAGGACCCAGAAGAAGCTCCTGGTTCCTGGCTCCAGACTGGCTCAGCTCTGGCTGCTATGGCCACTTGGAGAGCGAACCAGCAGGTGGAAGATCTTTCTCTCTCTGTAAACCTGCCTTCCAAATTAAAAAAAAAAAATTAAAATAAAAAATAGCCCTGCAGATTATCCCTCTAGGCACAGAAGAAATAAAACTTTTCTGTACCCCAAACTCTAAATCATCTCACAAAATGCAAATTATCACAATTTGTTTCATATTAACACAACAAAAATCATTTAAGGACTCACAAGGAATAAAAGACAGAGTGGGCTATATTTAATCCCCAAAGATGCAATCAGCAAAGTCAAGAAACTATAGAATAACACAGTTATGTTCAGGGATAATTCGCAAGGGGAAAGGAAGAAAGGATGGGGTACTTCATAGATTTTAAATCACATGAGACTTTGAGAGATGCATTATTCCAATGCAATATGTAGCTCTTGATGCCGTCACAGAAATCTAAACATTTGAGCATTCAGTAACATGAAAAAATAACTACCAATTTATAACTATCAATTTCTTATTGCATTATACCATCACCTATGACACGGGCATCCCATAAGCACCAGTCCTGCCTTCTGCCTAACCTCTGCCAGATAACCCTGGTAAAGGAGAATCAGCAGATGGCGGACATTCTCGCGCTCTCTCTGTAATGCTAATTTTCAAATAAATAAAGCTTTTTTTTTTTTTTTTACACACAACATTTAAGTATCTAGAGATAAAATGATACAATGCTGGAATTATCTTTAAAATAATGCAGTGGGGAGGGGAGCACTTCTAAACAAATGAAGACTGGCCATGAACAGGTAATTTTTGAAACACAGAGGAAGTCTATTAAAACCACTACTTCGAAATTTCCATAAAAAGCCAGAGAACACTTAAAAGCTTCACCTAAACATAGAGGAAGGAAGAAATAATCATTTTTAATATTTCTAATGCAAATGCCTTTCGATGGTGAATCCAGTGATCAAATGAATGGTCACAACATTTTACAGAGAGGAGGAGAGACAGAGAGGAAGATCTCCCGTCCAATGGTTCACTCCCCAAGCGGCCGCACGGCCGGCGCTGAGTCAATCCGAAGCCAGGAGCCAGGAGCTTCTTCCAGGTCTCCCACGCGGCTGCAGGGTCCCAAGGCTGTGGTCCACCCTCAACTGCTTTCTGAGGTCACAAGCAGGGAGCTGGATGGGAAGCAAGGCTGCCGGGATTAGAACCGGTGCCCATATGGGATACCGGGGTGTGCAAGTATGCTATCGTACCGGGCCCTGGTCACAACATTTTAAACCTAGATTCCTATATACAAATTTTTCTTCACATCACTAACAGTGTCACCCCGAGATCTACCACCATCACTTTCTCTTCCAGTTTTCCTTTTTTCTTCCTTATAGCTGACTCTAAAGCCTAAAGCACCTAAGCAGCACATTCTGTACTCTCAATGTACACAGGGATAAAGTAACAAATGGGGCCCCTGACATAATTCTGTTAAAACCAGAGAACAAACTCTAGTTTTTGCATCTCACAAGACTACAGCTCCTGTGCCAGCACTATAGTGTAGCAGCTAAAGTCCTCACCTTGCATGCAGCAGAATCACTTATGAGTGCCGGTTCTAATCCCAGCAGGTCCACTTCCCATCCAGCTCCATGCTTGTATCCTGGGAAAGCAGTTGAGGACAGCCCAAAGCCTTAGGACCCTGCACCCACGTGGGAAACCTGGAAGAAGCTCCTGGCTTCAGATTGGCTTAGTTCTGGCCATTGTTGTCACTTGGGAAGTGAATCACCAGACGGAAGACCTTCCTCTCTGACTCTCCTCTGCATATGACTTTGCAATAAAAATAAATAAATCTTAAAAAAAAAAAAGACTACAGCTCCTTAATGGGTCTTCAATAACTGAATTAAAGACCCTAAAGTACTTCTCTTCCAGATTAAACATGCAAGAGCCTACAGAATAACTGAATTGAAACATAGCTAACAGTAGATCCAAAGATTTTTGAAGACAATCAAAAACCCACAAAGGAGCATCAAGCTAGCCCATCAAATTTTGATTAAAAAAAAGAAATCAAACCTTCTGTTTTAAAAATTTAGAGATCCATGAACACATCTGCATTCTCAAACAACATCCCTGGCTGGAACTGCAAAGCAGCTCACACCTTTTTATTAAAAAGAAAATAGTTTTTTAAATTTCTATTTCACCTTTTTATTTTAATTTTGAATTTTATGGTATAATTCCATAGGATCTGGGATTTCCCCATCCTCTCCCCAATTTCTCACTCCCTGATTTTCCACATATTATTACAGTAGTTCTTCAAAAGCAGTCACAAGTCTATCAGTCTTTTTAAAGTGTACCTGGATATTGTTGGTATAGACAATGCCAGACAGTCTAGCATACTATTGTCTAGATATATTCAAAGAGCTTCAGAGAAGGGAGAGAGAGAGAGAGAAAGAGTTCTTTCATCTGCTGAATCACTCCCCAAATGGCCTCAACAGTTGTAGCTGAGTCAATCCAAAGCCAGGCGTTTCCTCTGGGTCTCTACATGGGTGCAAGGACCCAAGAATTTGAGCCATCTTCTCTTGCCTTACCAGGCCATAAGCAGGCAACTAGGTGCAAAGTAGAGCAGCAGGGACACAAACCAGCATACATATAGGATATAGCTGCCACATTAACTTGTTATGCTACAACACTGGTCCCAAGAGTATACATAAGCCAGCTATCCCCCTGAACACTCCAGCACTCTTGTACCAAACCTGGTTTCACAGCGCGTGCCTACTAACTAACTTACGAGCTCTAACTTAAGAGCTGTCACCTCGGGACCAGCTTGGTGATATAGACTAATCTTTTGCCTTACAGTGCCAGCATCTCAACTGGAAACTAATTCTAGTTCTAGCAGCTCCACTTTCAATCCCGCTGGGAAGGCAGCAGAGGGGTGCCCAAGGCCTTGGGCCACAGCACCCACGTGGGAAACCCAGAAGCTCCTAGCTCCTGGTTTCAGAATGGTTTAGCTCTGCCCATTGCAGTCATCTGGGGAGTGAATCAGCAGAAGGATGATCCTCCTTGTCCCTCTCTGCAAATCTGACTTTCAAATTTAAAAATAAATCTTAAAAATAATAAACTCTATTTCTCTGTCAATAGTGCTTTCATATTTGAAGCCTCATGAGAAAAGCAACTGACAATTCCCTAACAGCCACCAGATGGCAAAGCTTCACCACCAAAACCTCAGGGTGAGGTTATGCTCTTCCTCAAAGCATTACAGCATCCATGACAAAGCAGAAACAACAGCTCAACATAGCAGACAGACGATAAACAGCCTGAGTCCATGCTGCTGATGGGGAAGGAACGTTGTCTACAGCTATCTCTTGTACACCCTTTACTTTCCCAACAACAACAACAATCGCAATTTCAGCCTCCTAACAGAAAAAAAGACACCCTCACATTAACAGAGGGAAGATCTTTTACTGTCTTAGTTCTATGTGTAACAGTTGCCTTGTTAGGCTTAAAAGCATTAAGAAGAAAGCCTACAATCAACTCAACACAGTGCTAAAATCCTTTATGCTACAGCATGGAATTTTTTCATCTGCTGATAATCTTCCCCTCCATCCCAGTAGCCTTGTATTAAATTCCTCTACATAGCAACCGCTCTGGGTACCTGGCAACAGGCTCAGCAACAGCAGCAGATCCATTTTTTCTTTCACCAGTTGCAGGCTCTGAAGAAAAACAAAAGCAAAGACAGAAAGGAAAGAAACAGAATTCAGTAAGTACCACATATAAAAACTTCCACTGGGCTCTATTAGTATTTACAACAAGTAGCCGAAAGAAAGAAAAACAAGACTAAAAGATGTATCTTTGATTTCCTGTAACTTTAAGGCATGGGTTTGTATTTATTTCCACTGATTCTTACAACATGCAAATGAAATATATTACAAATTATCAACCAATATATATTAAAGTGAAAAATAACATCAAGGAAAAAATTCATTACAAAAAGCTTATAAAATTTAAATTTAGTATCATAAAAAATTTAAAAACAAATTAAAACAATTTAAAACTCTTACTTAAATGTGGAGGAAAATGCTTTAGGTTAATGCACAAATTCTACATGAAGCTTTTTAGGACAAATTTTAAAATAAGACACTGGTTTTAAAAAAGTTTCTGCAGCAAAGAATTAAGGGCAATACTGAAAAGTTCCATATTCTCACAACAATGTCACTAATATCGAGGGATTAAAATTTGTTCATTTGCAATTTATTCCAGCCTTATAGAAAACAACTCTTAAATACTCTTACTTTTTTCTACAGTATTCACACCCAGTATATTTCAGAGAGTCTACTAAGGAAAAGGACAGTTTAAAGTTGCTTTGAAACAGCAACTTGGCTCAAGTCCTGGTTCTTGCATTTAGTAGCTCAGGCTGAGGGTAAATTACTTTGTCATTCAGTTTCCCTACCTACAGAAAGATATAGGGCAAGGATTTGACCTTCTGGTTAGTTAAGATGCTGGTTAAGACATCTGCGTCTAATCTCAGACACTCCTGTCTCCTGAATCCAGGTTCCTGCTAAGGTAGAACCCAGAAGGTCCCAATGTGGGAGACCTGAATTGAGTTCTTGGCTTCAACCCAGAGACACTAGAAGGCAACCACGAACACTGGGAGAACACTAGTGCATGGAAGCTCTTTCTGTTTCTCTATGTCACTCTGTCACTCAAAAAAAAAAAAAAAACCCAGAAAGAAACTAAGACCTATCTCACAGCTCTGAAGCTAAAGTGACATATGTGAAACTGACTACAGTCCCCAATACTGTGTGCTTCTACTTCTAGGAAAAGGTAGTAAGATTTACTGATGTGATCATCCTAAACATTTACTTCCATTTAGGGTCTTCCCAATTTTATTTTCTGCAGATTCAAGACTCCCATATTCTCTTTCATGCTCTCTCTCTTTCTGGCCTTAGTTTATTGCAGAAAAGATAATAAGGATGGAATAATGCAATACTTTCTCCTGAGGGTCTGAGACTTCAACCAGAAAGCCCTGAAGTGGATGAGTATTGCACTGCTGGAACCAGTCTGCCTGCACCTGAACAGAGTACTCCACTGCTAAGCTCTGCTTCCAGAGAAGGTACTCGTCATCCTCTGCTTAGTCTTCCCATCTGCCTGAGGTCAACGGTAAGATCTATTTCACAGGCTTGGTATGAGCCCTAAATAAGCTGTACATGTAAAGTTCCCAAAATATCGTAAGAGCTTAAAATATGTCAGCTAGAATTACTTTGCTTTCATCTCAGAGAATGCAAAGCTACATTCAAGTCTACCCATTCCATGTGGTCTTCGGAATCTTCCTCCACCAGCTCCTCTTGCACCTATTGCCCCACCCCTTCCTCTTTCTCTTTTTTGGATCCTCCATTTCTGTCTATAAACTTGCTCAAGCCATTCCCAGCTTAAAAGTGATAAAGCCCCCACCAAGCCTGCACACCCCTGGTAATGTTACATTTTCCCTTCCTTTGACTTGTTTCTTCAGACCTTCTCCATTCCTCTTCACTTAGCTCTAATTTACTCCCACACAAACCACAAGTAACAAAATGGTTCTTGCTAGAGTCACCAAAGTGGGTCCTAACTGCCAAGTCCAACGTGCATTTTCAGACACATCTTGCTAAATTCTGTTCATACATTGTTACCTTCTTGTATCCCTCCTCCCCACAGGCAGCCATGTCTTCATGCTGCTCTCCAGTTCTTTCTTGTCAGTTATTCCTGAGACAGACATTTATCATTGCTTTCAGGAGGATTCACACTTTTCTAAATCCCCTAAGCAACGTAATTTTAAAATCCTCCACTAGAAAAACTGAAAGCTATACAGTTAGATAGGACTCAAGTCCCAGCTCTTTTAATCGATATTGTGACCTTGGGCATCTAAGTTAAAAGTTACTTTCTCATCAATAAAATGTCACACAGTGGCTTAAGCTGCCGCCTGCAATCCCAGCAGTCCATGGGAACATTGGTCTGAGCCCCAGCTGCTCTACTTCTGATCCAGCTCCCTACTGATACTTCTAGAAAAGCAGAAGATGGCCTGGACACCTGTGCCTCCGCCCACCCACAAGAGACCTGGGTGAGTTGCAGGCTTGTGGCTTAGACCTAGGCAGCCCTGGCCATTGAATTTATTTGGAGACTGAACTAGCAGACAGATGATCCCTCTCTGTCTTGCCTTCCCTCTTTGTAATTTTGCCTTTCATTTAAGTAAATTTTAAAAATAAATAAATCAAAATGAAACACACACACAAAAAAAACATACTTTGGAACACCATCATGAGAAATGAAATGATACAGTATTCATAAATTACCCTGGGACAGCATCATGGCTTAGCTAACTAAGCTGCCATGTGTGATGCCAGTTTCCCATTTCCGAGTGCTGGCTACTCCACTTTCAACTTAGCTTCCTAATGATGCACCTGAAAAGGCAGCAACAGATGTCTCAAGTATTTGGGCCATGTGGGACAGTAGGATGGAGTTCCTGGCTTCCAGGCCTCAGCCTAATGCAGATTAGGCTATTGGTGGACGTTTGGGGGACAACAGATGGAATGAACCAGCTCTCTTTCACTCTATCACTCTGCCTTTTACTAAAAGAATTTTTTTAAAGATTTATTTATTATTTTATTGGAAAGGCAGATATATAGAGAGGAGAGACAGACAGGAAAATCTTCCATCTGATGATTCACTTCCTAAGTGGCCACAACGATCAGCGCTGTGCTGATCTGAAGCCAGGAGCCAGGAACTTCTTTCCGAGTCTCCCACACGGTGCAGAATCTCAAGGCCGTCCTCAACTGCCCTCCCAGGCCATAAGCAGGGAGCTGGATGGGAAGTGGAGCTGCCAGGATTAGAACCAGCGCCCATATGGGATCCTGGCACGTTCAAGGTGAGGACCTTAACCATTATGCTAACGTGCCAGACCCAAAAAGAAATTATTAAAAAAATAAAAAACCTTATATAATTTTTCTCTTACTTCCAAACCCAACTGGCCTTATCATTCTGTCTATTCTATTCATCTCTCAAACTCATTCTCTATCTATCCCTATCATTCTATATCTATCATTCTATATCTATCCCTAACAACACCTGCTCTAGCTCCTCACTAGATTCAGGTAAGGAGTTCACTGAGCAGAACAGGCTGCAGGCAATGCAAGAAAAGGATTCACCATTCACAAACGCACCCAATCCTTTTGAGAAAGCAAACAGGATGATACTCCCACGCCTAAACTTCTTTGGCTGCTTAATAGATGCAAAACCTATCTAAGTTGTGTCCTCCTGTGTCATGTGCAGTCACTCTCTTTTATTTTTTCTATCTTTTACTTTGTGGGCGTTTTTTTTTAAGATTTACTTATTTATTTAAAAAATAAGTTACAGAGAGACAGAGAAATCGGTCTGGTTCATTCACACTGAATCTGCTGGTTCACTCCCTAAATGGCTGGGACAGCTGGGCCAGTCAGAAGCCAGAGGCCAGAAACCTCTTCCAAATCTCCCATGTGGGTGCAGAGGCCCAAGCAGTTGGATCTTCCTCAACTGCCTTCTCTGGCACATCAGCAGGGAGCTGGGCTGGAAGTGAATAGCTGGGAATTGAAACAGCACCGATTTACAAAAGTTGCAGCTTCAGCCACTACACCACAGTCTCAGCCCCTTTATATTTTGGCTAGAACAAGCCAATTTGTGATTCATGTCAGGAAGAGTCGATACAAATCTACAATGTGAAGCTACAATAGTAAATCTTCTACACTTAATATATAGAAAGGTTTAATCCACAGACAATGTGACAGATTGTAAAATGGAGCATTCTCAGTAACATAATTGGTTGAAAGCAGAAGATTAAATATATAAGACTTAGTAACTACATTTATAACTAAAAAGTACTTCCCAGAGGACCTGGAGCTTCATACAAATCACCCAAGAGTAACATAAAATAAAACTTACTTTCCAGGGTAAACTGCAGAGACTCTTCACTCCCCTCTGTCTCAGGACTGACTAGTTTCATTCTTAGACACAATTTATCATCCATTTCTGGGGCAGCCGCAGAATCGCCCTTCCCACTCCCAAGCACAGGATCATTGGTCTCCATCATGCTTTCCGACATGACATCGCTGGCTGCTATGGTGCTTTCCGGGAAGTTGCTGATGGCTGAAAAAAAAGGGGGCGGGGGGAGGCAGGGAGGAAGCAAGAAAGAACACTAAAAACACAGATCTGAAAAACTGCATTTCACAATAATTAATTTGCCTCTTGGGCTCCACAGCTCTGCAGGATTGAAGCGGGTTCCTAAGGATAGATCCTGTTTCAAGTATCAACAACTATGAACTAGTATTGACATCTGGTCTTAAGAGGAGCAACAGGATTCAGTTCCACTTCTGCATCTGGACAAAGGATGCTGCATGAGCCCTCAGCCAACCCACATCTGCCAGCATCAGGCATAGGTAGCAGGAGACTCCAGGCGGCATGACTGTTACCTCCTAGCACTGACTGGAGAAAACAAACAGGTTAATATAGAAGACTACCAGCTGCCTCAGGGTAGGAAACCCTGTCAAGCAGCAGACAGAGGAGCCAGCGCACTGAATACAAATACATAGTACCTCCACCCTACATCCTATCTTAGTCTATAAGATCTGTATCACTACTTAGCACTAAGAGTCTATTGCTTTACATGTACTGTGAAAACAATCCTTGTATTCACCTTCTACTCTCCCTCCACCCTTTCCTTCATCTTATCACCTTTCCATCTGTTAGGAGCAAAATCACTGAACAACACACAATAACCCTATTTGTCCAAACTCAACTCTGTCAGTTAGACTCAACTCCTCAGATCTAAAAGTACCACTTGCATAAAAATTATCAACTCAGAAAGTCTACCTTAAATATTACCAACTTTTTAAATTCACTCACCAATAGGAGTACTGTGTCTCTTGGGCTCCAATTTTAGGTGCCCAATAAGAGGTGGGGTTGCACCAGCCAATGGTGGGATAATATCACCTTCTTTAGGCAAAGTGAAATGAAATGGGGTTTCTGGAAAAAAAAAATAACAAGCAAACCAAATCAGAAATGTAAAATAAATAAAAATGAGGAGAACTGGAAGACACAGTTCAACTACCTTTCTTTTGCTTTGCTCCCAAATTGTTTCATATCCACCATCGTCACCAAGTCTCCCAATCAATTCCCTATTATATGCCTCTGCTCTCCTACCAGCATCAAAAGGACTGACATAACTAGGCAGCCAAAGGACAAATGGAGGAAGCCCAAAATTTGGGAGACTAGACAAACATGGGATCAAGAAAAACTTTAAAAAGCATTAGAGCTTCTAGACTGTCATCTGGGGATACCGGCTACAAACAAATTTCAAGTCTAGACAACACAATTTCATGCAATGCTTACCAAGGGAGTCTAAATGAACTCATTTAATACGCCTGGACAGTCTGACAGTCTGTAGGATTCCCACAAAAGATAAATCTAATATGAATACTTAATAATTTGCAATCTACTCAAACAGGTGATAAACGAGTTCATGGGCCAAAGAGTTTCAAAGTACTCACTGGCTCTAACAAATCTAAAGGCTTCCCAGTTCACCAGTCCTGGCCAACATTCTCATTCCAAGCCAATGCAGTGAAGTTCCTACTTAAAATTCCTGCATAATGGTAAATCCTCCTAAGAGATGCCCCATGTAACAGTCTGGTTGTTATCACAAAGCATTTGTCAAGACATAAAATTACTTTTTAACAAGGTTCCAGTTTTAAGTTCACGATAATCAGAATTAGCAAACAGCCAAAAATCACATCTTCTGATTTCCTAATTGTGTACCCCTTTTAGCAACAGTCACATTTGGGAGAAAGAACTATGCCAGACGGCTCACTTAAATCCTAATTATAAACATTTGTTCCTGTTTGTCCTTGAATAGCCCATAATAACTATGATTTGACATACCCAGTCACTACTACTTCTGAAGATAGTCTGCCTCTTTCATCTTTTTCCACTCCACTTCAATCCTTCACTATTCTTTAATACCAAGCACCTTGATCCACTCTTCCTTCAAAAATCACAGAACAAACAACCTCTTACAAGTACAGCCTGAAGGGATGAAAAGAAAGGATAAAATGATCTGTAAAGGATGAGGGAGGAGCAAGAGGACAGGCATTTGCCCAACAGATATAACACCAAGTTAAGATTTTTGTCCTGTGTCAAAGTGCCTGAGCTGTGTATTTCTCTGGCTGCTATCACCAGCTGTGGCTCTAATGGGGTCCTTGCCGCCCACGTGGGAGACCTGGACAGAGCGTGCTGTGGGCATCTGAAGACAACCAATAGAGGGAAGTTCACTCTATCAGTTTCTCTATAATCAAGCAAATAAGTATGCATGCTTAACTTAAACTACAAAGAAAACAAATGGAGAAGCTCAACATTCTACCCAACTGGTCAAGATTTCTGGCATCGTTAGATAAACAAATGGATGAGGCAGGCAAGCATTTGATTTTGGGCTGCTATTTACAAAGCAGGTTCTCCACAGGTTAATCAAGATCTTAAAATAGAGGCCCCAGCACAGTAGCCTAGTGGCTAACTCCTCACTTTACACATGCTGGGATCCCATATGGGCACCAGTTCTAACCCTGGCAGCCTCGCTTCCCATCCAGCTCCATGCTAGTGGCCTGCTAAAACAGTCAAGGACGGCCCAAAGCCTTGGGACCCTGCACTCGTGTGGGAGACCCTGAAAGAGGTGGCTCCTGACTCCTGATCAGCGCAGCTATGGCCATCGTGGCTCCCTAGGGAGTCAGTCATTGGATGAAGATCTTCCTCTCTCTCTCTCTTCCTTTCTGTTAAATCTGACTTTCCAATAAAAAATAGAAACTGGTGGTTGGCATTAAGGAGCAACACGTTAAGCCACCGTTTACAGTGCCAGCATCATCTTCTGAGAACTTGGCCATCCCGTTTCCAACACAGCTCCCTGCTCAATATCCGGAAAGGTAGCAGAAGATGACCAACGTGTCACCTCTGTGGGAAACGAGCCTGGAGTACCTGGCTAGTGCTGTCTTTTGGGTAATGAATATGTAGATGACAGGAACTAGCTCATCTACACTGCCCTTACAAATAAATTATAGACATCAGATTACAAATATATATTTGAAATAATATATTCCAAAGATTTCTTTTCTAGAACTTTCATTCCTGAAACAAAAACAGAAGATCATGTATTTGGCCAAGAGATGAAGATGCCAGTTAAGTCACCCATATCCCTTCCTTATCAGAGTTCGTGGGTTCATCTGCCAGCTCTGGCTTCCTGCCGCAGAGCAGCAAGTGCTAGCACAGTAGTCCCTGTCACACATGCGGGAGATCTAGAATGAGTTCTTGGCTATTCCCTTTGTCCTGGCCCAGCCTAGGTCATTGTAGGCATCTTAGGAGTGAACCAATAGATGGGAGTTCCCTTTCTCTGCTTCCAAAAGGGAGGGGGAGGAGGGACGAAGGGAGGGAGTGAGGGAGGGAAGGAGGGAGGGAGGATGTGAGAGCAGAAAGAGGAGGGAAAGAGAGGAAGGGAGGAAGAGAAAGGAAGAAAAAGAGGAAGGGAGGGGGAAGCAAGGGGGAGGCAGGGAGCAGGGAGGGACGGATGGACCACCTGCACTGTTGTCTTGACAGGAGCCATCCCTGTTTTTATGACCAATCTTCCAGAAAACTGTGCCACATGAACTCCTGAAGCCGACCTACATGACTTAACATAATATGCAAACACAGTAACATGCAAGAATGTTGAAACTTATTTTTCTACAGCTTCCTTTAACACAGTAATAGATAAAGTTTAGGAAAAACTATTTTTAGCACTATTTATCTTCATCTCGAGAACAAAACAGACTTTTACAGGCCCTAGGGATAGTAATACCACAACCCTCATCCAGTCTCCAGTGCCGCATCTCCATTTCGCTACAACAGCCCAGCAATCATCTCCTCTGAAGTATCTGTTTCTCTAACCCCCAATTCTCTGCACATACTGCAACCAAACCATATAAAACACAGCTTTGAATATGCTGGCTCTTGGCCAAAAAACGTCAAGGTTTCCACTAGAAGGTAAATTCCTAACTCTTTAGTCGGCATTCAATTAACTGGCAGCAGCATTCCTCTACAATCTTTAATTATTCATGTTCATAAGGTCTCTATTCACTGTCTTTCAAATATCTTCCCATCTCTCTGCTTCAGTTTACTCACCTGACAAATACAACTAATCCAGTTAAATTATCTACCTTACATACATTTACACACAAATCTTATCCCTTTAGGGCCTGGCGGCATGGCCTAGCAGCTAAAGTCCTCGCCTTGAACGCGCCAGGATCCCATATGGGCGCCGGTTCTAGTCCCAGCAGCTCCGCTTCCCATCCATCTCCCTGCTTGTGGCCTGGGAAAGCAGTCAAGGACAGCCCAAAGCCTTGGCACCCTGTACCCGCATGAGTGACCTGGAAGTGGTTCCTGGCTCAGATCGGCACAGCACCAGCCATTGCAGTCACTTGGGGAGTGAACCTTTGGATGGAAGATCTTCCTCTCTATCTCTCCTCCTCTCTGTATATCTGACTTTGTAATAAAAATAAATCTTAAAAACAAATTTTTATCCCTTTAAATTTAATAGATTTTTCCCATTAATTTCTTGCATTATTTAAATGATCATGTCCTGCTTGCTTCCCCAATTACCACAGACTATCCTACTATATGCCAGTATGCCAACCAATGAAGTATGAAAGGATATGAAAAACTTGAAAAAAACAATACCAATCGAACCACCTGAATGGGAAGGTTAACATTGTCAGCAAGGAGGTTAGAGAATTCATTAGTCTAAAGCAGTTTTTAAAACGCATTAACATCAAGGTCTGTCCATTTTCTGTTCAATTTTAAAGCTCATTTTTCCTTTTGTTCCTCAAAGAACTGGTCACTGATTATAATTGCCCAAATGATATTTAACTTAAAACAGAAGTGTTTCTATATTGGGTGACATCATTTATGATTAAAGATTTATTTACTTTTATTGGAAAGTCAGATATACAGAGAGGAGGAAAGATAGAGGAAGACCTTGCATCTGTTGGTTCACTTCTCAAGTGGCCACAACAGCCAGAGCTGAGCTGATCCTAAGCCAGGAGCCAGAGTTTCTTCTGAGTCTGCCACAGGGGCACAAGGACCCAAGGCTTTGGGTCATCCTCGACTGCTTTCCCAGGCCACAAACAGGGAGCTGGATGGGACATGAACCAGCGCCTGTATGGGATCCTGGCGCATGCAAGGCGAGGACTTTAGCCACTAGGCTACCTTGCTGGGCCTATAACAGTCTTTCCCAGCAGTCTGCTTCTGGCATTCCCAGGCAACTGAGGTCACTTTCCACCAAGTAAGAGAACACACTTTAGTAAGAGCCGCAGCTTCCTGATCTCATTAACCTGCTGCAGACCTTCACTTACTAAACACTAACTTGTTAGTTTTCACATCATCAATCTACCATGAAGCATTAAAGACTCCAGGTACCATCTTTCTAAACCTGTTATTTTTCCAGGTTTAGGAGGCATTTTCTGGGGATAATGTTCCAAAGGGTCTCCAAACTGTTAGCAGTAATGGAAACATCCAGAGCAATTCTCTCTCACACTCTCTCTCTCTGCTTGCTCTCTTCTATCAATCTCCCTTTCTCTGTATTGAATATTTTTCATAATTAACCAGCAAAGCTAGTAACAAAAAGTAAGAGTCCTTCCACTTTAACATCGGAAAAAAATCTAACGAACATACTTGGGATTCACAATTCACACTTGTCATTCTGTGTATTCATATTTAAAAACTATTTACTTCTCATGTTCTTATTTAATCTCTCCAGATTTAGCAACTAAACAACTATATTTTAGGTGCAGAGAAATAGCTTTCAGTGCTCTATGCAATACCTTTCTGAATTAATTTATTTTAGACTAATTCTCTAAGTGAAAAACTGTCATTTTCCCATTGTGTTATAATTTCTAGTTAACAGATTTTTCTCACACATACTGTTTTTTTCAGCTGCTGTTTTCAATATTTCTTGTTGGCTCAATAAATAACTGACATCTTAAACTTAGCAGAAAAATCAGCATTTCAATAATCTGAATAAATATTAGTAAAATAAATTTCACTATGGCAAAAACTGAGCCATCTCTACCAACCAAGAGAGTAAGCAGAAATTAATACATATAAAAGTATACCTGAATGACTGTATTAAAACATATTAAAACCATTAAATATATTAATATATTAAAGCAATCCACAAACACCAAGGATTTCCTTGCCTCAGTCAAGAACAGATTCAAATATAATTATGTTATTAAAATACTCAGTAACACAGAATTAATTGCCATTCATAAAGCTCTTTACCATGACTGCTAAGAATCAGAGACACTGTAGTACAGTTTTGTAGGAGGGAAAAGTACAGACCTGGGAATCAGAAGACCTGGTTCTAGTCTAGAAAGAGACTGAAACAGCCAGATAACTTCTAACCTTTTTAGCTCCAACACTGCTTATTCTGAAGTAGAAACAATTCCTGAATGTAAACCTTAATGAACAAGGTTAATTCTGAAACAAACAAAAAATACTATCAATCATCACACCTAGATAGCAGGTATAAAGTGTACTGTTCCAGATAAGTCAAAAGATACAGTGATTCATACCAAGAGATAGAGTGGTGCCACTTACTATCTTATTTCTACACCCACAGAACTTCACTCTCCCAAGTTTGTTTTGTTTTTTGCTTTTGAAGCTTGCTCTATTCTTTCAGTATACTAACTCTGGGCATTGTTACAATTCATTCGTAATTTTCTAAAAGTATTTTAGAAAGCAACTTATGTTCTCATGCTAGACTTAATACATAAAGATGAAAAGGAAATCTTTCCCAGTTTAAGACATACGATGTATGTATGCTGAACCAAATTTGAGAACCTGACTTAATGACCACAAAGAGAAAACAGAAAATAATAGCATAGTCGTTAACATAATTCAGAATGTGATTTTACTCTAGAAGGAAAATTTTAAAACCCTGTACACTTCAGGGTTAACTGTCAAAATATAAAAACTCCAGGAGCAGTCACTGGCATCGGTATGCAGCAAGTGAAGCCAGCACTTAGACAGCACATATACTGCAGTGCCAGTTCCAGACCAATGACTCTCGCTACTCTGCGTGTGATCAAGCTTCCTGCTAACGCATCCCTGGTACAAGTGCTGAGCCCCTGTCACCCACAGGGGAGACCCAAGATGGGAGTTCCAAGCATCTGGTTTCAGCCTGGCCCAGCCCTTGACTGGACATCTGAGGAGTGAACCCAGAGGACAGAATCAATTAATCTCTCTAGGTAAATCAATATAAATACTGCATTGTAAGCAGATAAAAATAAATACTTTCTAAAAACAAAAATATACAGCAAGGCTACAACTAAGTAGAGAACGCCATGATTGGTCAAATTTCTACATATTCTTATCAAGTGCTATTGATTTACAAAGTTCAAAAACCTCAAATGGGGGCCTGGCGCGGTGGCGCAAGTGGTTAAAGGTCCTCGCCTTGCACGCCCGGGATCCCATATGGGCGCCGGTTCTAATCCCGGCAGCCCCGCTTCCCTTCCAGCTCCCTGCCTGTGGCCCGGGAAAGCAGTTGAGGACGGCCCAAAGCTTTGGGACCCTGCACCCGCATGGGAGACCTGGAAGAGGTTCCTGGCTTTGAATCGGCATAGTATCGGCCCGTTGCAGTCACTTGGGGAGTGAATCATCGGATGGAAGATCTTCCTCTCTGTCTCTCCTCTCTGTATATCCGCCTTTCCAATGAAAAAATAATAAAAATAAAATCTTTAAAAAAAAAAAAAAAACCTCAAATGATCTTGTTCTACAAATAACATTTACAAAAGAAAGAACACAGGGGCCAACATTATGCAACAGCAAGGTTAAGCCATCACTTGCAATGTCAGAATCTGGTAAGAGAAGGCCAGTTCAAGTCCTGGCTACTCTGCTCCCAATGCAGTTTTGTCCCACTGTGCCTGGGAAGGCAGCATGTACTCGGGTCCCTTCCAATCCTGCAGGAGATTCCTACAGAGTTCCTGGTTCCTGGCTTCGGCCTGACCCAGATCTAGCTGTTGTGGCTATTTGGGAAGTGACCCAGTAAACAAAGATCCTCTTTTCTCCATATCTCCATTTTTCTCTGCTGCTCTGCCTTTCAGAGAAATAAGACATAATCTCAAATCTTCAATTTCACTAGCAGCAAGCCACATGAACCCAAGTTTATGGTCAGCTTTAACACAAGCGTACTGTTCTGGCATTCCATTCCAAATGATAATTTGGTTGGAGACTCGGGAAAAAAAAAAAATCTACCACCACACTCACCACTAGAACTTTCACAGAAGCTTTGCGAGACGTGGGCAGAGGCCTTGTCGAAATGCTTTGCCTCACCACCTGAGTCCAGCCGCTTTCCATTAGTAGTCACTTTTGGGTCTTCTGTTACTTCATTATCCACTTTCTCTCGAGGCTGAGGCTGAGGCTGTTGCATGCCCTGGCCAGTCTGTGGAGGCTCATCTCTTATTTCTAAAGCCAAAGGAGGATGCGAGGAGTCTTCCTGTGTAGGTTCCTTTTCTGCGATCACTGCTTTTGCGTCTCCTTCATATTTTGTGTTCTTTTCTTCCTGTTTATCTAGTCTGGTCTCGGCACATGGTTCTATCTCTGGAGCAACATCTTCCCATGACTGGGAATCGGAGCATTTCTCCACTCCCTCTAAAGGTTCACAAGAAACATCAACCCTGGGAGATGGTTCCTTGACGTCCACAATGACGACACTCGAGTCCTCCGAGGTAGCCTCTTCCCAAGCTTCCTGATCCTTAGGTTCCAGTTCCTGGTCCAGTACTGGTAGCTTTGGGGGGGAATCAATACTAATCACACTGGTTTCAACTTCCATAGCTTCGGAACATTCTTGTTTGGGGATTTCCTTTTGAAGACACAATCCTTGGGACTGAGTTTCCGTCAGAGAAAGGTGCAAGGGGATGCTCTCCAGGCTTTCTTCTTTGGGCTCCTCGCCTTGGCTTTCACAGGGAGTCTCAGGAATTTCTTCCACCTCGGACCCCGAAGACCCCTCTTCTGCATGGTGTTTAATTTCCATAGCTTCCTCCTGATCCAGCACACTAGAGAGCGCCTCAGAGCGAGCAGCCGGAGAAGGAACGGCCTGACTGCCTGAATCGCAGGTCAGATCAATACAAACATCCTCTGCTACAGTGTCTTCTCTGGCTTTGCAGCCAGTGGCTAAAACACTAACATCATCTCTGGCTTCCACGTCATCTCCCTTTGTTTTGTCATCACTTTGACTCAATTCTGCTTGACCATCCTCCACTGGATTCAACAAGATACCATCATTTTCAGCAGGAACAAGTTTAGAATTAAGAACCGGAGACATGGGCTCCGGGTCCTCAATCTGCGTGTTTTCTCCGTCTTCATCAATCCTCTGAGAACCTAAGCTCTCCACCTTTGGGGACTGACTATACTCGCTTGCAGAAAGCATCAACTTACAAGAATCTCCTGTCAAAGACAGGCCAAGCTCCTCTGTGGAATTTTTTGGTTCGCTCTCTGAAGCTTTGGAACACTCCACAGTCAAAGATGAGCTATGCAAATCTCCACCTTTCTTCCCATCATTTGATCGATCTTCTAAACTTGGTGATGGAATGAAAATGTCCTAAGGAAGAATAAAAAGACAAATCATAACTGGCCATAATCATATTTCTTTCATATCAAATCCATAGAGTCCTTCAAAATTTGCAAGGCAATTATTCAATTAAAGAATTTTAGGATCATAATCTCAGGAACACAAAAATGCAGTCACCAGTCCTTTCATCAACACAGATCACTGTGATTAGAGCCCTTCTTATGACATCATGGATCCAGAGTAAGCATAACCCAAAAAACAAAGCCTCTGGCGCTGAAGACACTCCTACTGTACATCATGCTGCTAAAATCATGACATACATATACGATGGCTTTCAATTACACAGCAGCATTTGCCATCTTTAACAGTAATACACAACCTATTTCAGATAACACAAAAAGGGAATATTATTCATTTTTCTTTCCACTATTTCAACATGTAATAGCTTTCAAGGCAGATATTTTAAAAGTTCCTAGTATCACTTATTAATAAAAAATGCTACTAAAACTTCAGTGGAGTATCACTACATAATACAAGAACAGCTAAAGTAAAAAAAAAAAATGCAAAACTGTATTGGTGAGCATGTGAAACAATTCCAATTCTCAACTGAAATGGAGAAAAACAATTACACTGGAAAACAGTATGGCAGCACTTTCTAAAGTTAAATACACAACCATATTACCCAGAAATTCTACTAAACAAATTTCATCAAGAGAATAAAACATGTCCACACAATGATATATATATGCAAATAATTCCAGCAGTCTTAGTCATAATAACTACGAACTGGAAGCAAACTAAATGTCTGTCAACTGCTGAATCAATAAACAAACTGAGGATATTCCTATTATAGCATGATGCTCGTCTATAAAAACAGAATACAAATATTAATATTAATAAATCTCAATAAACCTAGTGTCAGCATAAATGTAAAAGACCAACACTTATACACAGTTCATAATTCCATGAATTCTCAAAAAAACAAATTAAAGAAAAACCAGTGACAGAAAGCAGACATGTGATTTCCTAGGACAAGAGAGGGGAGTGTTGGGATGGAGGAATATCAACCATGAATGTTCACAAGAAAACTTTATACAGTAAAGACCCATCAGTCTCTGATAGTAGTGATGGTTATCCATTTGGACACAACTGCCAAAATTCAAATTACATATTTAAAATGGCAATTGTATTTCACTTAACAAAAAAAAAAAACTCCAAAGGGGTCAGCACAGTGGCTCAATAGACTAATTCTATGCCTATCAGCACCATCACTCCATATGGGCGCTGGTTCTACTCCCAGCTGTTACACTCTGATCCAGCTCCTTGCTAATGACCTGGAACAGCAGCAGAGGGAGGCCCAATTTGGAAGACCCAAAAGAGACTCCAAGCTTCTGGCTTCAAATCAGGTTAGCTCTGGCCATTGCGGCCATTTGGGGAGTGAAATAGAACAAAAGATCTCTGTCTCTCCTTCTCTCCATAAATCTGCATTTCAAGTAAAAATAAATTTGAAAAAAGGAAAAGTTGTATTTCTTTCATGCTGACCTTCAGCCCCATTCCCTATTGTTTCCTCCAAAGCAAATCATATAGCTAGTTTCTAGATTATACTTTCAGTATTGCTTTTTGTAAACACATATGTATTTTTTTAATTTCATCTTATTGCATGCAAAACAGGTAACAGTTTTGCAGGTTAAGTCACCACTGAGTGCTGGCATCCCATATGGGCAGCATCCCAACACATCTCCTATCCTCCAAAGCCCTCTTAGAGTAATGAACTTCTAGTACAATAGCAGCCGGTAGCTAGCAGACCTGAGACTAGACATTTTCTTGGGTTAACTGACCACACCAAAACAAACCAAGATTCTGAAACTGTAGTATTTATAACAAAACATCCCATCTATTGAGTCAATGAATAAAATCTCAGAAACAACAAGCCTCAAACACTAGCTCAAAACTACTAACCATCATTCTGCTTTACTCTTAAATGTCAGCAAATATTTAAGGAACACCACACATCTGAGGCTAAAGAGCCCCTATATAAGAGACATTAAGATAAATATATTTGAAAAAAACGATAAAAATTCCAGGGAGGGAGGGAGCCAGAGCTGGGGGGCAGCAGGTTATGCCAAAGCAGCTCCTCTACAGTGTGACTAGGAAAACAGAAGAGGACGATCCAAGTGATATCAGGCCCCTGCACTCCTATGGGAGATGCAATGACACTCCTGCCTTCTGGCTTCTGGCTAGCCCAGGCTTGATTGTTGCAGCCAGTTGTGAAGTAAACCAGCAGATAGAAAATCTATGTCTAAATTTCTCCCTCTCTGCTTCTCCCTCTCTACAACCTTCTCAAATAAATAAATTTTAGTAAATTCAGAGAAGAAAACAGCCAAAAGAATTTAAGAAATTGGACCCAGCGCCTTGGCCTAGCAGCTAAAGTCCTCGCCTTGAACGCGCAGGGATCCCATAGAGGTGCTGGTTCTAATCCTGGCGATCCCACTTCCCATCCAGCTCCCTGTTCGTGGCCTGGGAAAGCAATCGAGGACAGCCCAAAATCTTGGGACTCTGCAGCCACGTGGGAGACATGGAGGAGGTTCCTGGCTCCTGGCTTCAGATTGGCATAGCACTGGCCGTTGTGGTCACTTGGGACATGAAGCACTGGATGGAAGATCTTTCTCTGTGTATCTCTTGCTCTCTGTATATCTGACTTTGCAATAAAAATAAATTTATTTTTAAAGACTTTTTTTTAATTTTTATTGGAAAGGCGGATATACAGAGAGGAGAGACAAAGAGGAAGATCTTCCGTCTGTCCGAAGATTCACTCCCCAAGTGACCACAACGGCTGGAGCTGAGCCAATCTGAAGCCAGGAACCTCTTCTGAGTCTCCCACATGGGTGCAGGGTCCCAAAGCTTTGGGCTGTCCTCGACTGCTTTTCCGGGCCACAGGCAGGGAGCTGGATGGGAAGCGGGGCTGCCGGGATTAGAACCGGCGCCCATATGGGATCCCGGGCATGCAAGGTGAGGACCTTAACCACTGCGCCATTGCGCCGGGCCCTAAAAAGAAATCTTTAAAAAAAAAAACAGAATCCAAAAAATTAGTATCTTCAGAGAAATAAAACTGTGTACTCCAAAAAAAAAAAAAAAAAAAAAGACAATGTTATTAAAAAAATTCAAAGAGTTAACAAATTTAGTAACTCAGAGAAGGGTGAGGTGGTGGTAGAAGGGGCCAACGTTCTGGTGCAGTAGGTTGAGCTGTTATCTACAGCTGCTCTGCTACTGACCCAGCTCCCTGCTAATGCTCCTGGAAAAGCAGCAAAGGATACCTTTTACGTGGGTTCCTGTCACTCACATCAGGGACCCAGATTCAGTTCCTGACTCTTGGCTTCAGCCTGGCCAGGGCCAAGCTGTTGCAGACATTTCTAATTGAATCAGTGAGTAGATGATCTCTCCCTGTCACTTCTTCCAATAAATAAATAAATGCTTGAAGCAAGTTGCTGTATTTGCTGGTCTACACAAGAGATAAAACCATGTCTACACAAAACAACTGTGCATGAATGTCCACAGCAGGACTATTCACAATAGCAAGAAAGGAGAAACAGCCAAGATTTACCAACTGACAGATGGATGACAATAAAGGTGGTATATACGTGCTATGGCTTTGCTAATCAATAAAAGGAAATGGAATGCTGATACATAGACCACAACATGGATGAATTTTGAAAACATCACGCTACATGAAAGAGTTACAAAAGACTAAACTGTGGATGCTTCAAAAACCTCATGAAAAGTGCCTACCAAAAGGAAAAACACTATGCAGAGATTTAAAAAATTTTCTGCACAAAAATACATTTATTTTTAAATTTCATTTCCCACAAATCGTTAAAGTACCCTAGTTTTGTAAAATTCCATTTATATGACATGCCCAGAATAGCAAATCTATACAGATCGTCACTGTTAACGGGCATGAGGTCTGGGTGAGGCAGCAGTGATGAAAATGTTCTAAAATTAGGCTGTCAGGAATGGTTACACAATTCTGTGAATACAATGAAAGCTCCTGGATTATACCTTTTAAATAGGTGAGCTTAATGGTATGTAAATTATGTATCAATAGTCATCTAAAAAAAAAAAAAAAGCTGATTGAAAAAAAAACACCCAAAATGTTGAACAGAGTTGGAAATGGAGACAAAGTAGAAAAAATTGGAAGTGTACCGTTTTTAGCATTCCAAACAATTGAAATCCCTTTAAAAGAACAGAGAAAAAAAGGGAAGGTGGTGATTAAAGAAATAACAAATTCTTTAACAAAGGACCTAAGTTTCAAAATTCAGGGGGCCTATCAAATGTCCAATATGATGAATAAAATAAAATGAATTATTGGATGGCAGATCTTTCTCTCCGTTTCTCCTCCTCTCTGTATATCTGCCTTTCCAATAAAAATAAGCAAAATTCAAAACAAAAAAGCCCTTGCTTTGCACGTGCCGGATTCGGGTTCTAATCCCGGAGGCTCCACTTCCCATCCAGCTCCCTGCTTATGGCCTGGGAGGGCAGTTGAAGATGGCCCAAAGCTTTGGGACCCTGCACCCATGTGGGAGATCCAGAAGAGGTTCCTGGCTTCAGATTGGCTCAGCTCCAGCCGTTGTGGTCACTTGGGGAGTGAATCATCAGACAGACGGAAGATCTTCCTCTCTATCTCTCCTCCTCTCTGTATATCTGACTTTCCAACAAGAATAAATAAATCTTTAAAAATAAAAAAGAAAAAAAATAAATAAAAAAATAAAAAAGGGCCTGCTCGACTCGAAGTCAGATCTTTGTGACCAGGCATCACTTTACCCACACAGCCTGGGATATTTTTGCAAAGACATTCAGAAACCACTGGAAAAACTCTAACCAAGTTCATTTATCTCTGTTGTGTTTTCTGTGAAATTCTTATCAGCACCCTACAACAATGCTTACTGCTTATCCTTTAAATTATATATGCTCACCTATTAACTTTAAATAAATAAAAGGTAAACATGGCAAAGACAGGCACTGTGGTTCAGAGTAAAGCTGTTGCTTACAACTTGGACTGCCTGTCAAGGATACTCCACTTCCAATCATGCTTCCTGCTCACACACCTGGAAAGCAGTGTATAATAAGAAATTGAGTCCCTGGGGCCCAGCGTGGTGGCGAAGTGGTTAAGGTCCTCGCCTTGCACACCCTGGGATCCCATATGGGCACTGGTTCTATCCCGGCAGCCCCACTTCCCTTCCAGCTCCCTGCCTGTGGCCTGGGAAAGCAGTCGAGGACAGCCCAAAGCTTTGGGATCCCGCAAGCGCGTGGGAGACCTGGAAGAGGATCCTGGCTTCGGATCGGCATAGTATCGGCCGTTGTGCTCACTTGGGGAGTGAATCATTGGACAGAAGATCTTCCTCTCTGTCTCCCCTCTCTGTATATCCGCCTTTCCAATAAATAAATAATAAAAATAAATCTTTTTAAAAAATATTAAAAGAAAAAGAAATTGAGTCCCTGTAACCCACACTGGGTACCTGGACTGCTTACCAAGCACCTGACTTGGGTCTGGCACAGCTTTGGCCATTGGCGCACATGGGGAATAAACCAGCAAATAGAAGATCTCACTCACTCACTCACTCACTCCTCTGCATTTCAAATAAAGAAAAATAATTACATGTATTAAGATGTTAGATAATGTTCTTAACTGAATCATAATGATGGCTGCACAACTCTAAATTTACTGAAGCATCAGTAAAGTGTACATGCAAAACAGGTGAATTTTAAGGGCTGCAGATTACATCTAAATAAAACAGTTCAGAGGAAAAAAAAATCTGTCTACAAAACTCACATGAGAAAACTCAGGCTGGGAAGGGATAGGAAGTGATCCTGGAGTAAAGACTGGAGTGCTCTGTGACACTGGCGTTGAGGCTTGAGGCAGCACAGCAGGCTTAGCCTGCACAAGTGGATTATCTTCTACTTCCATTGGTTCATCATCCTGGAGTTTCTTCTGAAATGGAGCTTGGCCCTCTTCAGCTAGCACTGACATATTCATTGGCTCATCTTCTTTAGGACAGAAAAAAAACAGATTAATCATTAGTATTACTCACGTTACAGCATCAATGATTACACTGGTTGCTGTTCATCTAGATCTGAGGAGCCAGAGCAGACGTCTGCACCCGAGGGCCTGGTCAGGGCACAACAGACGGCCCAGGAACAGGGCATCACCCTGTGCGGGAGCACAGAGATCATGGCCGAGCTCTTATGTGGCATCCACAGCATTTTACATCAGCATCACATTTACCTCTATCTCTTTGCTGTTGCAATGTAAATGTCTCAATCCCCCTCCCTGAATGCCTACAAGACCACCTCCATTTTAAGTCTGATGCTGTTAAAAAACCTCAGCTGACAAAAAAAAATTACAATGCAAATAAATTTTCAGAAAAGCTAACAAGTAACAGCAAATTGGATTCAGCAACACTTCCGTTTCCTTCCCCAAGGGGTGGGGCAAGTCCCTATTTTTAGAGTTCATCTGGGGATAACCACCCATCCATAAGAAATGGTAAACGAGTTCCTCTGAACAACTTTCCTACTACAAATCTGTTTCCTATTTCATGTGGGAACATTCAGATTAACAACTGCATATTCTGCCTTGGATTTTGAAAAGTAGTAAACTTGCTCACCACTCCAATATCAACATATTGATTAATTTTCTTTGCAGTAACTGCTGAGTGCAGAGAAATCCCAGGACAAATACAGAAGAAAAAATTTGACTGATGTCAAATAGCAGTGACTTAATCAACGAATTGAGAAGGTGCTGATCCTGACACAAACTGCCCAGAAGGAAACACACGCACTACATCAAAACACACTGACTTCTCACAGTGTAGGACTCACTTGTACACTAACAGGGTGTTCCTCGGAACCCGTCCTGCTAGATAGAGGAAATAGGTTGATAAATCAAGTACCTATCTTACAACCTGATTCCAGCACAACTTCCTCTAGACAGCTCACTATTTATGCCATACAGGTTGCCCTTGAATTGACTTTCACACTGCTGGTTACCCACACTCGCAATCTCAACAGCCATAGTTGCAGTTCAGGTTGGCCTCCAGCTCACACACCACACTCTACACTAGTCTGAATCAGTTGCATCAGTAGCTTTTAATAAACCACTACAGCTGTGCTCAGCAACTTCACTGCAGCTTTTTTCCTTTATTAGCATGGCAACACACATTAAGGGCCACTTGTTTTAGCCCCTATGTATTAAAAATGCTTCAAACTGTTAATCTTAGCAAAAGTTTTTTTTAAATCACATACATAAACAGCTTGTCTCAAACACTGGTCCAAAGCATTAAACTTAAAATGCAACAAGGGAACATACACTGCTATATGAGGGTAAAACTGAATCATAACACATTATGATGGCAACTATATAAAAACACTTTTGTATTTGCAACACAGAAGACATTCAAAGGATATATGAATGTTACCTAAATGCCAACTCTATATCTCAGTTTAGTATCACAGGTGATCTGTTTCCTTCTAATTTCTTGCACCTTCCAAAATTTCTAGCATAATTTACAGCCAGAGAAAAAGAACTTTTGAAAGGATTTCTTTGTATTTTTGAAAAGCATAACTACAGAGCGAGGCAGAGACAGAGATCTTCCATCTGCTGCTTCACTCCCACAAATGGCCACAAGGACAAGGGCCAGCCAGAAATTCCATCCAGGTCTCCCACGCGAGCAGCACAGGCCAAGTGATTTAATTTGCTATATCACAATGCCAGCCCAGAGAAAACATGTTTTTTCTTTTTTTCCCATGTTCAAACTATAGATGGGAAAAAACTGTTCTAAGAATCTGGGCCCTTGGCATAGCAGGCAAAGCCTCTCTCGCTCTCTCATTCCAGATGGGATGCCTGCACCTTAGTTAGGAGATTAAGCCTGTCATGTGTCTGTGCCGGCCCTCAAAATAAGTAAATTTTTTAAAACAAAGATGTAACCAAAATTAACATGCCTTAACAGATTTTTCCTCTGAAGATGTAACCAAGGTAATGCTTAAAAGGTTAATCATCTACCAGATACCTACACCAATTACAAGGGAAAAACCTACAAGCCAGAGACAAATTTGGTAGAAGGACGCCTAGGATTAGTTTGTCATGGAGAAAGCACACCTGGGATACGGGCTTACTTACATCACTCCAGAGCAGAGCCATCACGATACCATACTAGATATAACACAGATAAACATAACCGAGAGGAACACGGGCTCCGGAGGCAGGACCTCTGTTCAAAACCTGCCCCTGAACCTTCTGTGCCTCCTTTCCTCACCTACTTCTTAGGACTACAAGTAATCAAAGACGACACACAGAATTCACCAAAACACCTGAAACCTTGGATGGCGTATATTACGTTGCTACAACCTGCACCTCAAGAACCAGAGTTTGAAGAGGAAGCAACACATAGTTGAAACAGAAACGAATACAGGAAGTTTTCGAAGTAGCAGGTCAGAGAAAGTTTTTTAAAGATTTATTTTCATTGGAAAGTCAGATATACAGAGAGGAGGAGAGACAGAGAAGATCTTTCGTCCGATGAGTCACTCCCCAAGTAACTGCAATGGCCAGAGCTGGGCCTTTTCCGGGTCTCCCACACAGATGCAGGGTCCCAAGGCTTTGGATGTCCTCAACTGCTTTTCTGGGACTCAAGCAGGGAGCCGGATAGGAAGCGGGTCCTGCTGGGATTAGACAGGCACTCTGGCACGTGCAAGGCTAGGATTTTAGCCGCTAGGCTAGGCTAGGCTAGGCCAGGCCCAGAGCAAGACAGATCTCAGAGAGGTACTCTTCAATGCCTTTCCTGGCAGCTTTTATTCATTTGGGGAACCCTACTTCATAACAACTTAAGCTACCTGTGGGTCTTTTGTTTCCTGACTAACCACTATTGCAGCCAAGAGGCCCTCCAGTGGATCACTGCATGCCCAAAGAGAGGATGTCAAGTGTTACCTCCCAACTTCTGTTTTCCTAAATTGTTAAAGGGGAAAAAAAAGTGCTGCAGGTGATAATTACTCATTAGTGTGCAAATTGTCCCCTAGTTTTTCCAATTCCTTGCATTCCTTCTAACAAAACAACAAACTCCAATTGCTGCTCTAGCTGCTTCCTGCTGAGACTTCCTCAAATGCATAGCAGCACGGGATTCCTAGGGTTGTTAGAATCTTATATTTTGAGAGTTTCACATTAAAGGTTTAGTTATAGAGCTTTAGATGCTAAGGAATTAAAGATTTGAACTATGTGGTCAAAGTTAGTCCAGAGCAAACTCAAAGAGAAAACTTGGAAAGTAGTTACTTTAATTTTGAATGTTCAGACTGGTGTTTAAATTCAGATAGAAAACAGATAAAGGATTTTTACACAATTATCATTTCTCCAAATATTGCAATCTTAGCATCTCAGGAAAAATATTTTGCCTAGACGACAGAACAGCTGAACACAGTACCAACAACACTTAGTTAGACATGAATATTTTTGAGAGTCACATTGTGATTGGCAAAATCTTTCTTCAAAAGTATACTAAGATTTCATAGCTTATTATACATTTTAGAACCGCAGCAAACGATCATAGAGCTATAGAGTTTAGCAAGGCATATAATAATGAATGAAAAATAAAGGATCAAACTTAAGAACAAATAAATTGGTATAGACAAAAACTTTACCTAATCTTTTTCTAGGATATCAAATCTTTTTAAGTAGTTGTTACAACATTATTCACATATTCTGCTTGTTACTCTGGCCAACAAAGTTCACAAAACTTGCAGTCAAGACCCCGGGACGTTTTGTGCTGGCCCAGCCAACTCATTCCTCTACCTTCCATTTCCGTGTAGCAATCAGTTTGATGACTCCTTTTGCTTTTGGTAGCAATCCTTTCTCTTCAAGGGACCCTGTTTAGGCACCATCAGCTACAGCCTGGGCAGCATGAACCAGGATTTGAAGAGTAAGCAAGGCAGAATCGCGAGAGAAGTTTCTGGAAGCTGTGAGCCAGACTATAAAGGAACAATTCAATGCCTTTCCCAGCAGCTTTTATTCATTTGCAGAGTCTTATTTCATAAACTGCCTTCACCTGCCGGTCTTTTAATTCCTGACTAAACACCATCCCTGCCAGGAGGGCCTCAGGTGGAACATTCATGCCCAGAGCACTGAACATGTGCCCAAATATGCTTCCACTTTATCTCAATAACATAAAATACTGAATGCCATTGTTGCTGTATGAGAATGAAAAAAGGAAAACCATAATTTATTGAAAAAGCTTCATGGAATTAATAACTTAGAATTATCCTACATGATTGGAGAGTAGGGCATAGCAACAGGCTTTGATAATGAGACAACATAGGCACAGGGAAAGGAAAGCTTTCTTGTCAGACAAGTACTATAAATGAAGTCCTCAGGGCCCAGGCATGGTAGGCTAGCAGCTAAAGTCCTTGCCTCGAACACGCAGACATCCCATAGAGGTGCCGGTTCTAATCTGGCAGCCCCACTTTCCATCCAGCAACCTGCTGTGGCCTGAGAAAGTAGTTGAGGACAGCCCCAAGGCCTTGGGACCCTGCAACCCCTGTGGGAGACCTAGAAGAGGCTCCTGGCTTCAGATCGGTGAAGCTCCAGCCTTTGCGGTCACTTGGGGAGTGAGCCAACATACAGAAGATCTTCCTCTCTGTCTCTCCTCCTCTCCGTATATCTGACTTTGCAATAAAAATAAATAAATCTTTTAAAAAAATTAAGTTCTCAAACGACGAAATGGCTAAGACTCTCAGCTACTCGCTAATTAGAACTATTCTAATAGCCAAAATAACCCAAAGAGCACAAGGAACAACTGGTTTCCCTCTCACCAGAAACAGGATAACATGTTGCTGTCAACTACTAGGCCATGAGTAGTAATTCTGATTCTTAATCATACTATTTCCCTCAATTCAAGGCGAAAAACATAAATTATTTTTTTTCTTTGAGGAAATTTTTAAAACTGCTAACAATGCAGAAGTTTCAGAACACAAACCTGAAATATACAGACTGGGTTAGGAGAGCACTTGATATATGCCCACCACCTTGAAGGTCAGGCAGACACCGAGTCCTGCAGATCGGTGCTGGTCACGGCATTCTAAAGCAGAGGAAACACTGCGTCCTGCAAGGCCGCAGCACTGAGAGCTCACCTTTTCTCCCTTCTTGCTCGGTGGGACTGCTGGGAACAATAAAAGGGGTCGATCGGAAAGCATCAGGGGAAGGAGCAACAACATCTGAGGAATTCCTTCATATAAAAAAAGAACCACAAGGTTATTTATACCATAGCCACAGTTTCTGTACTTTTTGACTTCTTCATAGCAAGTATCCAGGTATTTGGCCAGATATTTAACATTTCTCCCAACAGCCCTCTGAGGCTGGAATTATTTTCCATACCTGACATTTCTAATTTATATATATATGTTATATATATAAATTCTATATATAAATTATATATGTGTATCTAATATATATATACACACACACAGACACAAGGACATCATTACAGACAAGCAGGATGACCAAGCACTAAAAAATAAATCATGTATAAACTTCCAACTTAAGGGGGAAAAAAATCCATTTTTGCCTAATAAGAAAACTCTACTGTGACACAGTAAAGCCATAGTTTAGTGGATGCAAGTTTGAGTTGTGGCTGCTTCACTTCTGATTCAACATCCCGTTAATATGCCTAGGAAAGCAGCAGAGGATGGCCCAAATGCTTGGCCCTGCAATCCACGGGACACACAGAAGAGTCCCAAGGCTCCTGGCTTAGAATCAGTTCAGCTCTGGTCATCGAGACAATTTAGTGAATGAACCAGAAGGTAAGAGTCTCTCTTGGGCCTGGCACCGTGGCCTAACAGCTAAAGTCTTCACTTTGAACGCGCCAAGATCCCATATGGGCGCCAGTTCTAATCTAATGGCAGTTCCACTTCCCATCCAGCTCCCTGCCTGTGGCCTGGGAAAGCAGTCGAGGACAGTCCAAGGCCTTGGGACCCTGTGGGAGACCCGGAGGAAGAGACTCCTGGCTCCTGGCTTCGGATCGGTGCAGCACTGGCCGTTGCAGTCACTTGGGGAGTGAATCATCGGATGCAAGATCTTTCCTCTCTGTCTCTCCTCCTCTCTGTATATCTGAATCTTCAACAAAAATAAATAAATCTTTTTTAAAAAAGAGAGAAAAGTCTCTCTCTTTGTAACTCTTTAAAATGGAAATAAGTACATGGGCCCAGCATGATGGCTCAGTGGTTAAACCTTCACCTTGCACGTTCTGTGATCTTATAATGGGCACCAGTGCCTGTCCCAAATGCTCCACTTCCCATCCAGCACTTGTGGCCCGGGAAAGCAGCAGAGAATGGTCCAAAGCCTTGGGACCCTGCAACTGTGAGAGACACCTGGAAGAAGATGCTGGCTCCTGTCTTCAGACCAGCTCAGTTCCAGCCTTTGCAGCCATTTAGGGAGTGAACCAGTGGGTGGAAAAATCTCTTACTTTGTTTTTGTCTATGCCTCTAACTCTGCTTTTCAAATAAATACATCTTTTTTAAAAATGGACATTTTCTTCCCCAAAGAAACCTTTAGAATGAAATTATTAAACTTTTAAATGGAAAAACAAATCTGACTTCCATAGTGTCACAAAGTTCTATCTTTTGGTTTCAAAAAGAATTCTGGACTAGTCAGCAACATTAACTTTTTCAACCATCGCCTAAGTTCCTGAGGCACAGGTTGCCTTGACCCAAGTTAAACTTCAGGTTAACTTACGTGGAAAGACTCTCCTGAGCCAGAGATCTCTGACCAGACAACTGCAGGAGGTGCAGAGTGGTGGCAGGTGTGGAAACCAGAGTACAATCACCTTCCTCTCTCATAGGAGTAGAGCAACCATCAGAAGCTACTGGAAAAAGAATAAGCTCTGGCTGCGTTTACTTCTCAGAATGACATTATTGAGTTACCAAAGATAACCACTCAGCATGCAAAGAGCAATATCTGGATTCCCAACCATATTTCAAGAGAGTAGAAACTATTTTAATTGGAGTGTAATCAATGCAATGTCACAAGACTACAAATGTTGAGCTTACAGTAATCCTCCCCAAATTATGGGTTTAATAAAAAATGCACTGAAAATATCCTTAGTCATTTCTGTCATGATATAAGCTCGGAGAGAAAAAGCCAGAATTCTTACACCTCTACATGGTGGCCCTATCAATGTTTATGGGGCCTTTTATCCCAAGATGTACATAACGTGAAATAAAGCTCATGCCACGATGTAGACAGGCGAAGTCACAACAATGCATGGTAGCCAACTCTGGCTGCGTGGATGAGCTACCACCTGCAGCACCAGTGTATTCCACCTGGGCACAGTTCCAGTCTTTGCAGATTCACTTCTAATCCAACTCCCTGCTAAAGCTCCTGGAACAGCAGTGCAGGAAGGCCCAAGTGCTTCAACCCTGCACCCAAACGGGAAACTCAGAACAATCTCCTGGCTCCTGGCTCCAGACTGGCCCTACGCAGGCCACTGAGGCCATCTGCAGAGCAAACCAGTGGATGGAAAATCTCGGTCTCAAAACTGCCTGCCAAATAACCAAGTCTCCTTTTCTTTTTTAAAGATTTATTTTTATTGGAAAGGCAGATACACAGAGAGGAGGAAAGACAGAGAGGAAAGATCTTCCATCCAAAGGTTCACTCCCCAAGCGGCCGCAACGGCTGAAGCGGAGTCAATCTGAGGCTAGGAGCCAGGAGCCAGGAGCTCTTCCAGGTCTCCCACGCGGGTGCAGGGTCCCAAGGCTTTGGGCCGTCCTCGACTGCTTTCCCAGGCCACAAGCAGGGAGTTGGATAGGAAGCAAGGCCGCCGGGATTAGAACCAGCACCCATATGGGATCCCGGCACGTACAAGGCAAAGACTTTAACCACTACGCTATTACACCAGGCCCAACAAGTTTTCTTTTAAAAGACTAAAACACTTTTTTTGGGGGGGGGGGGAGCAGGGGAGAATGTGTAGAGTGAAAACACATAACACCTAATGTTATGACTATAGGAACTTTCATAGTTAGAACCTGGACTGCTTCAGAGGAGGCAGAAAATGCTAATATACTGATTAATGAAAGGATGCACAGACATTACTGATGAGTTTTCTAATGGTACCTTCTCTTTTGCAATAAACGAAGTAATAAATTACACTAGCCCAAAATATAAAAGGGGAAAAGTGGGTAAAGCAACCACATACAAAAGCAGCATCCCACATGGGCACCAGTTCAAGTTCTGGCTGCTCAACTTCTGATTCAGATCCCTGTGAATGTACCTAGGAAAGCAGTGGAGCAAGCCTCAAATATTTGAGCCTCCGCACCCACACAGAGACCCAGAAGAAACTCCTAGCTCCTAGATAGTAAACAGCCTGGTTCAAGCAGCTGTGGCCATTTGAGAAGTGAATAAGCAGATAAAAAAGCTCTTTATCTCTCCTTCTCTGTGTAAGTCTGCCTTTCAAAAAAATAAAAACAAAAAATCAACCAAACAAACAGATAAATCTTGGGCCGGGCGCAGTGGCCTAGCTAGCGGCTAAAGTCTTCACCTTGAATGTGCAGGGACCCCATATGGGTGTACTTCATGTCACGGCTGCTCCACTTCCCATCCAGCTTCCTGCCTGTGGACTGGGAAAGCAGCAGAGGACGGCCCAAAGCCTTGGGACCCTGCACCCGTGTGGGGGACCATTGGAAGAAGCTCCTGGGTCTTGGCTTGGATCGATTATCTCAATTCTGGCGACTGCAGCCATGTGGGGAGTGAAACGACAGAGTGAAGATCTTTCTCTCATCTCCCTCCCTCTTTAAATCTGCCTTTCCAATAAAAATAAATAAATCTTTAAAGAAATTAAAGACTAAGTAAACATATCATAATGAATAAATAACTATTCTGTTGATAATACTAAGTTTACAATATTAACAGTATGTCTTCATTTCCAACCAAGAGAGGAAATTATAATCAGCTAGAAATGCATTTTCATAAAAATACATTTTCAATACATAACACAAAAAATATGCACTCATGTGCAGTGCTTTCTAACAAACAGTAGTCTGAGAAGTGAAGTTAAGTTTAGACCTTAGGGGAAGAGGAGCAAGCAATCACTCTCCATACCTGTCTGGTTGCTCTGGTCAAACAAATCTTCCTGAGTTGACAAAATCTCAGGCTCCAGTGACTTCTCAATCTGCAGCCCACCTTCCACGACCGCCTGAGCAGACATCTGTTCTTTCCGTTCCACAGCAGCAAGTGACACTTTAGGACTAGAAGGTAAGTCTTCTGATCTAGGAAATTCACACAACCAGGACAGCCACTAAGTGTAAGTGGCTTTCACTGGTTAGCCTGTTGTTCTTTTAATAATTTCAACAATTCCAAAAGCTCTAATCGACACAGTAGCCTACTGAAAATGAAATAAGTTATTGTTCATAACGATACAGTCTTCAGTCCTTTGAAATTCTGTTTCAGTTTCTCACACAACAATACTTTGAAAATTATTTCAGTGTCTCACACACCTATACCTTTCTTCAGCTGTGCTCACCACGGCCTTGTCTGCTATCCACAATCTCTGACCAGTGACGTGAGGATTTGTATGCTGTTACCTCAACCTGTGCTGGGGAATCTGATTCCACAGAGGAACAGAACAGAGCACGAGGATGTGAACGACCCTCTGTGCTGGTGACATGTTATCTTCTGCTTCCCTTTTCGTTTGCTCTACCCAAGCCAGACGCCACACCAACACTCCACACCAATCCTACGTCCACGCGGTAAGACACTCAGGGCTGGCCTCCTCCTAGAAACTCACAAGGATCACCTGTGCTACCCCACTCCTTTAACAGCAACAAGCTGAACTCTAACTTCTAAATAGCATAAATTTTACCCATTGTTAACCCAGGTGTTTCACATTAGAAAAACACCTTCTCTCTTTTTTTAAACAAAATTCATTTTATTTAGACTGAAATAAACTATACAAAATCAATTTTCTTCACCACAAATAATAGCAATCTTTTCTGTATTATTTCTAGATAAACCACAAAACACGTTCTGTAGTTTTTCCAGGCTTCACTTATAAATCAAGACAAGGCAGTAGTCATGGAAAAAGAGAAAAAGAGAGAAGTCAGCTTTTGGTATCCCCGACCTCTAACCCTGTCTTGACCATTAAACACAACTCTTTTTTTTTTTTTTTTTTATTGTTCCTTACACTGTATTATGTAGTACAGTTTTATAGGCGCTGGGGATCCCCCCCACCCCTCCCATACCCCTCCCCCCATGGTGGATTCCTCCACCTTGTTGCATAACCATAGTTCAAGTTCAGTTGAGATTCATTGCTTGCAAACACATGCCTAGCATAAAGTTCAGCGTCTTATTGTCCAGATAAGTTCAGTGGCCTCTTGGGGAGACCTTCTATGGTCTGAAGATAGGTCTAACAGAGTAAAGATCCGGTCAGTTAAAAGCCCCAACAAGGCCTCAGTATCAATATACAACATTATGGAATTAATTGACATAGTAATGGGTAGACAATATGTTAATAAACACAACTCTTGATACTCAGATTTGTTCAGAAACTAGCTCCTCAACGTCTCTCTCATAGCATGCTCCTCAACGTCTCTCTCATGCCATGCTGACCTGACCCACCACCTGTAACGCCACCATCCCACCTGGGTGTCACTTGATGTCCCAAATGCTCCACTTTTGATCCAGCTTCCCGTTAATGGCCGGCAAAAGCAGCAGGGGGACGCCAAAGTCCTTGGACTCCTGCACACACACGGGAGACCCAGAAGAAGCTCCTGGCTCCCAGCTATGCACCAGCCCAGCTCTGGTCATAGAGGCTATTTGGGGAGCGAACCAGCAGATGACGATCTGTCTCTCCCTCCCTCTCCTTCAGTATTTCTTTCAAGTAAAATAAATAGATATTAAAAAAAAGAAGAAGAAGAAAAAGAAGAAAGAAAAAACACAATACTGAAGGTTTATTCATCCCATTTCCAAACTGGAACCATCTCAGGTTTCCATCATCATATCTGAACTTCAGCCATTAGAGGCAAAGTGATTTTGAATACAATCATCACAGAACTCACAGGGTCTAGGAAAATTCCTGTACCTATACACTACCAGATACAGGATGCCAAAGGACCTGTAACAATCTGGGTGGTGCTCCTCTAGTACAAAAATAGTATGCTTCCAAATATAGTATTCATGTGACTCCTTATAACAGCAGAGAGATTACAAAGATTTCCCACAGAAAGACAGTGCTCTCCAGACAAAAACTGTCCAAGGACAAGATTACAAAGTTATGGCTATAGTTACAGCAGTATATGCCTAACTTAAGACGAAAACAGAGTAAGGCATCATAAACAATGTTACTATATAATCATTGTTTAGTTAGAGCAGAAAAATGCCTCATACATACAAGGGGAAAAAAATTCTAAAAACGATTTCTGACAAAATGAAAACAGCATGGCCTTCAAGCAAAAAGACAATGATGTGCTTAGCACAGACCATGGTTCTTACCTTGCTGGTGTTGCACTTGGCTCTTCCACCACACGTGCATCCCTGCTGAGCTGTGTGGTCACCGAGGTGTCTGTGCTGGGCTGTTCCGCCATGGGGATATCTTCCTTGGACTGTTCTTCATGCTTAATTGCTTCAAGTTTCAGAAAACAGAAAAACAACCTCTAATTTTTCAAAGTGCTAGATGCAGTCTCAAATGCTTTTTCAAAAGGCAAAGATTTCAACAGAGGTCCAATTTAAAAGTATACTGAAGCATCACTCCAAACAGAAATTAACCAACTACTTACTAACAGAAAACCCAATCTGCAAAGTTCATCAACTGATAAATATTTAACATACAATTATGCAACCTGGCTACAAACTTAGATAGTAACAAACTTACTGAAGAAAAATTAGCTCTAGCACAACACAAAAACACAACTCCAAATACCAGAAAACATGCTTCATACCAGTATTTGCATCCACATCAGATAATCTGGTAGGAGCAGAGTTGGTGGTCACTGATTGTAGTTTTTCTCTGTCCACTTCACATGTCACATTAAGTTCCTCAACATCCTGGCTTTGGGAAAGCTCCAGAACCCCAAAGCCTAACTGTGATGATTCTAGGAACAAAGCTCTAAGAAATCAGGTACCATCCCACAACATTATCAATAAGCAAACTGCAGTCCCTCTACAAAATGCTAATGTTAAACAAGCCTTTGATATCAAAACCCCACTGGCCAAACTTCTTCCCCACAAAATCAAGAATATGTACATTGAAAACAAATGGGGAGCATAAATGTCTAATCTAGTGGTAAAGATTCTTACGTCCCACATTAGAGTGCCTGAGTGCAACGTTCAGCTCCGGCACCTGACTCCAGTCTCACCAATACAGATCCCGAGAGACAGGGCTGTTGGCTCAAATACTGGAAACCACACCAACCATAAACTGTACCCCAACACAATTCAGATTATATTTCCATAAAACACACATTTCAAAAATACTTTCAACTCAAGTAAAAAAAGCACAATATGCACAAAGTGAGCTACACAATAAATGACAAACTCCTGAATTATACAGAATTAAATCACACAAATTAAACAGAATATCTTAAATTGCTAGTAAATTTTGTATGACTCTTCAATTTAATTATGAGAAATATATACCATGATAATTTAGATATCTGCATGCTCATGTTAAAGAGATGCAGACCGCACTAAAAGAAGCAAGGCCTTCAAGAAGATACAATACCTTCCACACCATCGTCTGAAGAATCTTTCTCACTTTTCTCCTCTTCTAGATCGTCTTCCTTTGCTTCCCCCACTGTAAGAGCAGACTCCACTGGCATTGCAAGAATACTACACAGCAAAAGAAACACAATCATCTAGGTTAGGGCACTTTGCTCACACCACCCTGAATTCTACTGTGACTTCCCCAATGACACCAACTACTTCTTAGCCAAATCTAAGAAAGTGCAAAACATCACTGCTATAAACTTATGTATCTAAAATAAGTTAACACCATAGGTTCTGTTTATAAGAAAACATTTGCAACAGATAAAAAGGTAAGTCTCCATTAAACGCTTTTTTTTTAAGATTTATTTATTTTATTTTCAAATTCAGATACACAGAGAGGAAGAGAGACAGAGAGGAAGATCTTCCATCCGATAATTCACTCCCCAAGTGACCGCAATGGCCGGAGCTGAGCCAATCAGAAGCCAGGAGCCAGGAACCTCCTCCAGGTCTCCCACACGGGTGCATGGTCCCAAGGCCTTGGTCTGTCCTCGAATGCTTTGCCAGGTCAAAGCAGGGAGCTGGATGGGAAGTGGAGCTGCCAGGACTAGAAGCAGCGCCCACATGGGATCCTGGCACGTTCAGGGTGAGGACTTTAGCCGCAAGGCCACACCACCACGATATGACTTTAAATGTTAAAGTCATACAAAAAAACTCTAGGATATAAATGGATAACACAGGACAATTGAGAAAAGAGATATAGGTATCTTAACTATGGAACAAAATCAGTGCTTGAACTGATGCACCAACATGGGAAATGTAAATGAAACACCTGCTTTGGCCTGGCCCCATCCTATCCATTGTAGTCATTTGGGGAGTAAACCAGCAGACAGAAGATCTCTGTCTCTTGCTCTCATTCTGTAACTCTTTCAAATAAATAAGCAGATCATTAGAAGATCTTTCTCTTTGCCTCTCCTTCTCTCTATAAATCTGCCTTTCCAATAAATAAACCTTCATAATAAATCTTTTTTTTAAAGATATATTTTATTTTTATTGGAAAGGCGGATATACAGAGAGGAGAGACAGAGAGGAAGATCTTCCTTCCGATGATTCACTCCCCAGGCGGCCACAATGGCTGGAGCTGAGCCAAGCTGAGGTCAGGAGCTTCTTCCAGGTCTCCCATGCAGGTGCAGAGTCCCAAAGCTTTGGGCCGTCCTCAACTGCTTTCCCAGGCCAGAAGCAGGGAGCTGGATGGGAAGTGGAGCTGCCGGGATTAGAACCGGTGCCCATATGGGATCCCGGGCGTGAAAGGTGAGGACTTTAACCACCCTGGGATCCCATATGGGCGCCGGTTCTAATCTTGCAGCCCCACTAACCATCCAGCTCCCTGCTTGTGGCCTGGGAAAGCAGTCGAGGATGGCCCAAAGCCTTGGGACCCTGCACCCATGTGGGAAACCCAGAAGAAGGTCCTGGCTCCTGGCTTCAGCTTGGCTCAGTTCCAGCCGTTGCGGCCACTTGGGGAGTGAATCATCAGATGGAAGATCATCCTCTCTGTCTTTCCTCCTCTCTGTACATTTGCCTTTCCAATAAAAAAAAAGTAAATTTTTTAAAAAAAGGAATGAAGGAAGGAAGGAGGGAGGGAGAAAAGAAAAGAGAAAAGAAAAGAAAAAGAGAAAAGAGAAAAAGAGAAAAGAGAAAAGAAAAGAGAAAAAGTAGCAGAAGATGGCCCAGATATAAAGGCCCCTGTCTCCCACACTGGAGACTATGGAGACTGAAGGAGTCTTGTCAGCCCAGGTATTGTGACCATTCAGGGAGTGACCCAGCAGATGAAGATTCTGATTTTCTCTTTCTTTCCAAAATTCTGTCTTGCAAATAAAGCTGCTGCTGTGGCAATGCGTGTTAAGCTACCACACAAGTATCCCACATTGCAGTGCTAATTCAAGTCCTAGCTGCGGTTTCTGACCCAGCTTCCTGCTACTATGCTGGAAAAGCAGAAGATGGCCCTGTCACTCACACAGCATGCTCAGATGGATTTTAGGTCTCTTGGCTTCATCACAGATAAGTGCTAGCCATTGTGGCAATCTGGGGAATAAATCAGTGGATAGAAGAACTCAGGACGGCTGTCTGACTAAATGTCTCTGACTTTCTCTCTTTTCCCTGCACTCTCCCCAGGACCTTTCTACTTCTCATTCTCCACGCATGGACTGCACTTATCTCAGCTAACAGCAGAGATCACCTGGACCAGGTCAGAAAGGTTCCTGTCACACAGGGAGAAGACCTGAACTGAACTGCTGCATGAGCCAGGACTAGTCCCAGCCTTCGTGGGCATTTGCAGAGAGAATCAGTGCGTAGGCGCTAACGTAAAGGCTCACTCTAGCAAGTGCTCACTTACTCTCTCTACCTCCACAAATGAAATCACTAACTGAAAGACATTTTGGGGGCAGAGTGCAACAGCTCAGTGGCTAAATCCTCACCTTGCAAGACGCCAGGATCCCATATGGGCGTCTGTTTATGTCCCTGCCTGTGGCCTGGGAAAGCAGTAGAGGATGGCCCAAAGCCTTGGAACCCTGCACTTGTGTGGGAGACTCAGAACAAGACCCTGGCTCCTGACTTCAGATCAGCTCAGTTCCGGCCATTATGATCACCTGGGGAGCCAGCAAATGGAAGATCTATCTCCCTTCCTCCTCTTCTCTGTAAAATCTGACTTTCCAATAAAAATAAATAAAAATATTTTTTAAAAAAGACATTTTTTTATAAACTGGGAAAGTCCTGGATATAAACTGGTGTGATTACAGTGTTATGCTCAAAGAGAATAATGTACTGACTCTTAGCCAACAAATACTGAAGCACTACAGAGAAACACTAACATCTGCAACCTAGCTTTAAACGATTCAGCACATTCATATGTCCCTGCCCCCAAACACACACAAGACAATCAGACACTCCCATCTCTTGGACAAATTTAAACTTCCATAATAATAATAATAATAATCTCAAAGGAAAATGTTCAGTTTCAATTGTCGTGGGAAAAAGGCTCATGTTAACTTAAAAAGTCAGGAAACATATACACTTTACATCCTATATTTAGCAATGTAAATCAAATGAACAAGAAAAGGGAAAATACATCAGAATGTTTACAACAATTCTTATTTTTTTTTACAACCATTAACTTCTTTGTGGCAGGGCATAAATAATTTTTTGGGGGGGCATGGTACAACTTCCTATACACTTAACGTTCCCTACAAAGAACAAAAAGCATAATTTTAATGAGCACAAAATAAGGTAAAAACTGGCACATTTTGGGACTATGAGCTCAGAGAAAGGATTAAATGAAATCTGCACAAAAATAAGTGTGTTATCGACAGAACTTAAAAGATCAGATATATGACCTTGAGAAATAGAAAGAAAATCCAAGAATATATGTGGCAAAATGTGCGAGAGAAGCAATGTAAAACAGCATAAAACCACACACCTTGGCTTTTCCTCACGTCCCTGAACTCCACTGGGAGTCTTGGGGAGGCCTTGGAGCTCTTCAGCTCCCCTCATCCAGCCTTGAGCACCTCTGCAAGTTAAACCATCTCCCCAAGAGCTCCAGAGTGGCATGCCCCACTGTCTCCTCAGCATCTCCACTTGTCTACTGAAAAAGCAGCTCAGTTTTTAACATGTTTAAAACTGAACCTTGCCTTCTGTGGCCTTCTCAAGCTCAATTAGCAGCCACCCCAATTTCAAATCGCTTGAACTAAAAACCTGAAATCACTCTTACTAATTCCCTAGCTCTCAGCTACACACCTGATCAATTTCAATTCTCAAATACTCAAATCTCACTGCTCTTCACCTCCTCCTCGCCTAGTCTAGTCACTTTTGTATTGTGTCTAAATTATTTCAGTAGCCTCCTACTTGGCCTTCCAGTCTCTGCACTTGTTTCCATGTCTAATCTTGAGCCAGAAGACAGTGATCTTATTAAAAATACAAGTCCGATTATGTCATTTTTCTACTCAAAACCTTTTAATGCTCTTCCATGTCAGATAGGAGCGAAATCTCTCACTACGGCCCATAAAGACCATTTGAATTCAGTTGTAATTTTCCTTCTCTCAACTTCTCCTACTCTTTCAGTTACTGTACTCTAGCCACACTACCCCTCTTGCCATTTCTCAAACACTCCTGCTAGCCTCACACTTCGGGGCCTTAACTTGGCATTCTCTACGCATGCACTGCACTTACCAGCCCAGCTAACTGAAGCAGAGATCAGCTCTAATCAGCGCAGCAGTCCCCAGCTGCTCAAGCAGCTGATTAACTTGTAACTCCTCTGCTGTTTCCTTCTCCCTTTCCTGCTTTACTCTTCAGTCTGTCTCAGCAATCAGCCTACTCTTTCATTTGTGAAAAGAATGAAAGCACAAGCTACAGAGTGGCCAAAAACATTTGCGAAAACTTGTACTGCTATAAGGGTACCTCAAAAAAGGTAGGGGGCTAGGGCCCGGCGCGGTGGCGCAAGTGGTTAAAGGTCCTCGCCTTGCACGCCCCGGGATCCCATATGGGCGCCGGTTCTAATCCCGGCAGCCCCGCTTCCCTTCCAGCTCCCTGCCTGTGGCCTGGGAAAGCAGTCGAGGACGGCCCAAAGCTTTGGGACCCTGCACCCGCGTGGGAGACCCGGAAGAGGCTCCTGGCTTCGGATCGGCATAGTATCGGCCCGTTGCAGTCACTTGGGGAGTGAATCATCGGACGGAAGATCTTCCTCTCTGTCTCTCCTCTCTGTATATCCGCCTTTCCAATGAAAAAATAATAATAATAAAAAAAAACAAGAAGAAAAAAAATTAAAAAAAAAGGTAGGGGGCTGGAACTGTGGCGTAGCCCACTGTGCTTCAGCCTGCAATGCCAGCATTCCATTTGCAACTCAGTTCCCTGCTAACAGTGTGAGAAGGCAGAGAAAGAGGTTCAAAATCCCTTGAAGCCCACACCACAGGGGAGACCCGGAAAAAGTTCCTGGCTCCTAGCTAATCAGAGGATATGTCTCTCTCTTTCTCTCTGTAACTCTGCCTTTCAAATAAACAAACCTATTTTAAAAAAAATTGTGGAGGGCCCAGCGCAGTAGCCTAGTGGCTAAAGTCCTTGCCTTGCACATGCCGAGA